TTCCACGAATGTAAAATATTTGCGCTTAACAACTTAAAAAAATATTATAATAATAATCATAAATATGAATGCAAGTCATTATTTAAAGAAGTAAGAGGGTACAAATGAAAAGATTAAAAATTGACATGGTTTTCCATTTCAAGGAAGAAAATGTTAAAAACATCTTTTTCTTTCTTATGCATGCTTTACCAACCAAAATCTTCGATACATCTTTTTCTTCCATCTTTCCTCACAATCAAAATCAAATGGTCCATTATTTATCTGGAGTAATGGCAAGGCATAATGCACATGCTAACTTACTAACAAACTAAAGGAGGAACAAATAGAACTATAATAATTTATATGTGGGCAATTTTTAAAAGTAGATGAAGATAATTTTTATTACAAAGTAATATAAAATAATTCAAAATAATGATTAATAAAAAGTGTAGATAATTATAAATGAATATTATAATTGTCTAGGTTTGGTTTATAAAAAAATAATTTTGGTGTGTCTGTAAAAGTTACTAAATTTAGAATTGGCTCTAAAAGAAGCATCAAAAGTAATTTGGTCAAGCTGGACCATTTCAAAATTAATTTTTCAAATTTGTAATATACTACAGTGTAACCCGGATATAAGAGAGTTGTTGGGACTGGAGAAGAAGTCTCCTATATCCGGGTTTCTCTTATATCCGGGTTTGGTCTATTTTGTTTAGGTAAGTATGGGCTCTAATTTGGGACCAGATAAAATCTCTCTTATATCCGGGTTTCTCTTATATCCGGGTTTGGTCTATTTTGTTTAGGTAAGTATGGGCTCTAATTTGGGACCAGATAAAATCTCTCTTATATCCGGGTTTCTCTTATATCCGGGTTTGGTCTATTTTGTTTAGGTAAGTATGGGCTCTAATTTGGGACCAGATAAAATCTCTCTTATATCCGGGTTTCTCTTATATCCGGGTTTGGTCTATTTTGTTTAGGTAAGTATGGGCTCTAATTTGGGACCAGATAAAATCTCTCTTATATCCGGGTTTCTCTTATATCCGGGTTTGGTCTATTTTGTTTAGGTAAGTATGGGCTCTAATTTGGGACCAGAGAAAATCTCTCTTATATCCGGGTTTCTCTTATATCCGGGTTACACTGTATTTGTATTTGTCTTCCAATCAGAAGAATGTCTTTCACCTACATAAATTTAAAGATGAAGAGCCTCTGGAGCCTATAATGGATACATAAGAAGATGGGTCAGTTGATAATTGAGAAGATAATAAAAATTTCAACTAGATAGGGTAATAATTTTCAACTAAATCAGAAGATGAGGAGACATGAAAACTTTGTCCTGAAGGTAAAAAAAATAAAGTTCCAGAAGGAATAATGATTTTTGGATGTCACCTGTGGATGAGCTGGGCTGTTTCTCACAGAAGAAGTAAATGGTAAAAAGAAATAATCAAGTGAAACCTGTGAATAGAAATGTGTTCTAAAGAAGAAAACATTTTTTTAAAGTTCCAGTTGCACAAGTGGATTTGCCACAAAATCCCCCTTCTGTTATGTTTGTTCCTTTCAAATGTCACTTAGTATAGAGTCGTTTCTTTTTTTTTTTATCTGCCTTTTTCAATATTCAAGAGGTGATATTTTCTCTCCTCCCACTATCTCCAGAGAAAAAAATAATTTTTTTAAGTTATGAAAGAATGCCATAATTTTATTCTGCAAGCACTTCAACATGAGACTACATTATGGCCAACTTCCAGTCAGTTCATATTCCCTTAGACAATGAACAGTAACAATTATTTTGACTCTTTTCATCTTCAAATTTTTTATGACCCAACAGCTAAAAATAATAATAGAAGTAAACCAGTTTGCAAAAGAAAAAAAAAAAAACTACCAAATACCCTCAACCTTTCTTTCTATAGCGAAGAAAACAGCAAATTACCTCGTCAAACCAAGCGACATCGCGTCACGTGTATTCTACGATGGAAAAAATGGTGAAAAAGAAAATTACTTACCAAACAGAAGAGCACGTATTCCACATAACATGCTGAAAATGGAATAACTGAATCAAAAAAAAAGGGGGGGGTTGCAGGAGTCGCTATAAAAGTATTTTGATATGCAAATTACGGAACATCCTATCCCAGCTGTCGACGAATGAAAAAAATAGGTTCTGCCGATAAAAGCAGTTGGTGTTCTCGATTCGAGAGCGGAAAATTCGGGCATTTTTGGCTATGGCATTTGTGAGAGAGTGAGTTATTTTTCTGACTGGTTATACACATTGTGATTTGAGATAGTACCGGAGAATCGAGTTTTCAGCATTTCTTTCTGCCCCCGATATTCGAGTCTGTACTTACGGTGATTTTTCTTTGTGTTGTGGAAGTAATCTGCGACAAATACTTCCTTTGCTTTCAGAACGCTTACACTTTCTCAAACATTCATTGTATTTATACCAATTTCAGTAGTGTAGAATCTTTTCTCTTAGTGTTCTGTGAAGCTAATTTAAACTCTTCTATCTCACCTACTGAATTCTTTGTTGCAGGTGTTGCGGAGACTGAAATGAGTATGCTGGAAGACAGAACCTTGTTGTTGTTGTTACTGTTGTGTAGATTAATTCCTTCTTCAGGTCACAAAAGTAAATCCAAGCATCAAACAAAAGGACATTGAACAGGGGTAAATAAATATATAATTTATTTACATGTATACAAAGACTGGTAACTTCTATTGCTAAGGTAACAGTGAGAAAGAGTGGTGAATTTAGAAGTGAATTGGGCATTAGTGGTGGCCATCATTGTCGGTGGTGCCTCTCTCTCTCTCAGTGTGATAGTGTTGACATCAAACGCTGATCTGTGTCTTGTCTCTCTCTCAGCATGTCAGTGTTGACATCAACACTGGTCTGTTTGAATTTGAGTATATGTAGTTTTTAATCAGCTCAAAATTAAGGTTTTCGTTTTTTGATTTAAAGTGGTTCTGACTGGTCATAATATATTATTAATTTTGTTTTAGTTAAAGTGGATGTATGCATGGATCTGATGCACAGAAAATGTATTATGCAGTTGGCTTTGGGTCATTGAGCAATCAACTTTTGGTTTGTGTAGAAAATGTAAGAGACATGACACATGATATTGTTCTCTTTGTAAAAAAGGATACTTGGATACACATACATATTGGTCTTCTTCACAAATTGAAGTGTTATGGTGTTTCTGGTCATTTCTTTGATTTGATTCAATTTTTCTTATCAAACTACATAATGAAAGTTATCAGTTATTCCTCTAGATCATTTTACAATAACACAGGCATCCCCAAGGGCTCTATTCTTGAACACATTCTGTTTTTTATTTTCTTCAACAAACTTCTTGATGTCATCAGTTCTTAACTCATATTAAGCGTATGGTGGAAGAAACAAGAAGAAACGACAGAGGCTTACAAAATAAATAACTGTATTAACAAAAAATATAACAAATGATGAAGTCCAGTGAAAGTCTTTCATTGAAAGAAAGAGATAAGTAAAGCCATCTGCAGTGGCTTACAGTAGGAGAGGGAGGGTGAGTTGTGACTTACTGTAGCAATGGGCTTTGGCAAGTTGTACTTGGAGATGGGAGGCCAGTTGTCTTTGGGTGTGGAGGTGGCATTTTGATGAGCATGTGAACACTGTCTGTTGTGCCAACTGACTGCTGAAGATGGCTCTTTGATGGGCTTTTAAGTCTTTTCGTAGACTCAGATCAGCTCCAATTCCTATTTCACCTCTGTAGGCGGGAGTAAGAATGGAGAGCAGATCAGATTGAGGAACCAGAGAGCCGAGTTCAAATTCCAGTCAAATCCATTATATTCACTTATGTGCTGATACCCTTGGGAAAGGTATGAATCCTCTTCTCCCCCAGCTATGGGTAAATAGCAGAACAGACTGAGTTCTATAGCCTTGGATGGCAACTGGTCTACTGCAGAAAATAATGGTAACCTACTGTGAGAAAAAAATCTGCCTCGTCAGTCATGTATCAAAAGATATATGATCGTCTACGCATATATCATGCATGGTACATAACTAACCTGACTGACCTAGGCATGAGCGGGTGCTATTGGGTAAAAAATTGGATTGTATATTTTTTTTATGGGGGCGGGGGAAAGCAGAACGTGTGTGCAGAGCCGATGTGTGTTTGATGGAATTTTTAATTCAGTCTTGGGTTTCGGAGTCCTCACATCCGGTCAATGGTGGAAATTTGTGTAACATGAATCAGAAGATCTGGTTTAGGAAAATTATAACAGTAAGTATCAATGCTGATAACACAACCATTTTCTCCTGTCTTAATAGTAAGTTTAATAGGCTTGGTAAAATAAAATTGGCAGCTGATCTCAAAAATGACCTACAATCTATTGTTCACTCGGGCAAGAAGTGGTTTGTTAATTTTAACACCTCTTAAATGAAACAGCTCTCTATTAATCATCTTAAAGAACCTTTTTTGCTTTCCATCAGTATGGCTGATGCTAACCTACATTCACTGCACATTCTTGGTCTCACATTTTCCACTGACATGAAATGGAAAGATTATGTTGAATTGATTGCTAAGTTTGCTGCTAGGAAAGTTGATTCAGTATGTTGTGTTTTTCTTCCTAAGATCTATTTTGCACATTCACAAGTCTATGATTCATCTGTGCATTGAATATTGCTGTCACATCTGGTTTGGGGTGTCAGTTTTATATTTAGAGATTCTTGACAAAATCTAAATAAGAATTGGCAATATTATCAGTCCTGACCTGGCATCTCAGCTTCAGTGACTTCCCCACTGCCATAACATAGCTTCCCTTTTTCCTCTTCTACACTAAAGGCAAAAAGTGTGGGGTCAGCCTGCATTTCTTTCAAAAACACCTTAAAATGAGATATTTTTCTATTTTTTTTTAAATTAAAAGAAAAGTTCAGTAACTACAGTGTATTTGCTTTTATTTGCTTTTGTACATCTCCAAGGTCAATAAATAAATAAATTGACAGATTATGAAAATCCTTATTATATACAGAGATCTGTACCCAAAAATGACACAGATTATATCTAAAAAGGAAAGAGGGTGGCAAAGGATGCATCAGCATCAATGACTGTAGTCAAATGACCAAAACAGATTTGGATAGATACATCCAATAATGCAGCAAAAATATTATAGAGATTGCTCAAGACAGGGCAACAAGAAATAAAAAAAATAATGATGCAGAGTGAAGAACGCAAGAAAAACTGAAAAAAATGCTGTATGTAGAATTTAGGAGAAAGAAAATATCACGACTGAAAAATCATGGACATGGTTATGCAGAGGACACCTGAATAGAGTTGTCTTGGGTATGATGATAAACTAAATCCAATAGCAAGGCCCCTGATCAGGAGGTTTTGAGGAGTGTGGAACCACAACTTAAGTGCTGGTCTTCCCAGGTCCATCCTGACCCAGGGTAGTAGTGTAGCGATCATCATTGCCATCACACATCTGTGACTAAGCCAAGTTCATGAACCAGAACTCTCTCTATCTTACTTACTCAAAACAACACACTTCTTAATTAACTGTATTCTATTCTAACAGTAGACTCTATTCAACATAGAATCCTGAACATTCTTATTCAAGAGAAATTCTTTTGAACATTCAATCTTAATCACAATACAGTTGAAGGGAACTAACTTTTTTTCCCTTAATTACGACACACCATTGCATGATTGTTTTGTATGTTATTGTTTCAATATATATTTTATTGTTGATGCACAATTGGAGTCTCATTGTTTATTTCTTGAATCATTAAATGTATAATAGATAAATGCTCTTAGAACACGCAATTACATTTGATAACCTCAACGCATAAACCCAAGCAGCATTTACAGTAGCACCTTTTATAGTTCCAGCTATGGGCAAATAGTGAACTCTCAAACTGGGGTAAAAACTTGAAAATATAAAAATACATTAGAAAAAATGACCAGCAATACATTTTCATAATAAACAAATAAAAAATTACTGGAAAAAAAAAAATTACTAGCAATACATTTTTGGGAAAAAAAAAAAAAGTTATTTTATTCACAAGTAAATAAAATTTGGACATTAAATGACTCATGAGAAGTTGATATGCCATTAAACAAACAAACCAACCAAACTTGAATGGAGAAATAGAATCTCTCATCATCATAACCTAGAACAACTGAATTCAAACAAACTATATCAAAGGATAGATTAATAAAATCCAGGAAAAATAAAAGTCTCTACAAAGAAAGAGATGAAATGGTAAATGAAAAAGCTATGAACATAGTACATTATCCCCCAAAAAATACAAAATAAGCCCAACAGAGTAGGAACAAACATACATTGGGAACAGTGCAAGCAACAGGTTCAACCATGTAGGCAAATAGTATCAGCATAAACCAGATATTATCTTGGAAAAGAAAAAAAAATATTATCTATTAGCATTTTTTGCATTCAGCCAAAGATTGAACCTGATTCTGATAATTGTGAATAAATAAATCCTAACAGACTAAATGTGAAGGAGAAGGAATTTGAAAGGCCTTACCGGAGAGCTGAGAAAGATATAGATAATTAAAGTCGGAATTGTGCCTATTTACCGTAAATAGTGGATGGGGCAGTGTGTCCTTAGATTCAGTGGAAATGAGGCGAGAAATAACTGAACATTACTAAAATAAGAATTGACAAGATATCGACAGCAGAACAAGAACAATCTAACCCCACAGATTAACATAATGGAGGTAAATAGTAATACATCATGTTCAACAGTTAATGGGTGATAATAATATCCCATGTCAGGTAAATAATATTGTGCCTTGGTCACCAATATAATGGGAGAGATCTATGGAAGAAAGATTTATTCTCCCTTTTATTTTTCCCCCCATTATGAGCATTGTTATATCCATGATATAATAACAACATGTTTCACGGACAGAATGGCTGAAAGGAAAAGGAATAACAAACATGCCTTGTTCTCAGAGAGATTTTTATACCACTAAGACATACACGAAACTATAGATGTTTACATGTGTCCCATATAGAGAGAATATGACATATATCTACACAGGAAGCAGAGTGAAAGAAGAATGAAAAGATAGGGTCTTATATATAATATGGAGATTCTTCTTTGTTTCTGGAGAAGCCATATTTAGGACTTCAGATTCAAAAAAAGCCAGATTCATCTACTATGTCCCAGGCGAGAACATATTCCATGAACAGGAGACAGCGAGTTCTGGGTTTACCCATATTGTGGACTGTAAGCCAGATTTTCCTTCTATATCTGAGGAACATATATTCCCAAAGGGAAACAGTGTCACAGAATTGTAAGTTAAAGCATATGCTAGAGGAGGCAGATTTAGCCTCAGCCCTAACCAAAGGCTCGGGCTAAAAAAAGCAACTGCTCAATTTGGCTACTGTAAACCGACTGAAATTGACTGCCACTTTTGTAACTATATGGAGTGATGTCACTGAGTGGCCATCACATGACCTATGTGACTATCTCAACCAGAGGGAGATAACTACCTTCTGTATCCCTAAAAAATAAAGGGTTTAGTTTGATATACCTCAAAGTTATCTAAAGCGACAATGAAGGTCAGAGGGCACAATAACTGAAACATTGGGATAATATCAACAAAGATAAAGTCCACATGTAAGTAATATAATTAATAGTAAGCATGTTTGGAACTGTTCCCAAAATGCTGCAATGAAGATTGGTTACATTAAAAAAAAGTCAGAGGAATTGAGACTGTACAAACAACAGTATTTTTGGGATCTCTGAGGATACTGAAAAGAGTGCTGGAGATTTGAAGGGGCTTGCTATCATTCAATCCTAGGCAGTGATTATGAGACATCTCATATGAAAATGCTAATATATAATGAATAATAATAGCAATCACAAACATGCACTAAGTTTTTAGATAAGTATTATGATTCTTTTAAAAGATAAATAAAAAGATCCTTCTTCATTAATTCATGAGTACAAAAGATAAAAATATTTTACAAACTTTATACAAATTTGTTTTTAACCTTAAGAAAATAATTTTCTAAAAACCTTGAAAAATTATCATTTTTATTTATGAGGGTGGGCTGAAAAGTTCATAGGCTGACTATGAAGGAGTGATGCAGGTCTGTCTTGAAGTCACCACTTTGACCTTGGTCAAATGACCCAACTAACGAATCAACCCCCTTGCCCACATTTAGACATTCCACTCACATACTCTGTATTGGAAATTAAAAGAATTTTATATTGTCAATTCTTGTCTTCCCTTTCACCTCACCAGTGACACTTGATGTTTCATTTGTTCTTTTGTGTAACATACACGTTTGTAACATCCATATCTGCTGACATTTTAGTTTTGTATCCGAAATGTAAACAAAGTAATTTCAAAGGAATTAATGGATTTTTTATTCTTAATCAAAAATTATTTCTTATTATTTGAAATATTACTGTTTGAGTAGAAGTTGTTTTTTTTTTTTTAAATAGTGTGAATTAAATCTACCAGCCTGTGTATTTATTCAGTCTCCTGAATGCGCAGATGTAATTCACATTTTTTAAAAAACTGGGCATCTATTCAAACATGTTTATGCATTAAAATAATGTTTAGAGTCATTTTACATGGTCTAAATTTCCTACAGCACCAAATAGTCTTCCTATGTGGAACCAACTAATGTAACTACATATGAAATCATTTTTACCGATTTATTCTTTTTAAAAAATGTCTCCCCATTTTACATTATCTCCTGATTACGTCATAAATATTAACAAGATGCCAAGGTGCATTTAAATTGCTAGAAATGTGCAGTATTATTGCACAAGTTTCAATTTTTATGTAAAGAAAACAATTTATGCTTTCTATGGTTTATCAAATGTTTTACAGGTTATTCAAATCCAGAAAATATTTTTAAATTGTAAGAATTGGTGGGGGGAGATAATAATGATTTAGTCATACAAGTCTTCACTAATTAACCTATAGCTTGTGGAGAAGAGGTGAATTCATACCTAATCAGAATTTGATAAACAAACAAGAAATTATAATGTGGATATAAAGTGGGGGATCAATTCTATATTACAATCAATACACAGGCTGATCCCTCACTTTTTGGCTACAATAGTTTCTATACATTTCTATTCCAGAGAGTGTAAATAAATCTAAAAGACATGCCTGTGCAGCTAATCAGTATTTCATTGATTGATTTATTTGTTTTCTATGGCTTATCAACATATTTTTAGATTGTAAGAATTTGTGGGGAAGGAGGAGATAATAATGATTTAGTGATACAAGTCTTTACTAATTAACCCATAGTTGGGAGAAGAAGAGGTGGATTCATGCATTTCCTAAGGCTATTTACACATAATGAATATATCTAGCCCAACTGGAATTGGATCTTGGCTCTCCAATTAATAATCCTGAGAGCCATTATCCATTAAACCACCCACACATCCAAGCTTAGAGCACCTGATATTCCTAAGTGGTCACCCATCTAGGTACTGACTAGGCTTGACATTGCTTCGACTGCAGTGATCAGCTGGGAACTAATGTTTCAATATGATATGCTCATAAGCCAATTTATAATTTGAACAAACAAATGACATTTTTTTTTTTTATTGGAACTTAAATGTTATTTTAGGTATTTCTTAAGGCAGGAGTATTACAGTTGATGTGTCTGTAAGTAGAAACGAGAAAAAAAAACAAAAAAACACTACCAAGTGGACAACTGTGTGAAACATAGAGGAAAACAGAGTAGAATTATAAATATAAACATGACCTTCACCTAAGATTTCTACCAACCAGCCAATGATCACCCTCATAGTGCATTCCAATTCTCGATCTTGTCGGTATTCACTAAAAGCTGGGGAAGAGCACGATGCATGTTCACCAGGTAACATGATGAAAGAAAAAACAAAAAAACAAAAAAAAAAACACCTCATCAAGAAATAAGAACAAGAACTAGGTTTTCCATATATGTAGGTGTTTTATTCAGAGCCTGCTTGTCCAGGTGGGTAGATAGGTGATACTTAGAACAACTTCCTATCATCTCCTCACCCATCTAATCATTTCAACATGGTAGTTGGCAATACAAAATAGAAGCTTGGGAACAGCAACACAGACACATCTGTCTCCCACCAAGGGTAAACTAGAATTCTCTCCAATCACAAGCATAAAACAGTTTTCTTAAATATTTTTTTTAACACAGAAAACAGTTTTCCTAAATGTTTTTTTTTTTAAATAGAAAACTGTTTGCTTAAATATTTTTAACACAAAAAACAATTTTCTTAAATCTTTAAATCATAAAACAGTTTTCTTAAATGTTTTTCCTCATAGATTATCACATGAAATATAAACAACTGCCTTTGTTACAATTAAAGTTTCTAAAAACAAAACAAGATTAAACAACAATCTTTTTTTCTTTTTCTGTCTCTCTCCAAACAAATCACAAATGACAATTTGAGAGAGAAAAAAATTTAATTGTCAAATGATTTATTTTTACATTCTGGAGCTTTTTATTATTTTAAAATCATAATACCTTATTTAAAACATGTTTTTAATTTTCAAAGTACAAGAAATATTAATAACCTGGTTAACTTATTGACATCAAATTAATCTAAAATTGATTCGTAAATTAGATTTATGTAAAGATAAATTATAAAGTGATGAAGTTTATCAAAGAAGTTTTAAAATAGCAAGTTACTTTTCAAATATCTTTAAACCACTTCCTTTTCACTGGCTTCAGATTTTTGCTACATGTCACTTAATAATTTGCATGTTAATGACATCTTAAGATCAAGTTTTAATCATTCACCTGCAAAATCAAAACTGATTTTATTGCAAATTATGTTCAGATGATATACGTGTGTGACTATCAAGGTCATCAACTTACTACTTTATCCTTATTTTCATGGCAGATGTTCAGGCAAACTATATTCCTTGTTTCCAGCAGACCTTCACAGCTAGGACCCACCAGGCCACGTACACAGAGTTGAATCATCTGCATCCCCTTCATATTCCATTAGTAAAGAGGAAGTTCCACTCAGATTCTTCTCCAGAACAGTTGCATTTTAAAGCAAACTCCTGCAAGGATGTTTCCCCAATGACTGCAATCTTAACTTCAAATCTAGGGTCAACCATTATCTATTCTACATATCCTCATGATATGCACATCTTGCTCCTTCGCCATTCACTGTTAGGTTACTTTTGTAACAAGATTCCTTTGTTACAGATATTTCCTAAACTCATACACATGTAGTATGTGATTCATGCCAGGAAATACCTGTGGTCTGAATCAAAGAAGAGTTGATCTGTGGCAACCCCAATATTTGCTTGGTTCGCCATAAGGAATACCAAAGTAAGTTTTGTATTAAGTGTCACCTCAGAAAGACAAAAGATCTACAAACCCCAAGAGTTAACCAAAAAGGTTACCGCCAAGCCAGCAAGTGAAGAATCAGGCCTCAAAGGATGTTAGTGGGTGCACCAACATAAAAGAAGGATGTGAATCCAGATGAACTAAGGATATTCACAGACAAGATAACAGGAAGTTATATAAATGCCTGATCTATAAGGGGAGAATTGCTCACATACTCACAAGAAGATTGAATGTTTGATGAAAGACCAAAAACCACATACCTACCCTTGATTCGGATTATGTTAATTTGACAGAGTTCAGAAGTGAATAAACCATTTTTTGAGATATTGAAAATATAGTCTTGTATTATTGTCAGATATTATTAACATTACACACATAATGTGTCACAATGACAGTATAGTAGGGCATTCAGTAAAAATGGCTTAAAAAACCATCATTCTATTGCAGCTCAGTCACCTGCAGTGAGCACTTCAAGCTATGATAGGTTCTCAAACTAGAGTAGTAAAGAACATTTATACTTTACTAATACCTTAAAGTCATGAAAGATCTGTGATGACACTTGTGGTCGTAGTTGTTCTAGATGGTTCAGCACTAGTTAAAAGGTTCTTGTGAGATGTTGTCAGTGTAGTGACAGTTCCTGTTTGGCCAGAGCTATCATCTGACCCAGCTTGAGTTACTGATAAAGGGACCAACTGCAGTAATTCAACATCTTCACCCGTTTGAAACATCACAGTGGTAGTGTTGCAATTAATGTATTGCTGGCTAGTGTCTCCAGTCAAGACATTGGTTAATTTTGCACTCTTTTTAGGCTGAGCAGACGAAATAGGAAGTAAGAACTGTCCACTTGAAGAAGTCTCTGTGACACATACGGTGTTTGGATTCGGTGTGTTAATAGAGTCAGATGAAGATGAGGCCAGCTTGAGGTGTGGGGTAGAAAGGACGTTACAATTTTCCGGTATAAGAGATGCAACAGGAATTTGCTGATCCTGTCCAAGTTGGGTGGATAAAGCCGGGTTGCAAACAATAGTGTTACATGTATTTGTAATTTTTTTACACATATACTTGTTATTAGTTGTTGGTACAGAAACTGTTGCCGTTGTATTACCAGAGGTATCACTGGTTGTTATCACCCCTGTCACATTCAAAAAGCGTTGTAGAACATTAATAGGAAGAATATTATGGGTTACATTTGTCCGTTGCTGTGAGTGGGATGGATTGTTGGGGTTTTGTGATTGTGGTACCTGGGCAGAAAGATTCGTCCAGTTCTCAGCCAGGCCTGTAGTATTTGTAGAGATTATTGGGATACTGACACTAACCATTTCCAAAGTTTTAGTGGCAGGACTTGTTTGGAGAGGGACTGTGGTGACCTTTGTATTTGAGGTCACTGTTTGTACTGTAGGTTCTAAATCAGGGTTGGATGTTGAAGGCACAGATTTGTGAACCAATCCTAATGGTGCTTGCGTTTGTGTTAAGGGTATCACACTGGAAGTAGCTGAGGTGTTGCTGATTAATCCAGCTTGAGAATTTATCGGAGTTTGAATAGGAACTGAAGATAATTCATTACTTGAAGGAAGCGGAAGAGTTACTTGAGACTGGTTACCAAGATTTTGATGTAAAGCTAATGGGTTTGAGGGAATAAAGGAGGACATAGTAATAACAGGTGAAATGTTTGTTTGGCTTTGTGGAAGGTGAACGTGATGACCTTTATTTGACTGTTGACAGGTAATATTTCCTTGGGGAGAAGTCATTGGTTGTTGGGCAATTGCTGACTGATCTAAGGATACCATCATTGTTGGTGTACTGGTGTCAGATGCTGTAGGCAAAACTTGTGAACCTGTAGGGGAGACCAGAGGCTGTGTCCGCAGAAAACAGTTGGTATAGACTGGTGTAGACTCTGAACCAGAAACAGTATTGTTCTGCTGACTCACGTGGCTGTTTTCTATTAGTTTCAACAATAACTGTTGAATGGTTGCAGGATTCTAAAATTAAAAAAAAACTTTAAAATAAAGTCAACTTTATAAGATATAATCTTTAATAAGATTTTTTTTTATGGCTTATCAACCTTTTGCAGGTTATTTAAAGCCAGAAAATATTTTCAGACTGTAAGAATTTTTTTTTGAGATAATGATTTTTATTGATTTGTTTTTTCACTAATATTCACCCAATACAAGGCCCAAGAGCCACTCAAGGTAGAGGGTTACTGTGTGGAGTTATATTAGCATAGGAAAGGGCAAGCATTACGAGTACAGAGCTGAAGTAGTCTTTAGAAGGATCTGGAAACCCAATCTTAAACAGGAAACAAGGGATAAACCTCTACTCCTTTTCCAAGGGTATTTGCGCATAAGTGGATATAACATACATGATTGGAATTGAAACTCAGCTCTCCAATTTCCAAATCCAAGCCGTTATCCATTACACCATCTGCACATCCTACAGCACTTGGTATTTCCAAGCAGTCACTCATCTAATTACTGAACAGGTTTGATGTTGCTTAACTTTGGTAATTGTATGAGAACTAGTGATATAGCATTATTTAATAATATTTCTTTTTACCAATAATAAAACATTCTGTTATTTACTTTATTTACATTCAAACTAATGTCCTTATCTTTGTTGTTATTATCACAAAGTTTTGGCCAATGTGCACTCCAGCCTTCTGCCAGTATTTGTTAATCCAGGTAACTTCCAGGGAATTTCAAACTCAACCTTTTACTTAATCTACAGAGATTGTTCTATTAAGTCCTTATGATTATTAGAATCTGGTCTATGAGTATAGAAATATTCTTTTGACCATTTGCATGGTTGGCATAGCACAATTGTCCTATTCAGGGCCAGTGCAAGCGTTATGACCTCCACTCCCTGGAATCCATGATACACCACCTACACACACACACTGCTACATCTCAATTTTTATAAGACAGCATTCATATAAAATACAAATTTTATTGTAACCTAACTATATACAATAATGGATCATATGTAATATAAGTGAACAATTCAACTAGAAAAATTGAAAATAAATAGAATGTATCTAAATAAAAGTAGAAATGTCATCAGACATTCCAAATAAATAGAATGTATCTAAATACAAATTAGAGACATGTCATCATAGATCATTCCAAATAAATAGAATGTATCTAAATACAAATTAGAGACATGTCATCATAGATCATTCCATCTTAAATAAATCAACAATGTTTTGTGCCAATTTTTAACATCGGCTTGAAATTTTTCTTGTTAAAATTTAGATTATTTTAACACATTCAATATTATGAAAAAGAAAATAGTGAAATAATATAGTATTTTTTCAAGACTTAGCATGCACAAAATAAATTCATGGATTTAGACAAAAACAAAAAAAAAAAAAATATAAGATCCTAGAATCGCATCAAAATCTTTCATCCTTTAATAGTCAGTTGTGCTTGGTTTAATTTGTAACATAATATAAATGTAGATAGAAAAAAAAAAAAAAAAAGGCTTGCCTGCACTCCCTGGTCAAGTGGTTTGGAGCAGCATGCACCATCTGTGGTCATATTTTCACTTCACTATCCCCCATTTAAACTTATCCCATACTAAGCTAAGCTAGATATAACATTATCAGTGTACAAGAACAGCAAAACATCTGACATTATCAATGTTTTTTAAGCCATCAGTATCTATGTGTTTATAGTTTGGGTGCTCCTGTAAAATATTATCAGTTTCTTCTAAAAGGGGTAAATGGAATGGTATTAGTTTTACGGTGTTTGGCAAAGTTTAGTAAAACTGTTAGCAGTTTTGTTAGCCAAGGCGAATTTTCAATTCATCATTATTAAATGTAAAGATCATATGTATTATATGCTATCAAATAAAATAAGTTGGTTACTTTCTTTTTAAACTGGGAATTTTTTTTTGTTTTAAAATTAGAATTAAAAGTAGTTTATTTTAGCATTTGACAAAGAATAGTTTGATCATTATAGAAATGATGGGTGACAAATTTTTTTGCAGCAGTTGGCCAATAAACTCAAGTTTATCCAACAGGCACACCATAATAAAAAATGAAAGTGAAAGTCAAAAATACTACTAGACAAAAATGATTAATTCACTTTCATTTTTTAAAAGACTTTTTAATTAAAGTGTTCAGCTTTTCTATTTTAAATCATACCTGCTCTACTTTTACATTGCTTTGTTTTTTTTTTGCTTTCATTTCTAAAAATTATAATTTGATTCTTCAAAATTGAAAAAAAAAAAACAGTGTGGTATCTTTAAATTTGAAGAAAAGGTAAAAGAAAAAATGCTGATAGAAAAATGTGCCACTGAACAACAGGAAGAAAAAGATGTATTCTCCCATTTGTATTTCCCGTTATAGGCATTATTATATCCATAATATAATAACACCATATTTCATGGATGGAACAGAATGGCTAAAAGGAAAAGGTATGACAAACATGATTCATTCTTTAACAGACTTTTATATCACTAAGACATACATATAACTATATATACATATTTACATGTGTCCCATACGGAGAACAATATATCAGGAGAAACAAAGAGGAAGGGTCTTATGTATAATATGGAGATACTTCTGTATTTCTGAAGAAGCCATGTTTAGGACTCCAGATTCATTTGGGCTGGAATCATCTCTATGTCCCAAGAGAGGACATAATCCATGGAGGGGAAACAGAGAGTTTTGGATTTTTCCAAATTGGGGACTGCTAGCTGGAGGTTCTTTCTATATCTGGAGAAAACATATTCCCAATATTACTGTGACCCATATGACTTATCTCCACCAAAAAGAGATAATCACTTTCTGTATCCCTACAAACTGCTCCCAAAAGCCTAACCAATAAATTATAAATAAATGCATTTATCAGAAAGTCTATCCGTAGTTTTACTTGTAAAATCTAGCGATGAGAACCAGTAGGATGCAGAAGATGGGGGGGGGGGCAGAAGGTGCAACAGCCTTGCGTATCTATTTGGGAGGTCATCCAATCAAAGAATGATATAAAAATTTAGTTTATATTTAATTTGAATAAAGTTTTTAATGTTTCATCTGTTTTTACATATTTAAAATATCTTCCGTTGTCAGTACTATGCCTTATAGGCCCCCTCCTACTTGAATCTTAGGGGGTGCATACAATCAAGGAGTTGGCCCTGGGCATCACCAAACCTCTGCATATCACTGATGAGAACTTATCTCTCAGAAAGTAATGCAATTGATTTTCAGTTTTAGACTTTATACAAAATATTAACAATTTTATGATAGCAACACCACAGACATTAAAACCTTTTTCTGACTTTTTTTTTTATCTGTAGATAAATAAATAGACATACTTGACTTGATTCTTGTTGATAAAGTTGTTGTATGATTGTCTGTTGCATCAGTTGTTGTTGAAGCAGTTGTCTTTCAACCAAAAGTTGATTTAAAGTTTCTACAGGAACCTTTAAGAAGAAACAAAAATTCATAATCTTCCCAATATGAGTCAGTAAAAAATGCTTTTAGTTAAATTTTGATTAGGATATCAGAAAGAAAAAAAAATAAGTTGGTCCTAGGATTAGTAGCTCAAGTTTTCTACAGGAAGCATAAACCCCTTAGCCTTCAACATGCCCAAACCAACCCCATAAATATCAGCTCTCAAAGTTTCACAGTTTGTGTGACTTCCTGCGTTATTTGTGATGACATTATCAGTATATTATGGCAGAGTATACATGGGTTTGCGTTATAGTGGGTCGAACATTGAGAGCTGATGTTTATGGGATGGGTTTGGGTGGGATGAATGCTAAAATGTTAAAACAAAAAGAAAACAGAAATTTTCATAACACAAGCCTTCAATTTTTAAAAAATTTTTTTTTTTTTAAAAATGGTGCATGGGATATTTTGGCAAATTTTGAACAATTTTGGTGTGCTGCATCCCAAAATAAAGTTCATTTGTCAAAATTAGCTTTAGTTTTCCTGCTCCAGAATACCATGACCTATATAAAAAATGGTCATGACTTACTTGGAAGTTTAAACACAATCATAATGCGAAATAAAACAATTTCTGAAGTATGAACTGTTGTGATATGCGAGTTGCCCCTCTCCCTGAACTGTTAAAGATATCTCCCAGATCACTTACGTCCCCTTATCTATTTGTTACCAAATACCCTCATTAGGGGTCTCTGGTGTCGAGGCATTAGACCTGGAGTTAACAGAGGGACTCCATGGATATCCAGCAGTCGGGAATAAATGACTTTAAATAATACCGATCTTGGTCGTCATTATTTACTTTGACCATTCTTCAAATGTTGTTTATGTCTGTCACCGGCAACCTCGACATAACATGAACAACACAAAAATATTGAGAGTAATTGACAGTCATGGCAAGAACTTTCATCAAGAATTATGTCCAAGTTTCCATTCATAACTCAGAATAGAGCACTTCAATGTAGTGTAATGGTTAGGAAGTTTGTCTTGCTAGAACAAATACTACCGAATAGCAATTTCAATCCCCATTAGGTGCCCATACTTTTGGCCTTGTGCCACATCTAAGCTACACTTAGAAAATCACCATAACTTAAAATAATACAATTAAACTATCATTATCATCAGGCATTAACATAATATAAAAAGTAGGTGTTTGAGCAATCAGAATTTTGTGGTGATGAACACACCTTTCCAGAATATGACATGGACTTGTCCAAATACATCTAGACTGATGCTATTGGTAGAAGGAGTAAACAATTAGAGAGTTAGAGATCTAGCTTATCTGGTTACTACCGATTTCAGCAAGACTACATTGACTCCAAGTGACGTTCTACTTCTTGATTGTGTTATCGTCATTTAATGGATTGAGGACATAACACAGAAATTCAATAATATTCCTGGTTTTTGTAGGAGGCATTCAGAATTAATTTGAACATTATGGGAAATTTGGTTATATATAATCAGTTCTTTTTAAAATGAACATGTTCTGTACAGTAAAATGTGAAGCTGACTAGTAAAAAATGGACTTGATTTTTAGACCTGGCATCCCAAAATTAGCTAAGAAAAAGTTCAAATTGGCTTGCATCAAAACATGTGTAAGCCAATGTGAATTTCTCAACATTAATCACTAAATGTACTTTCAGTTAACTTTTGATTGGAAGATAAGAAAAAACAAAAGAAAGAAGCTGCTTCTTGGATTACAACATACAGATTAATTTTCAAAAGATTAAGCAAAATTGTTCATTGATCAGGTTTTCCATGATACAAGAATCATACAGTTATTCATAAATTAGATCTTTTCTACAATTTATAGTTGAGTAAATTAGGCAGCCATACAACAAATAACTTGGGACCAAACAGCCAGTATGCAGATAAAGAATGATTTAAGTGAATACGCAAAAAAAGAAAGAGAAGTAAGGCAAGGATGTGTTTTCTCACCAGATTTATTTAGCCTGTAGAGCAAGACGATGTTTAGAGAACTAGAGGACCTACTAGGATTTATTATTAGCAGACATAATCTTAACAGCATCAGATACGTAGATGATTTTGTATTGATGGCAGACTCGGAAATCAAACTGAAAAATACTCTTGGACAAAGTAGCAAAGGAAACCAAAAAGGTCTAATCATTAACTGCAAGAAGATAGAATGCATGATTACCAGCAAAAGAGATGGTACAAGTTGCAGGCTACACATCGGGGATGTCAAAATCAAGCAGATTCAGAAATTTAATTCTTCTGGGGAGTGTAGTAATAGATAATGGAGAGTGTAATACAGAATCCCTAAAACACAGCAGTTATAGGAAAGAGATGCTTTCCTGAAACTAAATAAAGTATTAAGAGATAGGAAAATGTTTTTAGAAACACCAAAAAGAGTGCTGGACTACTAAGTAATATATAATCATCTATATGACAGTGAATCCTGAAAAATCTTCTCACAGATGAAATGAAGCAACAGAGAAGTGATTTTATCAACAAATGCTGAGAATACAATGGACAGAACATGTGAGTAATGAGGAACTTTTAGGGGAAATAGGAGATAAAAAGAAACAGGTGCTAACAACCAGAAAGAGATAGCTAAAATTTTGGGGGATATGTGGAAGTTAACTGGTTGTAGGGTTTGTGTGTATTTTAAGTGGAAATGATTGTTCAGTATGTAAACACAGAAGATAGACACAAAAACATGAGTTTCTACTATAGACACTTATTCTTTTTATGGCAACTGTAGTGAAACAAAGTTCTCAAGTTCTTGGATATGTCAATTCTCTTTCTGGTCCAGAAGTTAAAGTATGTAAGTATAAGTATTGTATTCATGTTTGAGTTCAAGTCAGACATGCACAGAGTTGGAACAACCAAAGGAAATTTTCTACTTAATTTATCACAGAGATTTATACATGGTTATGAGATGTCCATTTTCTTTTTCTTGGTTCAGAAGTCAGGGTAAGTAAATATAAGCATTGTTACTATGGTTGTGCTCAAGTCAGCCTTGTGCTGTTGGAACAACCAAAAAAAAAAGCTTGACTTACATCATAGGTTGAGGTTTTGGAAGAAATATGCGAGCACCATGCATTGGAAAGTAAGAAAAGAGCTCAGTTGTTAGTGGAAATGTAATTATCGCATGGTTTACATCTTGGAGCAAAGAGGAGAAAGAGAGTGAGGCAGGAAATGTCTCTCTTTTTATAGGCTTCAACAATGCCACCTTATGGGCATTTAACAAAACCAAGTGGGGTAGTCATATTTCTGGTTACTTTACTCTTACCATCATGGGAAAATTAATTTATTTTTCTGTTTTTATTCTTCATTATTAATAATATTATTATTTTATCGATTTTATTTCATTTTCCCCACATATACATGATGATGGAAGAAGGATTGAAGAATTTATCACTTACAAGGGCATGTTGAAGGCAAGCTGTATGGATGGATAGCAGAACAAGGACCAAGATGAACGATAAGTGGTCAAAAAGTTAATTAAAGCAACAAAAAGACAGGAAGATGTGGAGAGCCATAATCACCAACTTAATGCATTTGTGTGAATGGATAGCAGAACAAGGATATTAAGGAATGGTAAAGTTAATTAGAGCAACAAAAAACAAGAAGTTGTAGAGGGCTATGATCACTGACATCCTGAAAGGGCATTTAAAAGAAAGTCACTAGACAAGAAATTTTGTTACGAATTTTGAAGTCTTTTTCTACTTAATTTGTAATTAATCAAAATTTACACAATAAACATTAAGACAAAATTTGAAATAAATAAAAAAATTAAACTAAAAAATATGCATCTGAAGTATAAAGAAACAAATGCAGTTAAGAAAATAATCTTAAAATTTATCCATTCTTGTGTTAAAAATGTAAAACACTATCAAATAAAACATTAATTTGCTAATTTTCATTTTTTTTATTAGATGAAGCCTTGTCTGCCATTATAATCAATTTTTGACAAGTATTTACTTTCCTGTTCATTTTTTATTAAAAGAAGCATTATTTACTTTCACTGTAATATTTGTAATTACTTTTTATTGTAACTATTATATGACAGTATGACTGAAAAAGCTAATTACTTGCTAAGATTCCATTTCACATTCTTTTTTATCAGAAGAAAACAGATTTGAAGACAAGAAAATGATGTTTTAACAAATTAAAAAAATAAAATAAAATAAATAAAATACAGATAATACCACCAAGTGAAATCTCACAAAATAAATAATTTTTGTATATTTTGTAAATATTCATTGGGGTTTAGATTTTTAAATTACTATTTTATTCCCCTTCCCCCACAGACAATGAATTGTACATAAGGGGACTAGTTAGTATTTTCATGGAATCAATGAGGTGTTATGGTGGATGTAGTAAGAAAGGTAAGAATGCGTTGTTTTGGTGCAGGGAATATTGTCGTATGTTTGTGACTAGCTAAGTTTGACATTGAGACAGAAGAACATTGCCTTTTTCCCAATTCCCTTTTTGGCCTTGTGCCACATTTTGTATTTTATTAAAAATAAATATTATCTCACCAAAAAAGGACAGTAATTACTATAATAATATTTTATGACCGAGCAACTTTTGTTATAATAATAAGTGCACAGTAAGTGGTAGGTAGAACGCTTGCTTTCTTTTTGTTTAATGTTTTGGTTGGTCGATTACAGATCATGGAGATAACTGATACAAGAAATAGAAGCCTAAGAAGTATTTTCTAAGCCAAGGCTGACTTGCAATGATAAAATGTGAGATTGAATATTAGTTGAGAAACATGGAATAGGCTTTGAGATAAACAGCAGGAAAGGAAAATTCTTGAGTCAGCTGAAGCAAATAAGAAACTTCATTTTGCTGATTAAATGGGAAATTTGTCAGCATAGTTTAACTTTTATGACAAAAACATATCAATGGTTTAAAACAAAAGAAAAAAAAAGAATTTCTTAGTTTTGATCTTTGAGATAAAGAATTATCAACAGACTTATCTCAACTCTTATTTTCATCTTGATTATTATAGATGTTATTATAGACAATGTTTCAGCCAAATAACCTCTGCCATCTTCAGGAGTCCATTACTTTTGGGATGATATGATATGTCATATATGCTGATTAATGCATTATTTTGTCTCTTCTCAATCATTTCTTGTTCATTACTGCTGAACTGGGTTGCATTCACTACTCTTTTTTTTTTTTTTTTTTACTAATGTTCACCCAATACAAAGCCCAAGGGCCACTCAAGGTAGAGATTTATTGTGTGGAGTTGTATTAGCATAAGAAAGAGCAAGATAACAGGAAAGATAGCTAATTCTAGACTTGAAGAAGTCAAACAGAGTTCAGGCGGAGACATTAGAAGTAGACTTTAGGAGAGACCAGAAACCCAGTACAAACAGAAAACAAGGGATGAACCTCTACTCCTGTTCAAAAGACCATGGACGAGTGTGAATTGGACAATAGGTAAACCTATCTACTCCTATTACAGGTATTGAACTCCTGACCTCTAGATGACTGCAAGTGATAATTAATACCTATATCTACTATGCCACAAAGAATATCAATAGTGTATTTTTGGAGCCAAAAATACACTATTGATATTCTTTGTGGCATAGTAGATATAGGTATTAATTATCACTTAAATCCAATGTCAGATGTTTACAATATTTGGTTATCATGGATGGTTTGTACCACTTGTTTGATAATTTTAGTTTTGATTTTTATTTACGAGGTGCAGAATTGTCTGTCTACTTGGACATATTTTGTTTATACCTAACTTTTCTATGAAAAAAAACAAAACAAAACAAAAAACAGATTCAAACATTTTAAATTACAAAAAATACACAATCAAAACAAATAAGTAAAAAGTTAAATCGTTCCTTTACATTCGTGACTGTTGTTATCGTTGAGTTCGATGTGTTCACTGCTTTTGATCCAGTTGCAGTGGTCACAGTTTGTTGTTGCTGTGTTGTTGGAGGGTGACTTGTTTGTGGTGTTTGTTGTGAATCAAGAGTTACTTCCATTTCATCTGTTAACTGTGCGTTGTGTGTGCCTACTAAAACAAAAAAGCAAAATTACTTTTAAGACAACACAAAATAAGTAAATAAGCTTGATTAATGACAATCCTTTTCTTCCTGATTTTTAATGCACCTCTATAAATCATTAACAATACACTTACATTATAAAGGCTTTGATCAGTTCTTTGAGGATATTTGCATGAATTTAGTAAACGACATAAGTCATGAAAGAAGAGCTTCCTTTGAGAGAAAAATTAGCATGAATAATCATGAGACTGTTCGTAATGAATCTACATAATGAATTTGCCGTTAACATTGAGGACCGTTTCAATACGAGGTTTAAAGGGATAACATGCCTGAATCAGATTAGTTTTATTTTGGACATTGTTCTAGTTATGACAGATTTCAGAGATTTTATAGTGCTATGAGGGTGTTGATTGACTTCCTTCTTGACTACACCCCATATTTAGTAGTCTGACGATTTCAGGTCTGAAGAGCTAGGAAGCCATATATTTGGAATGACATGATTTTGGAGATTATAACTCATCCATTCTTCAGTCATCTTGGCCTCATGAGACAATGCAGAGTCTTGTTGGAGCGCGTGGAGAGCCATGATCATATAATCATGAAGAGAATTGGGATCTAAAGGAAGAATTTTCAATTCCCCATCTATCCCAAGAAATGATTTGATACAAAAAAAAAAAAAAAAAAAAGACAAAGTAAACCAACGCAGTGCTAGAGGTAAGAAAAGCTGCAGATTTAACTGTGTATCTTCTTTTATATTCATAGCTCTCCACTACTTCATGTATTTTTTTGCTTTAAGTAACTCTTGCTCTTTTGCCACAACTCTTTGTCTCTGTGGTCTTTGTCCTGCCCTCCACTTACTCCTAAGGAGCTAATTTACTGTTTTCTTCTGCTTTTATTGTCCTGTGAGTATTAAATTCTCCAAGTTTTCTTGCCTCATTAGGTGTTCCCAAAATTTCAGAAATTTCTTTTCAATTGTTAGCAAGTTTCTTTTTAATTCCCATTCTCCTTACAACTTCCTCATAGCTCACATGTTCTGTTCATGGTATTCTTAACATTTAGTGGTAGAATCAAATATCACTTTAAGTCTCTTTTACATCTGGGAGGACATTATCCAGCATTCACTAGCATATAGATTACATATTATATAGTAATTTAGCACACTTTTTTTTGTTTCTAATGAAATTTTCGTGTCTCTTAACACTTTGCTTAGTTTCTGAATGGCATTTTTTATCTATTATTCTTATGGACCTTCAGATTTTTGTTTAAGTTCAAATGGAATTGGTGTTAAAACATAACAAGGCAAAGTTTAACAAAACCCAAACATATGAAACTGAATTTATGCATTTTCTCCAACAAAAATGTTAAATACTATTTATTGGATAGTTTATTTACAAGAATAATTTTATATCTAAAAGATTATAAAAATACGTGAACCAATGCAATATTTATTATTTACCACATTATAAAGAAATAATTATGGAAACAAATTTTTTATGCATAACTTTCTTAAAATATATGTGAACGAGATAACAAGAAAATTTAAATAAAACACATAACATTGGAATTATAAATTTTGAAAAAAAAAAAAAAAAAGGTATTTTCCAGACATTTCTTTTATTTGCTCTTGCCACATAAATTCACTAAAATAGGCTGAGAACTAAGAAAGAAAATGTATAAATCCAGTTTCATATGTTTGCATTTTATTAAAAATTCTAAAAATCTGGGATTTTACAAGTAAGAAAAGTAAGAAGAACCTTTCATAGTCCAGTGCTCTTGTTTGACATCAGAATTGTCTGTCTTCTGTTTAATTTTGCTAACAAGGTTTATGAAACCACATTTTTTTTTTTTTTCTTACCAGAGTTTTTCTGTTTTGCTTTCAAATGTGGATTCTCCTTCCAGTATTTTTTCAGCCCATGAACAGGAGGTTCTCTATCACCTCCAGTCTGCTGCATTTGTTCATTCACACGTCCTATGGTGCTGTGGCTACAACCTGTCACCCACGATATAAACTTGTAGCAGTTACTACGAACACCACCTAAAATAGTTACATAAACAAATAAAAAAAAAAAAAATCAAATAAGTTATTGCAAAATTCAAATGAGTGACAATTAAAAATGAGAGAAAAGAGATAATTGAAAATGGAAAACAATTAAAAACAAGAGACAATTAAAAATGAGAGACAAGAGATAATTAAAAATGGAAAACAATTAAAAATGAAAAACAATTAAAAATGAGAGCCAAAAAAAGAATAGAGCTGTGTCTTATTGCCATGCAAACTCCTGAGTCTTAAATTCATGCAGGCAAGGTGCCAAGGATGAGAGCTCATTAAAATAACAGCCATTAAAATATTTACAGGAAAGACAGAGGGAAGCCACAGGTGATAAATTCATGGTATGACAAAAAGAGAGTCGCTATATAACACATGTAGAGACAAGACATGCCTGTCTATACCAGTTGGTGATGATAGACAACTAAGGTGCTTGATGTCATCACAAGCCCACAGTGGTAGGGAGAACAGAAAAGCCCATATGGTACCTCAAATTTCATATAAGATATCACCAAGCTGACTGTTTTCCCTTCAGAAATATTACAACTAAGACACTCTCGCATCTTGTCTTTCCACTCTGCTTGTTTTATTCATATTACAATTTCTCTGTTTGAGAGAAATTAGTGAAAATTATTTATAGATTTGTATATAATGTCTTGTATGACATTGTGGTATATAAAATCCCTTTGTGAATAATGCCTGTCTGTCATTCTTTTCTTTCAACTATTCTGTTCCATCCATGTATTAAGAGTGTTAGTATAATAATGCCTAGAATAGGGGAAATATAAACTGGAAATATTCTTTCTTGCATAGCACCCCTATTAAGGATAACAAAGTTTAGAAATATATTACATGCCTTCTCTCAGACCCTGATAAAGGAAAGCTATTGAATATTATAAAGTCTTTACTTAATTCCTTAATTTTGCAAAATGCCATATTTTTTTTACTGTGACAGGAGCATCCATTTTTCACAGTATCTACCTCAAAACCCCTCCGTTCAGATTGGCATCTCACTCCGCAGACTGCCAAGGGTCCCAGGGCCTTCCAAGCATAATGCATACTAATTAGGGAAGAAGGAAAGCTAACCAAACACTCTTATCCTATACTTAATTATATGTTAATTAACCACTGGTGATTGTTACTATAAAAATCTATAAAATTTAATTAAAAAGGTAATGTGTTTTCTATATTGTCACATTTATGCTAAATTCCAATCATGTATCATGAAAATTTCAATGGGTTCCATTAATAATAAAGAAATATAAAAAGGAGATATGTGGATTTGAATCTGAACTTCTTTTATGTACCATGTCCCTTTAGGATGATCATGACTCTCCACAACTTTCTGTACTTTTTAGCTCTTAACAATGTCTGTATTTTTACAATCTTTCCCACTCCATGTTTTATGATCCATTTACATAAACTCATTGGTTAAGTTACTCACTGCTTTCCTCAGTGTCCCTCTTACCTTCTATGTGTTCTGTGCATGTTAAATTCTCTAAGCCCTCTTTCCTCATTATGTGTCAACTGTCTATTCCTGATTCTAAGTAGAAGTGTCCTTTTTGTTTCCTTTTTCCTTAAAACTAAACTAGTCTGTTCAAGATCTTTTTTCATTATCCATAGCACAAAATGTTTTTTTTTTAAAATAAAATGAAAAAAGCAAAACATTTTTCAGTATCATCAGTTTTATACTAGACCATTTTGCTTTTAACCAAGTTTAAAATACATGTTTGGATCTGACTGCTCAGATATTTGTTGTTATCCGAGTGTCGGGATTCCAAACTTTTAACAACAACAACACGCCTTTCAAATGAAATATAAAAAAAGGTGATTTTCTGAAGAAAAAATAGAAGCAGAATGTCAGTTAAAATAATATTTATATATTCTTTTCAGAAATATATAATAGCAATAAAATGTTCAATTTTCCTTGTAGTGATGTTTATTTTATCAAGTAATTAAGTGTTCATAGTGTGGGACATGGGAACAGACTTATTTTATGACAGTCAGTCTAATGTGTTTGTTAGTTCATAGACAAAGACTTAGTAGGCAGTTGGTGGCTAATCCCTTCTATTGTGTGCGTGGACAAGGCCTTAGTCAGTGGCTGTTGGCTGTCTCTCTTCCATTGTGTGTGTGTGTACGTGTGAGTGTACTCACATGTAGATCAAACTGGCCTCCATATTTGTTTTGAACCACAAGAAGCAGTAGGCTTCTATTTTTTTTATCCATAAAGGGATTCAAAATCTAATTTCACATAGAGTTGTGAACTTTTGGAATACAAGGTTTTCATCAGTTAAAAAATAATTTCATACAGGCTCATGAAAATTTTTTTCTCAAATTTGCAGGATTGGTGAAAGGAGTTACTATTTTTATTTTTGAAATTGTCCAAAAATAACACACAGCAAGTATTTTTGTTGTATTTTGCCCTTGTAATGATTATTTATTAAACAAACCTTCCGATGGGATTTTACTGGTCGTAAAATATATATAGGATTTAATTTCTATATATTTTAAAAAAATAATATTTTATTAAGCTGCTTCAGAAAACAAAACATTATTTGCAAATAAATTTTCATTTGCAAACATCACTAACCTGAAGGAGTCAGCATCTCTGCCAATACTCTCCGTGCTTCCATTTGACCAGAAATGGCACGTTCTCTCCATTTATTTAACAATTTAAAATGTGTCAGAACCATCTGATTGAATAAAATAAAATTAAAAAAATTAAGAGAAGTTTTTCCAAAATGAAGAGAACATGGGTAAACTTCAATAGGCACACCATATATTTAAAAAGTTTAACTTAATAAGATATAATGTCATAAAGCAGGACATCTGCTATGGACCAAAGTCATTATACATCCTTCAAATTTCACCTGCCAATCATCCCTTTAAAATAAGTATCTCCATGAGATCACTGGAAAATGAGCATAGCATGATAAAAACGGCCTTAAACTTGATGAAAGCAAAATTTTATCATCAAAATGTTTATGTTACTATTAAAATATTTTTTAATTATTTTTAAAAAATTTTTCCATCTTTTCAGAACATTCTAACTTTTGATTAAAAAAAAAAAAACCTTTGTTTCTCTTTGCGAGCGGAAGTACTAAATAACATGGCAAATTTTTGTGCATTTTTTTTAATGACAGATATTAATTTTGAAAATCTTGCAAAAATAGAAATAATTGTCAGATTTTAATGAATCTTTCAGAAACTATTCAGGAATGATGGAAATTATTATAAATATGTTATATTTTTTTTAAAGTCATGATAAAAATATTTTTTTTATATATATATATATTACCCCCACCCAAATAATTTTATGAAAACTGTAGAAATTCATTGTTGAAGCATGCAAGTCATTATATTAGTTAAAAGCACAAGGCTTTGAGGAAAGTAAATCATGTTTTGTTTTTTTAAAAATCAGACCTCATCTACCTAAAAATCTGCTCTGAATTGTAGCATACAAAACTCAATAAACAAAGATATTATTTAATTTCAAATGCTTTTAGTTGTTTTTAGTTGTTTTATGAATATGCATAATATTGTCTGAAGGCAAAAACTTTTTGATGAAAAATGAATTATTAAAAGAATTAATTGTTATTTCTTAAATTATTTTATTATTTTTACATTAAAGTTGTTAAATATTGTAAAATTAGTGGAAATAATGAATCCTTTACTTAATTGTCTTATTAAGTAGATCTATCTGTACAGATTATAATTTGCACAAGCTTTTTACAATCAACGAGCCTCCAGTTAGAAAAATCTTACTGTTCCTTGCCTTTTATGTCCAAAAAATGTCTGTAATTTAAATGTATGGAAGCCCGGAAAAAACATGATACAATAAAAACATCAAATGATTTGATTTTGTACATAAATGTTGTTCAGCGCTGTTAACGGACTTTACATTTTTATGTTTACATTGGGCAAAACATGAAAATTTCATGAAACCAGTTGCATTGAATTTCTAATCCTCTATTCTTACTTAGCTATGAAAAATAAAATAAAAAAAGTGTATATGATTATGTAACTATTAGAAAAAATGCCTTTTCAATATTGTCCTATAACTTAAGATTAAAAAAATTAACAAAAGAGAAAAAAAGTATAGCATTACAACTTATAAGGGTACTTACAATGTATTATATACCTATCTTATGAAATTTATATGATCTTAGCTTTATATTATCTCAGTTATGTCATTTTTCTATAAATGAAATATCAAAATTAATAAGAGAATGAGTGGAAATCCAAATACCGTAAAATGTAATAAATGTACATAAAATATACACTATTGATAATATTTCCTAAGAAAGGTAACTAATTAATTAGGTACCTTTCTTATGAAATTTTATCTCAATCTTCATGTCTTATTAAATTTTTTTATAGTATTATATTTTTTCCATAAAAGATTGTAAACATAAATGTGAAAGCTAAGTACCAAAAAACAAAAAATAAAGGTTAGAGCGCTGATAGTTTTCCTTAAAAATAACAAGGTAAATAAGTTGATTCACTTAAAAGCTAAATTAAGTCAATTCTGACCTTCTGTACGATAACTTTTCCTCATGTAAGATGTCAGTGCATGGTGAAATCATCACATGTTACTTGTCAATCAACACCGCTGTTAAGACTGGCTTTCTCTTATTTTAAAGTACATTTTTTCAGTGCAGAAAGCAAATAATGTTTGTTTCAAAATATATTAAATAAACTTTATAATTTCTAATTTTCTTGAATTAAATTTTGAAAAAATTATAATTGATTTTTAAAGGAATTTTAAACGGAGAATTTCACTTTTGTAAACAAAAGTGAAAAAAATGGCTGATGATTGATTTTCTGTCAAATTTGCTGATTAAAAAAAAAAGATTTTTATCGAAAATTTTGGATGTTCTCGGAATGATTAAAAAAAATGTAAAAAACTATTCAAAAATACTTTGATCTTTCCTCTTGATAACAGCATAAACATTTAGGCAGTAAAAAATTATTTTCATCAAGTTTAAGGACTTTTCTATTCATGCTATGCTATTTTTTTTATCGATCTCATGAACATATCGACTTCAAAACAAACAGCACTTGAAATGACGTTGATAACCAAGGGAGATAAATCTTTAATAGCCATTTAAAGGTTATTGCTCTTTAGAAAATGATACACACTTTCGTTGAACATTGTGAAATAATCAGTTAAAAAAATGTACGTGCAAATATTTTGGTACTTACCATAACACACATATCACCACAACATCTCATATTGCAGAGTTGACTAAGATCTGGAAGTAATCCCAAAGCAGCTTTACCTTTCACACGTGTAGCTCGGCACTCTCGCTGGAGGAAAGAATGATGTAAAAAAAATGTTACTTCTAAATACAACATTTGCTGAGAAATAAAGATGTATTTAAAAATGTCTTGTAAGAATTATAAAAGGCCAAAAATACAGTATTAATTGGAAAAGATTTGAAGTGTCTATTCAAATAAGATTTTCTAATCCTTTTCTTGAAATAGTTAAATTCACTGTAAAAATTAGATAACGTACTTAGTTTTAATTCCTTTCCTTTTGGATTATAATTTAAGCTAGAAATATAAAGTCAACTCATACATACAATAGCATTTTTTTCTTTTTAATGGGTGCATTTTATTTTAAACACCACTTTGCAGCCTTATGTTTTGTTGTTCTTTCTGATGATTCAGGCAGATATATATTTGAACATTATTCTATAAACAACTCAAAAGAAATAGGGATTTATATTTTTCATCATTCAACAGGTTCGATGGATTTTGAGAATGCATTTGAGAATACAAATGTAGTCGGGTGAGATCTCCATTTGTGAATGAAAACACTCTTTAGGAGGCTCATAGCCAGTAGCATAGCTAATGTGGCAGCCCTTGAGTTTGTTGTAGTGGGCTGAGAGGTGTGAGTGCCAATCCACCGTACAACTAAAAAAGGGGACACAAAGGCAAGGAGTTGGCAATAGCAAACTCAGATGGTCCGTTGTAGACGATGGAAATCATGTCTTTATTTGCGAACAGTGGGTGGTAAGGCGACATAGGTCGTTTGTTCGGGAACGGTATCTGGAGGTTGGAACTGGTCGCTGGACGTCAGTGAAGCACTGCAGGAGTGAGCTGGAGATTGCTGGAAGCTGCTGGAATGAGCTGGAGACTGCAAGAGTGAGCTGGAGACTGATGAGCTGGTAGCTGCAGGAGTGAGCTGGAAGCTGCTGGAGTGAGCTGGTGTCTCAGAGGGCAAGCAGTAGCAGAGAGTGAAGTGAGTGGAGCCTCGAAGAGTGGTGATCGAATGACTTTCAGAAGTTAGCCCTGAAAAGGACTGTTTGAACAACTGCTGCTGCTGATGCTGGGTCCCGTCAGCTGCTGGGCTCGGTCGACTTGACTGGGTGCGTCAAAGTCGCGATTCAGGAAGGCTCCCTGGCCGGCTAAAAATCACTGTGAAGTCTCGGGCATCTAGATATGATGGTTCATACAAGAGAAGCGGTGACGCTAAACAAGTAAATGAAGATAATTAATTTTGTGTCGTATTAATTACAGTCAAAAGTGTGTTCGGTGTTTGTTGACTGTATTTAAGTTAAATTCGGTTCAAAATTAAAGGTCTTTTATTTTTGTTTAGTGGCGAAAATTGAGTTTTGTGTGTTTCTGTCAGTTCGAAAGGATGTTGTTGCTATTTTTAGCACACAAGGGTCGTGACCTTTCTCTACCAGCAGGCATATCCGGGGTTGTTTACGAAAAGGTGGGAGTGGTGATTGGACACACTGCGACAAGTTTGCCAGCCCACACAAAAATGCATATTGCACTGTGAATCACTATCAAAGTTATAAAACTAGTTTGTGTATCATTATGGTATCGCTTTAACTTACTCAAATATAGTATGCTTTAAATACATACCAAACATACTTAAAATTCATCAAAAACAGTTAAAAAAAAAAAAAACAAAACAAAAACGGCATATAGGGAAAAAAAGTGTCAAAAATTAGTAGCATCTTTATTTCTGAAATGAAAACTACAACTTTCCCCAAAGTAACTTTTCTTGTTTTTGGTTGTAAATTCTTCAATGACATCATCAAAAACTATTTCATCTGTCAATTTTCGCTCTATAGACCAGCGTTTCTCAATCTTTTTACCCTTGCGTAACTCTGAAAAGAAATTACATGTCTCAAGGAATCCCTGCGCAAAAACAAAATTAAATACCATATCGTTCTCTTTTTATTTTCATTGTAGTTCAAGTGGTAAATTTCATAGTATATATTTTTGAATAACTGGTTTAAGGAAAAATTGATACTCCTTTGTCAAATTTTTCGGTAATGTTAAATAAAATTCATAGTGTTTGTTTATAATACTTCCCGCCTGTTCTTGTAGAACACTTGGGGATGTTTTGTGGAACCTTAGGGTTCCGGGAATCCCGGTTGAGAAACATTGCTATAGATAGTAGATAGGCCAATATATGTCATAGTTTAAGTGACTTGAAATCAAAACGATCCTTCAACTGTGAATACTGTCCCAATTTTAAAACCTCTTTTATTTCAATACAGCCTATACAGGCTTATAACCTACAGCAGACACAAAAGTGCCCCCCCCCATAAAATTTGTGCCCAAGGCTGAAACCCTCACACTCCAATACCTCTAGGTAAGCCACTGCTCATAGCATTAAAACAAAGCAAATGAGAGAAATCATGAAGAGTTAGATTAAGTAGAGATTAAGAGAAAGAACTAATTAATAATCTTAATTAGAATCCATTATTGAATAGTGGAAACAGAACCTGCAAGAACTGAACTCTGGTTTAACTTAACAATACTGAGTAAATCCAGTATAACTAAAAAAAAATGGTTGGTTCCCTGCACCACTCCATTTAGTACCTGACTCTTCATGCTAATCTCTACCTTTACAAGAGTCAGATCAGGCCTAAAATGGAGTACTGCTGTCAAATTTGGGAGGAAACTGCCCAGTCCTCACTTCCCAATCTCGATAGAGTCCAAAAGCATCTCCACATCCTTATGAGTGACAAATTATTTTTCCACCCTTCGCAGACATGACAAGCTTCTTATTGGAAAGTGCTCAGACAAACAGTATTCCTTGGTTCCGCTAACTCAAACCTTCATGACAAGGACCCACCATGCCCAGAGCCAGCTTGACACATGGGCCTGATGGGCACTTGCCCAGGGGCCTCATGAGCCCATTTGTGTATGTTAAGTGACTTGTACTACAGAAGCCCCTTTTTAGGAAATACTAAAAATAGAAATTACTATAAGTCACGTGTATTGCGATTGGTGAAAATATCTCATAATAGAAAGATCTATTTCATTTAAGTTGATTCTCAAATAAAAAAAGTGAGAGAATGTCTCCTTTTAGCCTAAAAGACATTGGAAATGATAAGGACTTTCTTCAAATAGGCTGCCCACCTATGGAAAGGCTGGTTTGTCTCACCATTTCAATTCACTTGCAGGCAATTTCACTATCATGGAAAATGTCAGAGAACTGATTCTGACTCCACATGATCAGTCTTTACACAGTCCAAGCACAGACTCACCAGCAAAACTCTCATTTCTATCTTTTAACATTTGTGACCAAGACTATTGTTGACTTTCTGTTAGAGACAAAATTATCTTTTATTTTTTCTTTAGTTTGATTTAATTCTTAAATTTCCCCTAGACTGAATCAATATTGTTTTGAATCTTTAATTTTAATAGATTTATATTTTTACTTTTGTATATAAATTATTTTTATTGTTATAAAATATAGCGTTGATAATATTTCTTTATTCTCCTTTTCCTTCACCATCTTTTTTTTTTTTCTTTTTGGTACAACCTTAACAAAATGGCAGCTCGTCCTAAGCTTTGATGTTCATTTCAAAACAAAAACAGCAATTCTGCTGCCTTAACTAAAACAAATAATTTTCTCATTCAATGTTCATTTTACAACAACAAAGAAAGTAATTCATATTTCTCTTCAGATATTTTTTTTTTGATAAAACTCAATTTGTATTTCTGTTCATTTAAAAATGTCTTTTTCTGTTGAAGAATTTCTTTCTTCATCCAATTTGAATGAAGAATTTCACTTATTAAAAAAAAAAAATCATTGTTATTGCAACTAGCTACATATTTTGATTTAAACGTTAATAGTGCAAGTATGAAAAAGCAGAAGTAACATAGACCTACTGTAGTACTATTAATAGCAATGACATGATTATTGGATATATTTATACAATGTATGAACCCAGGCATAGGGCAATGCATAGATTATTAGTAATTGAACCAGAGATTCAATCATAACTTTGAACACTTGTATAGTAAGCATGTAGTGGTTATTTAAGATTATGAATTTATGATGCAGTACTAATTACCAGGAATTAATAGTTTGTGAATATATGAATGGATAAGCTTTTTAATTGTGCAAGTTGAGAAAAGTGTTGAATAGACTGATACATAGTTGAAGCTAGGTCAGTGCCAGATACCCTAGCAAGGCCACAAAGCTAGATCTAGGTTTTGTCTAGCAGTTTTGTGAATCAGCACACAGTAGAGAGTTTGTATTAAAAATAAATACTGTTTGTACAATTAAAGGAAGAACATGTTCATTATGGAAGCAGAATGTTTAAATATTTAGGTCTTATTGCAAGCACAATTATATGCTATAACTTTATCCTAACATGGGACTAAATACTAAATATTTAAGATATATATTTCCAGGTGAATAAACCTTTCAGTAGAAATAAAATGCAATGTTTTGAGTGGAGCACAGAAGAGGAAATCTGCAGAGGAGAAAATAAGAAAACTTTCAAAATTAACATTGTGGTTCAACACTGGTGCAACGACAGCCATTCATACTATCGCACATGGCCGGAAGTTACTGCCGGCTACTCAAACATCTGAAAGCGTCACCGTGGAAAACAGAATGAATGCCGTTAACTTCTGGTGACTCAGCGTTTTTCAGAGAACGGTACACAAAAAGCAAAACATACGAAACATAAACAAACACAAGTTCTCCTACTGACCAGAAACTACTTTATATACACATGGTGTCCAAATGAAACCCATGTGTACAGTCAAAATGCTGATGGTATTTTTTAATCATCAACTAAAAGGCATTGGTAACCGGCTATGATGCTGACCAAAGCAGACATAAAAACAGCCGATTTCTTCCACCAAATAACTCGGAACTCAGCTGATTTGGCCCCGGGGTAGAGCGACATGCTCCCCCTCTCACCTTCACCTGGCCGACCCTCGCCACTGACCGCACAAAGCAGCCAACCTCAGCAGCAGCAGCGAGCCGACCCAACTTCAGCAGCAGCAGCGGGCCGACCCAACCTCAGCAGCCGAACATTATATGCGACAGTCCTTTTCAGGACTAACCTTGACCCAACTTCAGCAGCAGCAACAGCAGCAGCTGAACATTATATGCGATAGTCCTTTTCAGGACTAGCCTGGCCACACGATATGCGATAGTACTTTTCAGGGCTAGCCTGGCTACATGATATGCAACAGTCCTTTTTAGGACTAACCTAACCATGTTATATTGCGAAAGTCCCTTTTTTTAGAACTACCAAGCTCCGTTCTTACATGAATGTCATTCTAAGGACAAACAGGCTACACCAGCACCGTCTGTGCCGATCCTCTCTCTTCTTAAATGCCGACGCGCTTTTTACAAAAGGGCAGACACCCGGGGATCGACGGGACCTTGAATACTGCTGTTCCATCTGCCTACCTCAGAGCTGCCACCTTGAACCCTAACAACGATCCTTCTACTGGCACTCCCTGACTTTACGATCGAACTACGCCAAACAATTCCTGTACCTTTATTTGTCCAGATTGACAAATAAATCCAATGTTTGTTATTCTAAACCTCTGCCTTTGTTCCTCATTGTCTTAGCTGTTTACACCTTTCTTCGTTAAAAACTTGCGGGGGCGACATTCCCTATGGGCCCCGCAACAAGTGGTGACTTCCCGATGTGCGACAGCTAAACGATGATGGAGTCGGTCAAAAGTGATTCTTCAGACATGATGGCCACGATCATACTGCTACCTGCATACCACCATAATGCAAAGAACTGGTTCCTGCAGGTAGAATCGATCTTTACCATGTTAAGCATAAGTTCACAGTGAGCCAGATTCGCAAACGTAATGCAGAAACTCCCATCTGATATGATGGACGAGATTTCTGATGTCCTCTCTGATTTGCGCAAACATGAACTGTATGATCACTTAAAGGAAGCGATCCTCAAGTGTACTGGTCGTTCTGAGGAGGACATGATTCAAGAGATTCTACTGAATGTCACCAGAGGTGACAAAACGCCAACCCAGCTTCTCAGGTATCATAATAGCAATCTTTCAAACTCACGCAGAGTGTATAAAACAGCTGGAATAGAGAATATGAAGGCAAGGTATTTTATCAAACAATGTGTTCAAACATGAACTGCGGAATGGCAAGTATATAAAACATGAATGGCTACTTTATTCACCATCCCAGGGTCGTTTGTACTGCTTTATATGTTGCCTATCATTCAAGAAAGAATCTCCCTTTGCTACATTTGAATTCAATGACTGGAAGCACAGCAATGTTATTGTATAACATGTAAATGGAGAAGAACATTGAAAATGCACGACAGCATATTTGATAAGACATAAAGAAACTGAAAGCATAGATTCTTTATTACTTGAGCAACATTGCTCAGAGAAGGAATATTAGCATAAAGTGTTGAAATATGTGGTTTCTGTAATTTGCTTTCTTGCCTTTAGAGGTTTGCCATTTCATAGAGAAATCAGATTATTGGGTCAGCAAAAAATGGCAACTATTTAGGTATACTAGAGCTGCTGACCCTTTCTTAAAAGAACATCTCAAAACATATAGAAATCCTGAAAAAGGGTTTTGTTTATTTGCTTTATTTTGTTTTATGGCATATCAACCTCAATGGGTTATTTAATGCCGACAAAATGTTTTATTGCTGGTAATATTTTGTTTTGTCAAAAATCTGTTTCTGGTAATATTTTTCCTTCAAAATTGTATTGGTAATAATTTTTTTCAAAAAAAAAAAAAAATGTATTGCTGGTAATAGTTAACTATCTATCTTCAAGAAACTAGAGACAAATTTAGTGAATATAAATTCAAAGCCAGGAGTATGTGTCCAGATACAGATTACAGAGATGGGAAAAAAACAGGAACAAAAACGAAGTATGCGTCTTAATAAATATGATGGATCAAGCAGAAAAGGGATTTCTCAGTAAAACCAAAAAGTTCAAAGAGAAAACTTTCCTCCCTATTCTGGACATTAATCTTTGAACTGATGAAACATGCAGAAGATTATTCCAGGATTGGAAATCTATTTTCTTTCTTCAGTGAATTGAAAACCATTGTTTCTGATGCAGTAAAGAAAAAGTGTGAACAACCAGCTAATACGTATGTGAATTATGATGACCTTTTAAATGAATCTGAGCATCTCGAGCACTACATGACACTTGATGAAAATTGTGAGACTCTTCCTGCGCTGTACAGAAAAATAATTTCAGACAATTTGAAATCTGTATTCCTGAATGTTGAAATTGCACTCACAGTGTTCATGTGCATGATAGCGATGAACTGTAAAGGAGAATGTTCTTTTTTCAAGACTGAAACTTATGAAAAAAATCTGCTTCATTGTACAATGAGGCAGCATGGAAAATAACATCCTATTCCTGAAGACCATTGACTTCAAGCCAATAACAAAACAATTCTCTGAAAAGAAATGCTACAAATGCTTGTTATAATAAGAAGTTTATAGTAATTTCATACTAATCTAAATGGCTTACTGAGTATTAATGTGTTTTCCAAGCCCTGTGTATTGTTGATTAGTTGCTGCTGTACAGCATGTTTCAACACCAGTTTTGCTGAAGTACGAATAAAGTAAATATATGTTTAATATTATCGACCATTTACTTTTTATTCCTGTGAGTGGTTGTCATAAGGACCCCAACACACTGGTTTTCCCAGGGGCCCATAATGCTGTTAAGATGGTCCTGGCAATGCCACTCACATTGTAGCAAACCATCCTGATCCCCTCTGTATTCGTTTGGTAAGAAGTAAGTTCCACTTGAACAGTTTCTTCCTGCAAAGCACTGCTCTGTGGAAACAACTGCCAAGAAGATGCTTCGCCAATCACTACAATCTTAACCTGTTCAAGTCTAGGGTTAACTGTTATCTTAACTATTCACAAAAACTGTACCTCTTACTCTGTAACCCCTTACCTTGAGTGGCCCCAGCCTTGTACAGGGTAAATGTCACTTAAAAAAAAAAAAAAAAAAATTCACCCAATCCTCCTCCAGTTAACCTAGCCAGATTCATGGTTTCTTAGAAGTCGTTTACATTTTATACTATTCAGCTAATTCTATATTGAATTTGGAAACATCAGGGGCTGTAATGGATAATGGCTCAGAATTGAAAATCAGAGAGCTGAGTTCCAATTCCAGTTGGGTTCATTATATTCACTTACATGCAAATACTATCCTACATTAAAGTGCCTTTTCCTCAAGTGGTCAGTCTATTAATGAAATATGTAATACTTTTGGAATATCAATCTCTACATACATCTAATAGGGAGAGAAAGGAATCTAAAATATTTTTTTTTTTAATCCAAATTTTGGTCCAATATTTGTATGTTTAATTAAATAAGGACAAAAATATAAAAAATACCTTCATACCTCTTCAGTTTTGAGTTTCTTGTGGAGAAAGTTATTAGAATAAACAAGAATTCTTTGGGTCGCTCGTTCACAAAGTTGCAATTTATTCCTCAATTGAGATCGGTTGAGCATCACAAATTCTTCAAAAGCTTTTGATCGCTTTTGTCCATTTCCCAAGCCAATGTTTCGAAATCTATTAAAAAAAAAAAAAATTAAAAAAAAAATTATGCAAAACTTTATAAGCAGGTAAAAACAACTACTTACTAAACTTAGTTTAGTCTGTCATAAGGCCAAACATATTGAGCATCTAGTGAGGGTCACATTCATTATGGTAGTAATAATCTACAAGATAAGTTTCCTAGCTACTACCCCAAACAAATCAATACTCTACAGGTATTAAACTTAATCTGGCACAAGGCCACAAATATTGAACATCCAATGAAGATTGCACTCACTGTGTCAGTAATAATCTGCAAAATTAGCTTCCTAATGTCCCATGACAAGTTAAAATACCTGACAGGTATTAAAATTAATCTGGCACAAGGCCACAAATACTGAGCAACCAGTGAGTATCAAACACATTATAACAGTAATGGTCTGTAAGACTCCCTTGTTATCTTGCTTCATGATGAGATAACTTTCCCATATTGATATTTTCTAATTTAGCTTTGTTTGGTACAAGACCTCCAAGTGCAGAGCACCCAAAGAAGAAATAAACTAATTACAATATGAGTAGCCTATCATACCAATCATGATTTTATCATTTGATGTTCCATCGTCAATTTTATACTGACACATCCACAACAATAAAGACACCGAGAAAGAAGCTGAGTTTAGTCTAAAAAAAAAAAAAAAAAAAAAAACACAATAAATACCGTTTTGTCCTTTTTTCCGTTTCAGCTTCAAGTTCATTTACATTGTAGCATTTTTGCCTGCTGAGTTTCTTGGCACTCTTCATGATCTCCAAGAGTTGCTGAGCTCTTTGCTTCATTTCTTCTTGGTCTCCTAAAAGTCCAAGAAAAAGAGAAAATTTATTACAAGACATTTTTCTTCTTACTTAAAGTAGCATTCTAAAATAGGTAAAGTTTAACATGTGTGCCAACAAAAATCAGTGTCAATTATTCCCTTGATACTGTTATTATTGTATACACTTTTGACTCCCTCAGTAATGTTTATGATTTTAACAAGCAATCATTATAATTTGTTGTTTTTGTTCGAAATAGCTGAGATTTAGGAAGTCTGTAGTTAGAGTATCGAAGGAACAGAAAACTAGGAAGGGAAAACAAAGAAAAGGTTTATTAAATACTCATACATAGAACAGAAAAAGTTGAGTAATCAACAACTCCTAAAACTACTTTTACTCAGTAGTAGGGAAGACCAGGAAGTATGCTGAGTCCTAGTCTACAACAAAACCCCAAACATATGTTAAAATACACTTTTAACCACCTCAGCAATGTTTATTGTTTTGAAAAGTGATGATTAGAATTTTAATAAAACCCAAATATATGAAAGTGGATTTATACAATTTCTTTATTCTTGAGAACTGACAGCAAAGATGTTAAACGCTATTTATTTATTAGATTGCTTATTTACAAGAATAATTTTATATTTACAACATTCTAAAATCTAATACAATGCAATATTTATCATTTAACAATTTATAAATGATAAATATTTCATTGCATAAGAAATTTTTTTAATCCTAAATCTATAAAAATGTTTGGAATAAGAAAATTTAAACAAACACATAACGAGAAACTGAAATTATAAATTTTGATAAAATGCATTTTCCAGGCATTTCTTTCATTTGTTTTGTCACATAAATTCACTAAAATACATTGAGAGCATCTCTTTTTCTGCTTGCATATTTTGACAATTTCATAATTTTTCTGTATATTTTTTAATCAAAAGATTGCTTTCCAAATTTATTTCTTTATAAAATAGTAAAGATTAAATCTTTATAAAAAGGTAAATAATAAATATCTCATTGTAGTTGGTTCACAGATTTTTATAATCTTGTAAATAAACATTGCTGAGTGAGTCAAAAGTGTATACAGTAATAGCAGGATCAAAGAAATAACTGTCCTTTTAACACACTTGTTTTTGTGCATACAAAGCTTAAACATTACCCCAAAATATACGTTAGAGTTCAAAAGTTTGAAGCCATCCTCAAAATTAGCATGGGATAAACTTGACAGAAGAGTGAAAGAAAGAAAACAAAATGAAAAAGAGGCTCTTAGAGTCTTTGAAAAAAGAATGGAATCAATTATCAAACTTATACTTTGAGAAATTTTCGAAACAAATGCCAAAAATTTGTGCTGCTATAATTAAGGCTGAAGGAGGATATTTTGACGAGAGCAAAATTTAATCTTAAAAGCTTAATTTTTTTTTTTTTTTTAATTAAAATCAAAACCATTTCTAATTTAAAAACAATGATGTTTGGGACAATTTAAAATTTACCAGGGATGGTTTTATCAATCCACCCATTTGGGACCGAATGTGGCACAAGGCCTTTTTTTTCTTTTTTAAAAAATAAACAAAACCTTTTCAAGCACTTTTGGGACAATTTAAAATTTACCAAGGAGAGGAATACAAACCCCGACCCGGCAAACAAAGCTCCTCCACCGGGCCGATATATTCTTTTATATATATATATATTTTTAAATTTACTAGGGATGCCCTCAAACTCTCATATATATATATATATATATATATATATATGTGTGTGTGTGTGTCTTGAACAATAGAATTTTCTTAAACATTTTCTTCTGGAATATCAAATTTATTAAAACACTTAATATCTACCAACCTATATTAAAATGTATTTCTTTGTATATACCAAAGAACATCAATTTTACATTTACAATTTACTTTACTTCTCACAGATAGCTCATGCTTTGTTTTTTTTAATCATTTCATCCCAAGCAAGGCAATAAAGCCACTAAGACACAAGGGGTTACTGAGCATGAGAGAATATGAGAAAAAGAAAAATACTATTAAGGAGCTACAACAATAAGAGAACAGGAATTAAGAAAGACAGATGATAACGACTGAGATTGCATTTAAACTTTTGAAAAACAAACTTGAGTGGAAAGCAAGAAGCTAGAAGAGAGATCCACAAACAAGAAGTGTGAGAAAAGAAACTGTTAGCATAGAACTTATGGTTATATCTAGCCATTTCAACTGTAAAATGATGAGACCAAGTTGCCAATCTAGTACTGCACTTAAATTCATAGTCTAGGTACCATAGAGGAAAGTCCAGAGAATTACCATAAAATTATTTATCAAAAAAGCATAGAAAAGCTACATTACGATGATGGAAATGTGACTAGAGCTGAAATTCTAGGTCGGGACTAATAAGATTGCAGATTTTTCTTTAGATTTCATCAAGGATCTCTAAATATAAAGCAGGAACACTAGACTACATGTGGACCACATGTGAACAAATGATAGACTTATAAATATGTAAGATCGATTCAGGCAAGAGAAATTGCTGAACATGACACAATGAATCAACTTTCCTAACAGCAGACCTAGCAATTGATTCAATATAATCTTTCTGCTGAACAAAATAATAAAAATGTCTTTTACCACCCAAAGTATATCTATAATTCTCAAAATGTGTGTGTGTGTGTGATCTGATGTTGTTTATGCATTTCCAGTTTTCATCCAATTTTGATGAAATTTTTTTTTGTTTGATAGATAATTCTTCAGTGTCAGTTTTGAGTCGAAATTGGCTGGAAAAAATTACAACCTTGAAGGTGAAAAATAAAAAAAACTGACTTTTACACTTTCTGCAAAAATCAAAGGCAAAATTTAATGTCTGCAAAAAACAGCATACAATCAATTTAAAGAGTTGAAATCTAATGCAAAAGATTATTAGAATTATAAAAAATATTATATTATAAAAAAAATTATCATATTATGATGGTCCATGGAAGAAGCTCCTTCCTTGCAAGATTGAGAACACAAAAACGTCCCTTTTCAGGGTCACCCCCCATTCAAATTGTTAACCCCCCCTCCCATTAGGGATGTGCCTCAGTTGCACCCAATTGTTGTTACTAATATTGATTTTCAGGTATGTTGACTTTAAAGTTAAACTGCTCCAATTGAATGGCAAAAATTCCCAATAATGAAACACCTTGTTGAATTACTGCTAGTAATTTCATAAGTAGGTAAGTTAACAACTAAAATGGTTTAAAAGTTGTAAATGGCAATCCTTTATGAAGAATTCCAATCTTCAATGCTAAGAATCTAAGAAATCTATGGTTCCATTAAAACACTTACCATTTGCAGATAAATATTCTTGCAGACAGCCACAGGGCCGAGATTTGAAGTTGGGACACCAAAGCTTCTCAGCTTTAAGAAAATAAATAACATTTGTTTAAGTAGATCTTTGATATTTTAAGAAAGAGAAAGTGTGTGTGGTGTTGAGAGGAATGTACATTTTTAAAAGTAATAATAAATATAAACACAAATATATTAAAACAAAGGAGGAGAAAGAGCAAAGACCAAGAGAGAAAAAATATTAATACTCACCATAAAGTGGTGGATTTAAAACTATAACAAAAAACAAAGACCATAAAAAGAGCTAAACAGTTATCACTCCTTGCTATCCAGAGCTCAATTGAAAGTAAAACATATTTGTTTACTTAGATGTCTGAAGAAAGAGAATGTGGGACAAAAAAAAAAGAATACATTTTCAAAGTATAAATAAATACAGAAAGTCCTCAGGTTATGTCAGACCCTATGTACAACATTTCATAGTTACAGTGTCATCTCTCATAATATGTTGTCATGCTGTGCTATATGAGGAAGACAGCATTGTTTCTTCACCGGGCGTACACCATATTGGATTGTGCTATATTCGCTGTCGCTCATTTGTGTCGTTTTTCGTGAACTTTTTGCCCTTCATTGTGGCTTCTAAGTGTAAGGCGGACTTGTTAGTGCTTATGTAGGGGAGTCCCAACCTATGTCAAAAATCAGGTTACATTGCATCGTAGAAAACAGATCTGCAACATGTCGAGGACCCCATTAAAATAAAGGGGGAGCAAGAGCAAGAATAAGAAAAGAAAAAAATATGAGCAAACTTGGAACCTTGTGCTCACAAAAGAACGGGGTATCAAACAACATTTTTCCCTTCATACCACTATTATTTTAACTACCTTCACTCCTCAACAATGTTTATTATTTTAAAAAGTGATGATTAGAATTGGAATAAAGCTTAAACATATGAAAGTGAATTTATACATATTTTTTGTTCTTGAGAATTTACAACAAAAATATTAAACAATGTGTATTTATTAGATTGTTTATTTAAAAGAATAATTTTATATTTACAACACTCTAAAAATTAATACAATTGTATTAAAACTAATATTTATCATTTACCAATTTATAAAGAAATTAATATGAAAATAATTTTTATTAATAAATTTATAAACATTTACTACATTAAAATATGTGAACCAAATGTAATGAAATCCTTATTATTTACCATTTTATAAAGTTTGAATCAACTGGCAATTAACAGATGTTTTACCAACCATTCCAATTAACAATATAATAAATAGTATAAATAACAATCAAATAAACAGTGTTTATTATTTTTGTTGTCAATTCTCAAGAACAAATTAAATGTATAAAGTCACTTTCATATGTTTAGGTTTTATTAAAATTCTTATCATTGCTTTTTAAAACAATAAACATTGCAGGGGGAGTGAAGGTAATTAAAATAATAGCGGTGTCAAGGGAAAAACTGTCCTTTTAACACTGTTTTTTTTGCAGGCACAAAGATCCATGATGGCCAAAATATTAATACTCACCATAAAGTGGAGAATTGAAATATATAACAAGAAACAAAGGACATAAAAAGGGGCTAACTGGTTATCACTCCTCACAGCTCTATCAAGGACAAAACATATATGTGCAAAAACAATAAAAAAGGGGCAAAGAAAAAAATCAGCAGCTTTTGTTCCCCCTTTTTAGTTGCTGTAACCCACTTTACAACATTTTGGGAACCTCTTTTGTTTTTTTGTTTTTTTTACACTATTTACATGTGGACTATTGTCCTCATCTTTGTTGTTTCAGCCATTGTGCTATCCATCAATCTGGGTAAGCTACAGGGAATTCCAAACTGAACCCATTATTTAATCTACAGAAGGTAGACTGTTTTTATTCTACTGTCTATGTTTAGGAATATCTCATCTAGTTTTTATTTTTAGTACTGTCCAGTTGTTCACTCTGTTTTACTGAGTCAAAGTACACACTACCTGCCCCTGCTATGGAACTCAATGACTATGTCATCAAATTCCTTTGTGCATATATTTTATTTATGTTGAAGATCAGTGAAAATTCTTTCATTTAAAATTTTTTAATTATTTTTCCATGAATCAGACCATTTTTTAGGATTCGGGGGATAAATTACACGATCATTGCCCTATGTTTTCTGAGAGCTTTTATCTTTTATAAGCCATTATCAAAAGGTTTTGTGGATTTACAATGTCATGTCTATGTGCTTATATTTTTTTGATAACGGCTTCTGGAAATCAAAAGCACTCAGAAAACATTAGACAATTTATGTTCCAGATTGCTTAGCCTACACATGACAAAATATAAAGCCGATGAATGGGCATGTATTCCCTTGAAAATCATCCTCCTGCTATCTCTTAGAATTGAAGTTACCACATCTGTCCCTCTTATACAGTGTGCCCAGAGAAAAAAAGCAGTAAATTCAGAAAGACATGAGACAGCCATTGAAAACTGGTGACGATTGATGTGACTGAAAAATTCAGAAAGAATTTCTGCACATTTCGTCAATCCCTATATCAGATGATCTTCTTTGAAAAGTATGATAGCTTGATGCTCAAAATTGTTTAGCCATACATGAAGGATAGAACTAAAGACAGAAGTTGTCTGCAAATAACCTTTAAATGACAAGTCACAAGATCAAGCAGAAACTAATCAATCATAAAAGAACCAATCAGAGTTAAGTAATTACTCGAGAGTCAAATGATTATTCAAGGTCATCACTATTCAAGAAATTTATTCAAGGTCAATTATTCCTGAAGTATAAAAGTGATAATAAATTTGCCCCCCCTTTTTTTACTAGGCGCCCTGGATAATAAAGTGAATATGAAAAAGAAATCATCCTTTGTGGATACAGTCAAGGATTGGCATTGGGGTCAGAAGAACTGAAGTCGGTGGCAACACAAAATGCAATGCCAAAATAATATTTTGGATTTTTTTATTATCTTCATTGGGAATGGTGATGTAGAGGCATGTTTACAGATTTGTTTACGGCTGCGTGATTAACATGCCCACACAATTTATATTAAACGTAAAATACCACAAAGCATGAAATACAAGAAGGAACAAAAGGTTTTAAAACAAACACAACATTGTATTTATTTGTGTGTTGATGTACATGCATAGAAGTTAAAGAATTGATGGAGTTATGTCTCTTAAACTGGAATATTTTACTGGAGCTCATGAAGTTGGATTAATTATTAAACTGTAGTTTTAGAAGAATAAAGTTCTTGTCGCATGTTTGAAAATGTTCTGTATGTTTGTAATGTAGGTTGGAAAAGTTCATAAATGCATGAAATATTATTTAATGTCTGACCGCATGGTCAAGATGATAATTCTCTGGGACTACATTTTGCAGCAAGAAGAGAGAGAAAAAAAAAAGACAAAGTCTTGTTTGCAATTTATAGATAATGTAATCACGTGACAGGATCAAAAGAACTTGGCGGAAAACCTAGCTTAGTCACGTGCTGGAAAAATATATTGTGTGTGGGTGGATTGCAACGCCCACTTGTGTGTTTATTGACCAATTAGAAGCTGATATTTCCTGAAAATATTTACTAAGCTGAGAAGGCTCTGGGGATCCAATTCTCACAAAAGTTCACAAATCGACGACATGAAAATATAGCGATTATAAAATTGTCACATAGCTGTGATTTATAAATTGTCCATTACACAGTAGTGTTGATTTATTATCCAATGAATGCTTGTTGTTGTATAATTTGAATTTGTATAAGTATGTATGTATGTGTGTGATGATGATCATCATCCCAGTAACCTTTCCGAAACATCAACAGTTATTTTTTGGTAGGAAATAAACACCTAGCCCATGTTATAAATGCAAATCAACTTGGCTGAACTCTGGAAAACCTGTGGGGGGGAGACTGACTGCTTTGACTGGTTCTTAATGTATCATACAGCAACAGATAGGGGAAGGGGGATTGTACAGGTACAATCACCATCATGCCCTGATCTGATTATTTTTATTTCTCAGATTTCACTTTTTAATATTGTTCCATTACAGTACTTCCTTGATTATATGAACACCTTGAGACAGAGGAGGGTTTGAAAAAAAAATGTTTAGATAATTCAAAATTCTGGATAACTGAATACTTAAATATTCAAAAAAATGAATAAAGAAAGATTTTTTGTTCAGTTTACTTTTGATAAAAAATGTGTCAATTTTTAGGTTAGGTCAGACTCAGACCGGCTACTGGTAAAATGTAACCTTATACAACCTGCCATATAGACAGGTGGTTGGTAAGTCATGTCATGTTTTTAATCCTGTGAGGTACAGGATTAAAAACATGACTTGTCAATTTTTTTATAGGAGTCAATGGCGAATATTATAAAGCTAGGATCGGGTTTCAAGCGTTAAATTGAATGGCAACCTTTCGAGAGATGATGTCTTGATAAAAATACTCAATGCACTTGGACTATTGTGAGTATAAATTGGGCATCAGGAGGATCCGGCCTTTTAAAACGTTGCTTCAAATGATTATGGTAAAACCTTTGTCAGGCAAGACTCATCTTGCTTTATGCAAAATTAATCTCAGCCCTGCCTAAAAAAAACCAAAAAAACACAGATATGTAGATTTTGTCTGTTTCTGATGGGCCTGGAATGTTTATGTTGTTAACACCTGAAGGTGGATTAAAGAAGGTGTATAATCTCTGGTGTTACTAATTGAACTGTGATAATTCAAATATGTGCGTGTTGTAGGAAAACAAGGAGGAAATTAACAAGAATTAATTTAAGTGATTTTTATCAGCATCTTTATCAATCATTCATTATATTTATTTTAATTCTCAAAACGCTTGTCCAAGATGAAATATTAGAATGAGCTTAGTTCAAAAAATGTTTGGGTGAGGTCATTTTTTTCTCTTTATATTTCATCTGGATAACTGAAGTTTGGAAAATTGGCATACAAATAATTGAGGGAGTAATATATTTCCTATCATTCTTCTACTCCTTATCACTCTGTGTCATTCTGTTACTCCTTATCATTCTAATATATAGGAGTTTGGAGTCATTGTGGGATTAAAAAAAAAAAAAAAGCTGATTTTTTCAACATTGTATGTTTAAATTGGGTGTATGCAAATGTTTCCAGCAGGTTTTAATTGAAAAACAAAGTAAATAAAAAACTTTAAAAAAATAAATGTTTCTACTGAGTATTAAGTCTCTAGTTAAAAAAAAAAAAAAATTTGAACTTTTATAGACACCAAATAAGTTTCTGTTAATTTATTATTTTGATCAAACCATAAATTTATTTGAAAAGAAAATTATTTTTTTATCACTTTTCATTCTGGAAACAAGACTTAATTTAAAATTTTATTTCAGAATATCAACAAATGAACAAAAAGAAAATGGAAACGGATTGATTTCTTTTTTTTTTTTTTTGTATCAGAATCATTGCCACACACTTACCGATTGGATCTTCCATTTTGACAGCCAAAGCAGAAGCAAATGCTTGTGATTCCTGAAAGTATTTATTCTTTTCTTCTGCACTTGGTACCACAGGTGTCTTTTTAGTTTTACGAGGACGGTCAAAGGACAAGCCTAGCATTAAAGATAGAATAATTCAATACATTTTAAAGAAGACATTGCATGTTGCTTTTCATTAAATGTTATTAATCATATTTAAAGCATACAAAAGTCAGGACATATTTACTCTCAGTCTATGCACTAAAACAATTTCCTTCATAAACAACTATTTGTGTCTGGGGAGAGTTTGAGTCTCAATAGACATTTAAGGCAAAGAGGCTCTTTGCCTTGAATCCCAGACTAGCCCATATGTAAATCCAGCACTGGGTGAAGCTGACTAGTCAGATAAAAATTGACAGCCACAAGTGTATGTTTACACATGTATATACTTACATTTGTCTCATGTTTTAACTAAATGAGTTGACCAAACATGCATTAATTTCAGGACAACCCTCCTATGTCAACAATAAAAGTAAAGTTTCTTTGGGATCTTCTTGCAACCACAAAGATTGTATCACTTACAGCTGCGTAAATCTCAGATTAAGAACCACAGTACAAGAATGATTCCTTTACTTTCCAAAGAATAATATTCATGACATAAGGAAAATGTCTATTATATAAATCATATGGTAATTCATTCTGTCAAAAGACAATTTTCCTTGAGGCATATGGGGTCTGATCAAGAAGTATCGGGACTGTTGCTATGGTAACAGAGCTAAGTACACAAAGTGAAACTGTTTGGCACAGATTGACTTTAAACTGTGTCAGACAAGCACACTAAATTGTAACTTTGTTGATGATCTCTGTTATATGCTTGGAAGGAAAGTGTGTAGAGTGTGGTTGTCTCATCACACCACAGGGATTCCATCAGTGACCATGGCTTGTGCTTTTTGGCCAAACACAGCATTACTCAGGTGTGTCAACCACTATATTCCCCAGATCTCATCCATTGCAAGATTTTAAGATGTCGAGGTAATCCAAGAGATGCGACAGGACTGCTGCTTGCTGTTCCAGAAAAGAAGTTCCAGGAATGCTTCCATTAATAGAAACAATGCTGAATAAAGTGCGTAACTTCAGAGGTAAACTACTTTCAAGGAGATTAAATGCGAATTTCATATATGTTGTAGTTTTCTTTTTATAGCACCAGTTCCAATACTTTTTGATCACACGTCATATTGTAACATGCCAAATTGCAAAAACTAATAGAACATTAAATTAAATCTCTTATGTTTTTTCTAATCATTTCACCCCCAAGCAAGGCAAAAATGCCACTAAAATGCAAGGGGTTACTGAGAGTGAAAGAAAATGGGAAAATGTTAGTAAGGAGAAAGGACAATAAAAGAACAGGATTCAGAAAAACAAAAGATAGCAATTGATGCTGCATTTAAATTTTTGAAGATCATAATTGATAGGAAAACAAGAAACTGGAAGAGAGTTCTGCAGGTGGGAAGTGCAAGAGAAGAAACTATTAGAATAGAACTTACAGTTGCATCTAGCTAGTTCAACAGTAAAATGATGAGACCTAGTTGCCAATCTAGTAATATGCTTAAATTCATCAGTTAGAGGTACCAAAGAGGAAAGTTCATTAGAACAAAGGTCATAAAAAATGAAAAATTGCTGCTTATTCACCTCTGGACCTCTTCATTTAATATCAGTGTGTGGATCTGGGTCTTTCGCCAAATGTAGATCTTCATGTGAGGATATGATAGATGCTCCATTAGTTTCCCTCTTGGGTGGAGTGCTTATGTATCTTCCTTTCACCTGTTTGGCCCACATGTGCACATCCTAAGCATAGATGTGTCAATCACCTGTTAACATGTCAGTGGTAACCACTGACATTGTGTGAGGTGCAAATCTGTAACTGGTGGCTAGGAGCCACCTACTAGGTCAACCCACAGATGCACCTGGCTTCTCTGATGCTCTGGTGTGACACTAAGTGCAATGTCTATTTTGGGATCTCTTAGGGTGAGCCCAGTACACATTGGTGTCATCACAGATCAACTTCTCTCAGAAATGGAGGTTTCTTATTGAAATTAAATTCAATTCAGACCGTTTGGTATTTCCTGGCATGAATCATATACTACAACACAAGTAATAAATACTAGCAGTACCTATCAAAAATTGGTAGTTTTTTCCTTTTTTTAATGAGTCATAATTATTAATTTAATGACTGAATATGTTAATTAGTATTTTCATGATTATAAAGTACCTGTGGAAATTCCATTATTGCGTTGTTCAATAATTTAATATAACAAATTTAACAGAATAGCTACTGTATTGCTGTCATATCTGTGCTAAAGCTGCTCAATCCTCACTTTCAATCCATCTTCCAGCCACTTTAGTTCAAAAGCATCTACATGGCCTTAAGGGTGATTAATTATTTTCCACTCTACTGCCACTTTCCTCACAAACTAAATGTTGCAAGACTCTTGCTATTTCCAAATATTCTCAAGAGCTACAATACTTAGTTTCACCAGTTCGGACTTTTACAACATGAACCCATCATGCTATGTACACAGAATTGAAAAATGATAGGGAAATAAATTGAAAATACTGAACCAATAGTCAGCAATAAAGAAAACTTACAAAACCTCTGTTGCTTTCAATCCTTGACTATCGAAGCATGAAACATACATATGCTGATGGATCTCAAGAACGCAGAATGTCCAGAGAGAAGTACAGCACTTGTGTGTTGCAAGCTGGCCTGTTTCAACATCAACATGGCTGCTTTGAATGAAACCAGACTTGCCAAAGAAGTAAACATCAAAGAAAATTTGGATCCAATAATCTTTTGGAAAGGAAAGGAGGCAAGTGAGCAACACATTCATGGTGTCAGCTTCACTGTGAAGACCAAACTAATGGACCAGTGCAACCTTATTACCATAACATTTGATGACCATCCAAACCCCACTCAAGCATGGAACTTTCCTAACTCATCTCTGGTCCTTCTATGACCTTTTGAACTCAATAATTTGGACCACCCCAGTACCGAATAAACTTGTGGTTTTTGGGGACTTCAACCCCAGAGTTGACCGTGATCATTATACATGGAAGATGTTCTCAGTATTGGCAATGGCAAAACAAATGGACATCTGCTTCTTGATCTCTGTGCAGAACAGGCTGACTGTGACCCTGTTTTGAATCCTGAACGAACGCAAAACAAGACAGCACCCATGATCCAAGCACTGGCACATCTTGGACTATATCCTCATTCAGTCTCAGGACAAAAGGGAAGTCCACATCACGCATTCCATGCCTGGAGGAGATGATTGCTGGACAGACCACTGTCTTCTGCTCTCACGTCTCAAGATATCTATTTGTTAACCATCCAAGCCTCCCTCCTGCAAGCAGGCCTCACCAACACTTTGACAGTGTGAAGCTCCAGGACCCACCAAATCGAACCGCTTTCATCTATCCATTGAAAAGTACCTCAATGACTCATCAGACACAGCAACTATAAGCAGAAAATGGACACTCCTGCATGATGCAATGACATCTGAATATATATATATATATATATATATAGTGAGTGGAACAGCAAAGCTTACAGATTATTATCTTCTTTGAAAAGGTCCTTCTTTGTGCTTTATTTGAATCCTGATTACCTCTTAAAGTATATTTCATTAATGGAGGATAATTATCAATTTAATTTGAATAATATTGAAGAAGATATGTTCTTGATATCTATAGCAAGAATTAAAAAAGATGAAAATAAAGATGAAAATAACATAAATGTCCATTTTAGCATTATAATATCTTTCTTCTACTTCCCTTTCTATTTCTCTCCTTTTTTCTTCCTTATTTCCATTTCACTAAAGCAGACATTAAGTGCTTGATAGTGTTATCACTTCCTCTAGCTTCTGTTTTGCTTTTTCTCTTACACACAACATCTGATATATCTTGTTCCATTTTTTTCTCAGAATCAAACAGAAATGGTTCATTATTTATCTGTGGTAATGGCAGAACATAATGCATGTGATTATGAAGGAACTAGCAGAATTATAAATAGTATTTTTTATGGTTTTACAAGAAGAAAGTAAAAGCAAATATTTTTCGTCACTTCCTAAAGTATTTTCCTGCAGTTGAAAATTTGAAAAGTTGTCTTGGGAGTGGGAGGGGAAGTGTTTAAACTTACCACAGGCATTGCATAATGTAAGTTTATTTTCTGTGACTGGATCTATTTTGTGACGAGGACTTGCTGCCACCTGTTTAGTCTTCTTCAATTTGGAGACTTTTTTCAAAAGAGGATTGCAGATATAAGGGCACTTGCAAAGATCACACTGAAATTGACTACCTGAAAAGAAATGTACAGATATTTAATTGGAAATATAACAAAAGAAAAAAAACAATAAAAAGCAATTTTGTTTCTATGTTGAGCAATAAAAGAAAGGCAAGAAGAGAAGAAACGAGAGAAAGGCAAGAAGAGAAGAAACAAAAAGAGAAAGGCAAGAAGAGAAGAAACAAAAAGAAAAAGGCAAGAAAAGAAACAAAAAGAGAAAGGCAAGAAGAGAAGAAACAAAAAGAAAAAGACAAGAAAAGAAACAAAAAGAGAAAGGCAAGAAGAGAAGAAACAAAAAGAAAAAGGCAAGAAAAGAAACAAAAAGAGAAAGGCAAGAAGAGAGGAAACAAAAAGAGAAAGGCAAGAAGAGAAGAAACAAAAAGAAAAAGGCAAGAAAAGAAACAAAAAGAGAAAGGCAAGAAGAGAAAAAAAAAAAAAGGTCAAGAAGAGAAACAAAAGAAACAAAAGAGAAAACAAAAGGCAAGAAAAAGAAACAAAAGAGAAAGGCAAGAAGAGAAGAAAAAGAAAAAGAAAAAAAAGAAAAAAGAGAAAGGCAAGAAAAAAACAAAAGAAAAGGCAAAAGAGAAAAAAAAGAAAGAAGAAGAGAAGAAACAAAAAGAGAAAGGCAAGAAGAGAAGAAACAAAAAGAGAAAGGCAAGAAGAGAAGAAACAAAAAGAGAAAGGCAAGAAGAGAAGAAACAAAAAGAGAAAGGCAAGAAGAGAGAAAGACAAAAGAGAAAACAAAAAGAGAAAGAAGAAAGGCAAGAAGAGAAGAAAAGAAAAGAAAGGCAAGAAGAGAAGAAAAAAAAAAAAAAAGGCAAGAGAAAGGCAAGAAGAAGAAAAAAAAAGAGAAAGGCAAGAAGAGAAGAAAACAAAAGAAAAAAGGCAAGAAAAGAAACAAAAGAGAAAAGCAAGAAGAGAGGAAACAAAAAGAGAAAGGCAAGAAGAGAAGAAACAAAAAGAAAATGGAAGAAACAAAAGAGAAAAGAAACAAAAAAAGAGAAAAGCAAGAAGAGAAGAAACAAAAGAGAAAGGCAAGAAGAGAAGAAACAAAAAGAAAAGGCAAAAAAGAAAAAAGAAAAGGCAAAAGAGAAGAAACAAAAAGAAAAAGGCAAGAAAAGAAACAAAAGGAGAAAGGCAAGAAAAGGCAAGAAGAAACAAAAGAGAAAGGAAACAAAAAAAGAAGAAGAGAAGAAACAAAAGAGAAAGGCAAGAAGAGAGGAAACAAAAGAGAAAGGCAAGAAGAGAGAAAACAAAAGAGAAATGGCAAGAAAAAGAAACAAAAAGAGAAAGGCAAGAAGAGAAGAAACAAAAAAGAAAAAAGAAACAAAAAGAGAAAGGCAAGAAGAGAAGAAAAAAAAAGAAAAAGGGCAAGAAGAGAAGAAACAAAAGAGAAAGGCAAGAAAAGAAAAACAAAAAGAGAAAGGCAAGAAGAAGGAAGAAAGGCAAAAGAAACAAAAGAAAGGCAAGAAGAGAGGAAACAAAAGAGAAAGGCAAGAAGAGAGGAAAAAAAAAGAGAAAGGCAAAAAAAGAAACAAGAAAAGAAAAACAAAAAAGAGAAAGGCAAGAAGAGAAAAAACAAAAAGAAAAAAAAAAGAGAGGAAAAAAAAGAGAAAGGCAAGAAGAAAGAAAAAAGAGAAAGGCAAGAAAAGAAACAAAAGAGAAAGGCAAGAAGAGAGGAAACAAAAAAAGAAGAAGAAAGAAACAAAAAAGAAAGAAGAAAAGAAACAAAAGAGAAAGGCAAGAAGAGAAGAAACAAAAGAAAAAAGGCAAGAAAAGAAACAAAAAGAGAAAGAAGAAGAGAAGAAACAAAAAAAAAACAAAAAAAGAAAAGAGCAAGAAAGAAACAAAAACAAAAAAGAGAAAAAAGAAGAGAAGAAACAAAAGAGAAAGAAGAAAGGCAAGAAGAGAAGAAACAAAAAAAAAGAAGCAAGAAAAAAAACAAAAAGAGAAAGGCAAGAAGAGAAGAAACAAAAAGAAAAAGGCAAGAAAAGAAAAACAAAAAAGAGAAAGGAAAGAAAAGAAAGGCAAAAGAAAAGAAACAAAAAGAGAAAGGCAAGAAGAGAAGAAACAAAAAGAGAAAAGCAAGAAGAGAAATGAAACAAAAAGAAAAAGAAAGAAGAAACAAAAAGAAGAAGAGAAGAAACAAAAGAGAAAGGCAAGAAGAGAAAAACAAAAGAGAAAGAAGAAGAGAAGAAACAAAAAGAGAAAGGCAAGAAAAAGAAACAAAAAGAGAAAGAAAAGAGGCAAGAAAAGAGAAGGAAAACAAAAGAGAAAGGCAAGAAGAGAAGAAACAAAAAAAGAAAAAGGCAAAAAGAGAAAGAAAGAAGAGAAGAAACAAAAGAGAAAGAGAAGAAAAAAAAGAAAAGAGAAGAAAGAAACAAAAGAGAAAGGCAAGAAGAGAGAAAAGGCAAAAAAAGAGAAAGGCAAGAAGAGAGGAAACAAAAGAGAAAGGCAAGAAGAGAAACAAAAGAAAAGAGAAAAAAAAGAAACAAAAAGAGAAAAGGCAAGAAGAGAAAGAAACAAAAGAGAAAGGCAAGAAGAGAAGAAACAAAAGAGAAAGGCAAGAAAAGAAACAAAAAGAGAAAGGCAAGAAGAGAAGAAACAAAAGAAAAAGGCAAGAAGAAGAAACAAAAAGAAAAGGCAAGAAAAGAAAAACAAAAAGAGAAAGGCAAGAAGAAGAAACAAAAAGAGAAAAAGACAAGAAAAGAAAAACAAAAGAGAAAGGCAAGAAGAGAAGAAACAAAAAGAAACAAAAGGCAAGAAAAGAAAAAAGAGAAAGGTTTAAAAAGAGAAAAAACAAAAAAAAGGAAAAAGAGAAAGGCAAGAAGAAAGAAACAAAAGAGAAAGGCAAGAAGAGAAGAAACAAAAAGAGAAAGGCAAGAAAAACAAAAAAAGAGAAAAGAAAAGAAAAGAAAAGACAAAAAAAAGAAACAAAAGAAAAGAAGAAGAGAAAAAAAAAGAGAAAGGCAAGAAGAGAAGAAACAAAAAGAGAAAGGCAAGAAGAGAGGAAACAAAAAGAGAAAGGCAAGAAGAGAAACAAAAAAAAGAAGAAAGGCAAGAAAAGAAAGGCAACAAAAAGAAAAGGCAAAAGAAGAAGAAAAACAAAAAGAGAAAGGCAAGAAGAGAAGAAACAAAAAGAGAAAGGCAAGAAAAGAAAAGGTAAGAAGAGAAGCAAGAAAAGATGCAAAAAGAGAAAGGCAAGGTTAAAAATAAACTCTAAAGGTTTATGGTCAGATTTAAGCAGAAACTTCCTGCTTAATAAAAATTGGCAAGGTCTCTCTGTGCTCCATACAATAGCTAACACTTCTTTGTCACTGTTTGAATAGTTAGCCTCAGCTCATATTAATGTTCTAGAAAGTTACATTATAGGATGACCTTGAGACAAAATCACTGATATGGCATGCTCACTTGCATCCGTAGTTAAATTCCCTTCCTTTTTAGGGTCAAAAATTTTTACAACAGGTTTTTTTATAAGTTTTTACTTTAACTTTTCAAATGCTGTATTCTGCCAATGAGTCCATCTAAATTCATTTTTTTTCATAACTCTGGGTTCTAGCAATTCCCTATACTTTGGCAAATAACTGCTATAAAAACTGGCTAACCCTAAAAAAGATTCTGTTTCTTTTTTTATATATGTTTTTGTATTGTATTTTTATTTGGCCCAGTGGATAAAGACGTTGGTGAGATCCACTGATTAGACCCAAAGAGTTGTATGTTCAATACCAGGCCACAGGAGTGGCAAACCAAACTTGGTGAGTTGAGTTAAAGGAAAATAACTGAAAGAAGTATGGCATGTGGAACTAGAACAATCTTCTGCTGCTTTTTTTTTTTTATTGAATTTGTGTCTGGTGAAATTTGTTATCCCAGACATGTTATTGTGCTGCAATTTAACACAAATTTATCATTGTTTATGGTCATCCCAGCATTTTTAAATTTGTTTGAAACATAATCCGTTTTTTGTTTTAGTTCTTCTCTACTGGTAGCACCAAATACATAGATCATCTTGACAGATGATCATATTCTTAACATCACTAGTTAGTACATTTTTAATGGCTCTTTGAAAAATGCTACCTGATGTTTTTATACCATAAGGCATATGCTTCCATCTGAGTAAGCCTATTGAAGAATTAATGGAAGTGAACTCTTTAAATTTTTTATCCTTTTTTGGTACTATTTCTTCCCTCTTTTTTTCTCTTTTATTTTATTTTTATTGCCTTTTTACACCCTGATCCTATCTCGATACACAACACATCTATTTTTGTATGTTTTTGGCCCCTTTTCATATTATCATCATCTTTATTTTTAATATTTTTTTTTATTTCTATTTTTTTTTTCCACACCACCCATTTTCTAACAATGATTTTCTTTAAAAGAATTCTTTATCCCCATTTTTTTTTGCACTATTTCTTTCATCTCTCTTTTTTCTTTTATTTAATTTTTATTTTTATTGCCAATATTTCGCTATGTTCCCATATCACACCTAACACAAAATATTTTAACACTAATACCATCCCCACCCCTGGTCCTATAACCCTTTTTCCTCTGTGTTAACATCTCACTCCCTTTCCACCCACCACCAATTACAATTCTTAAATCTAAAGTTATTTTCACAAAAAGTTTTGCACAGTGTGAAATCAAACAGGGAATGGATTTTTTCTAACAATTCCACCTACAAGTGAACTCTACCCAGCCTCAAGAACTAATGTTAGATAGTCTCCACCGTCCCTCTGTTTATATCTTGCATCCACTGATGAAGAACACAGGCGTGTTTAAAAATACAGAACTTGGAACCTCAATCTCCATACTTTATTTTTGTCATATTGAGGAATGTTTTTCATCTTCATAGATGATCATATTCTTAACATCACCAGTTTTTCATACTGATTACAACAGTGCTCTTTCATTTGACTTTGTTTTGTTGAGCAACTTGTCTGCTCTGTTTATATATATATATATAGATAGATAGATAGATAGAAAAAAAATGAATATATATATATATATATATATATATAGTTAAGTTATGAAGAACTTGGTAAACTGAATGGGTAATTCCAAGGAGGATGAAATCCTGAGAGCTCAATGTGAATACAGAGCTAATATTTAATGAAAAACAGACCACTTTAAGGTACCATTACAATAATTTATTTCACCAAAATCCTTTTAAAGGACTCTGGATCATCAGGTAACAAACAACAAATGAAGAAATGAAAGGAAAAATCAATTTCTAAAATTGATGGGTAGTGTAATTTTTGTAATTTAACGGGGGGAGGTGAGAGTGGTAGGTAAAGAGACAAGGTAGAGTATAGGAGGGGTTAATTTCATATCTCTCTTAAGCATGCTTTATATTAGGTAGGAGGAGTGACCGAACCTTGACCTATTTAGATGGTTAACTTAACGGAAATGATATGTAGGAATGGGAGGGAGAAAAGGAAAAAAAAGAGGAGACAGACGACAGTAATACAGATATATCCAAATGAGTGTTACAGCAAAGAGAGGGGGGGAGAGGGGAAGTGAATCGAAAGAGGCTGTAATTTTGTTTTAACAAAATTATGTAAAAGATAGATTTCAATGCTTGATAGAAATTTAGATGTCTAAAAAAATGATGAATGTTATCAATTTAAATATTTATTTTTTTAAGTAAATAGTTTAGGGACTTAATATAAGTTAACTACTATTATTATTAGCATATTTATCGAAAACATATTAAAGAAATATTTAAAAATTATAATAGTTTATTTACCCGACCAATTGTATTTCCATAATATAGTAAGAAAATTACAGTAACAATAACATCTATATTATTTTTACTTTTAATCTAATTTATGAATGCAATTTTTATTTATTATTATATGGGTAAACTTAATTAAGGTTTAGGTTTCATTATTTAATAATATTTGGGGGTAATATTAAAGATTTTGTTGTCTTCTTATATGTATCTCACAAATATATTCATGCAAATCCATACATACGTTTATTAACATGCGCAAACACATGCATAGACACACGTGTAACAATATACACAAATGTTCATCCATCTTCATACATAAATTATATATACATACATTTCTCAATCATTACCTATATTTTAATATTTGAAATTTATTTAGATTTTAGTTTGATTCTATAGTTAAAGTTTAACTTTAGGTGACTTCTGAAGTGCCTCATTATTAAAGGAATTTCGTTAATATTATTATTACTAATAATAGTTAAAGAGTGGTATATTTAAATTTAAATTATCAATTTTAAAATGAAACTCTCTTCAGAAGATAAAAATACACTCTCAAAATTCTAATTATAGAACATTAAAAGAGAAAGTGATATTAAATATTAAAAAGAGTAATTTTAAAATACCATTAGAATGACCCAAGTACTTCCATTTAAAACTATTCCATACATGTATACACACACACATATATATATATATATATATATATATATATCTATTTATCTATCTATCCATCTATATATACACATACATATAGGTATACTCATATACATATACACATACACAACCTTATATACATATACAACCATATATATACACATATACATACATACATAAAAACATATACCTACATATACACACATGATTATATACATAAAAAAACATATGAAAAGAATTCTACCCATAACTATCCACACATGCATGTGTATTTATATTACAATGTTATACATCTATTCACACATATAATACAAATATTAATTCTAAGGTATATACATCTATATACATATACAGATTACAAGTAATTTAATATTCAAAATACTACACATATATAAATACATGTACACATATATATATCCGTACATATACATACAATATACATATACACATACATCTACACACATGCACAAACACACACATATATATATATATATATATATATATATATAGATAGATAAAAAAAATATATATATATATATATATATATATATATATATATATAGAGAGAGAGAGAGAGAGGAAAAAGATGAATATATATATATATATATATATATATATATATATATATATATATATATATATATATATATATAAAGATGAATAAATCATTGACAGTCTTGTGGGAGGAAAATTTATTTTTCATTCTGCAGCCTATTTTCTGCAGACACAATATTTGCAAGTTTGTCAATATTCTAGTTCTATTTTGATGGTAAATGTTCAGAGGAGTTCCATTCTTCGGTTTCACTTGTTCAAAACTTTACATCGAGAGTGCACCATGCTGCTTTCATGGATTTAAATGATCCCCATTTTCTTCCATATTCCAAACAGAAGAAGATAATTCCACTCAGTCAGTTTTCCCCTTGAACTGCTACTTTGTAGAACAAACTGACACATGGTTGATTTGTTGAACATTTTAATCTTGACCTCTTCAAGTCAAAGGTCAATCCTTATCTGTCCTCATAATTTTCATTTCTTACCACCTTCTCTTCCAGTCATATCACACACCTTATCATTACCATATTGACTGTAACCCTCTACCTTGAGTGGCTCTCCAGCCTTGTATTATTCATTTCTTACACATTTCTCTTCCATTCATATCACACACTTCATTCATCATTACCATTTTATTGACTAACACTCTACCATGAGTGGCTCTCCAACCTTGTATTAGATCTACATTTCTTATCAACTCCTTTCATACATATCACACACCTCGTTCATTACCATTTTGACTGTAGCCCTCAACCATGAGTGGCTCTTCAGCCTAACATTACATTTTCATTTCTTACCAGCTTCACTTTCATTCATATCACACACCTCATTCATCAATAGCATATTGACTGTAATCTACCTTGAGTGACTGTCCAGCCTTGTATTAGATCTTCATTTCTTACACATTTCTCTTTTATTCATATCACACACTTCATTCATCATTATCATTTTGGTAACACTAACACTCTATCTTGAGTGTCTCTCTAGCCCTGTACTGGTTTAAATTTAGCATATATTTAAAAAAAGAGTCACTATGTCATATACCCAGTACTTGGTAAACTCATGTATGGTACAAATATACTGCAAAATGAACTTACTAGAGTCATAAATATTGCTCTAAAGCAAATACCCTATTATTTTTCTGTTAAAACAAAATTGGATAATTACCAGTTCCATTCCACAATAAATGTCCAATTTCATGCATTCAAAAATAATAAATCTGGTCACTTATTGTGTGAAATAATTTCTAATATTATTTATGTAATATTACTAATAATAATAATAATATAACACTTTGATAAGATATTTAAATCCTTCTTGTTTTTTTGTTTCATCTATTGGAATAATGGATGAGATATTTGTTGGTAAATATTACTTGACACAATCTAATGGCAGTTAAACACTTGAGAATCAAGAAGAACATATTGCTCACCGTTTGGCAGCGTGTCATATGGACGGTCTGGATTAACAAAGGCTGATGTCCGAGGGTATTTCTTTTTCCTACGATTTTTTTTACTCGTGGATCCAAGCTTACTAGCTTGACTGGCACCAGATTCAGGAGAATAGGATCGCTTCTTAAATCGTTTACGAATACTTTTCCGTTCTTGGACAGATTCTTTATTACCACTTTCACCATCAAGCGTAGAGCGGGTAATCTGAAAGATGATTTTAAAATGCATTAAATATGAATTATTATCTAAAAATGACAATGTCAAAGCCATCTTAATTCAGGGTTCTTTTTCATTCTTGTAGTCCCAAGAGGAATGTGCTGATATGAAACTGGAGAATGTCGAGTTCTCCAAACTAGGAAGAGAACAATGAGTTCACCAAACCAGGAAGAGGCCAATGAGTCCTCCAAACTAGGAAGAGACTGACAAGTCCTCAGAATTAGAAAGAGGCCAATGAGTCCTCCAAACTAGGAAGAGATCAATGAGTTCACCAAACCAGGAAGAGGCCAAAGAGTCCTCCAAACTAGGAAGAGGCCAATGAGTCCTCCAAACTAGGAAGAGACTGACAAGTCCTCAGAATTAGAAAGAAGCCAATGAGTCCTCCAAACAAGGAAGAGACCGATGAGTTCACCAAACCAGGAAAAGGCCAATGAGTCCTCCAAACTAGGAAGAGACCGATGAGTTCACCAAACCAGGAAGAGGCCAATGAGTCCTCCAAACTAGGAAGAGACAGACAAGTCCTCAGAATTAGAAAGAGGCCAATGAGTCCTCCAAACTAGGAAGAGGCCAATGAGTTCACCAAACCAGGAAGAGGCCAATGAGTCCTCCAAAATAGGAAGAGACTGACAAGTCCTCAGAATTAGAAAGAGGCCAATGAGTCCTCCAAACTAGGAAGAGACCGATGAGTTCACCAAACCAGGAAGAGGCCAATGAGTCCTCCAAACTAGGAAGAGACCGATGAGTTCACCAAACCAGGAAGAGACCGATGAGTCCTCCAAACTAGGAAGAGACCGATGAGTTCACCAAACCAGGATGAGGCCAATGAGTCCTCCAAACTAGGAAGAGACCGATGAGTTCACCAAACCAGGAAGAGGCCAATGAGTCCTCCAAACTAGGAAGAGACCGATGAGTTCACCAAACCAGGAAGAGACCGATGAGTCCTCCAAAATAGGAAGAGACCGATGAGTTCACCAAACCAGGAAGAGACCGATGAGTCCTCCAAACCAGGAAGAGACCGATGAGTTCACCAAACCAGGAAGAGGTCAACGAGTCCTCCAAAATAGAAAGAGGCTGTCTTTCAAACTATGAGGAGGAGGTCATTGAATATTTCAAGATTTATTCATATTTTGGTCCATATCCATTCAAAATGTCATTAAATCGCTTAGCAAAAACAAAGTTCTCTCCTTAAGCATCCCTGTACATAAACTGTGTGACAAATATCAAATAATCACTTTCATTTAATAATAGAAAAAAATTCCAAGATACAAAGAATGATAACAAGCAGGTTAAAATTCTATAGATAGATATGGGTTTTCAAGAAAAATAATCTGAGTGAAGAGAATGAGCTTTCCTTAAAAGGAGAAAATAGAGCCTTGTTTACTGCGATGTTCTTCATGGTTGAGCAGTTAAGCAGGCCAGAAGTGTTCACTATAATAGTATTTGAAGTAATATATAATGTCAACAGCAGACAATCTAAGTTTCATAAAGACATATAATGATGTCTACAGTAGCAGAAGTGTTAATTATTTCAACCACAGAGAAATGCCATCCAGGTGACAATGTTTACTCTTGGACTGCCCTGCTAGGGATACTTGTCCTCCTCTTTTTCCTTATGTCAGCCTCTTACTGCCACTCTCCTCCTACTGTTCCTATTTTGTCCATGTTTTATATACAATTTCTGCTACATAGCAATCTAGCCCTTAGTTACATCACAAACTGATGTGGGTTATCTCCCCATAGCCAGAACAATTATGACCGAGTTCAATCCTCACTGATGGTACCACATCTAAGCTATATACAGAAAATCACCACAGGTACCTTAATGTGGTGTAATGGTTAGCAAGCTTGTTTTGCTAGAACATTTACAACAGAGTGGTGCGTTCGATGCTTATTGAATTCCCCATACTTTCAGCCTTTTCAAAAAAAAAAAAAAAAAAAAAAATCACTATTACTTTGTTAGTTTTGCCAAGAAGTCATGAGGTGACACCTATAAAAATGGGACACTTCCTGTTTTGTCCTTTTCTCTTTTCCACCCAGTATGCTGCAATGACAACATTCATGGGATCTTGTCCCCAAACATGGGAATAGCTGTGCCCTCAGTGACTGAACATTTTACATTCATATCTTGTATTTTCTCTTTTCTCTTTTCTGTTACTCAGATATATAAAAACTCAAAAAGTATAAAACATTGTTTTGTTGAAATTGTCTTCCATTTCTTTACACTCGTCATTTACATTTGCAAAACATTGTTGCCATTGTTTATAGACAAACTAAGGAGCGGTGCCCGCAACACATAAAACAACAAGAAAATTAAGTTTTATCTCATTAAGCCAGCATGTTTTTCTTTGCCTTTACTTCTACTCATTACAATTCATGTATATCATCACTATAACATATAGCACAAAGTCTAGAGTATAACATGTGTATAAGAGAGGTGAGGCAACAGAAATGTGGTTCTACAGAAGGATGTTGAGAATACCATAGATTGAACGTGTGTAGTGATGAAGTTTTAAGAAAAATAGAAAGGAAAAGGATGCTTATACTTAGAATCAGTTGAAATATCTAAGGCATATAATGAGAAATGAGGGCTTAGAAAATTTAACACTCACAGGACATATTGAAGGCAAGCCAGACAAAGGAAAGCAGCATATAACCTACCAAACAAAATGGTTGGTGGAACAAGGATTAAAAGAGATAGTAAAAAGATAAACATTGCTAAGAGCTACAAAAGATAGGAAGTTGTGGAGAGCCATGATCGCCCATGTTCTGTAGGGACATGGCACATAGAAAAGTGTCTCTTTCATCTGACTATGCAATATCAAACCACCTAATGACGTTGGTTTAACCAAGCCACACAGCAGCATGGCATTCTGTGCCATACAACTGTGGGAAAATGAAATAAAATCAATAAACTAATAATAATAATAAGAAATAAGAAAAAAGGGAAAAGAAATACATTTTTCCATAATACTAGTAATAAAGGAACCAAAAATTTGGTTACCCCACTTGGCTTTGTAAAATGCCTGTTAGGCAGCACTGTTAAGTTTATAAAAAGACAAACATTTTCATTCCTTCTCTCTCTCTCTCTCTCTCCATGATGTAACAGTATATGGAAAAGAACATCCCTGCTGGGACATGTTCGTTTCCTTGGTCCTCTGACAACCAAAATCTTTTTCCACTTTCCAATGCATAGCATACATTTTGTCTTCGAAAACCTCCACCTATAAAGTAAAGAAACCTTTTCTTTGGTCATTCCAACTCAGCACAAGGGTGATGCAAGCTCAATCATTATAACCATGCTTAAACCTTCCAACAATGGAGTAAGTACAAACTTTTTTTATGGTCATTCCAACTCTGCACAAAGCTGACTTGAGTTCAATCATTATAACAATGCTTATTCTTACTTTAACTTCTGTACCAGAAAAAGAAAACAGACATACTCAAGAAATATTGGGAACTTTGTTTTCATTACAATTTATAGAAAGAAAAGAGAATAAATGGTCTGTAATATAAACCCAAGTTTTTGTATGCTTCTTTAATTGTTTATACATGAACACACACACCTACAATATACACAAACATGCATCAGTTCGATAAGATTAAATTGGCGCATGATGCCAAAAACGACCTTCAGTTTGTTGCTAACTGGAGCAAAGGATGGCTTGTTAATTTTCACACTTTCAAAACTAAACTGCTTTCTATTAATCATTTGAGAGACCCCTTTCTGCCTTCCATCAACATGGGTGATGCTAACCTCCAGGAGAGTGACTTGTTCTGCCTACTTGGTCTAATGTTCTTGGCTGACAGGAAGTTTAGAGGCTATACTGAATCCATTGCTAGGTTAGCTGCTAAGAAAGTTGGTTCACTGTGTTGTGCTAGACAATTTTTTTCTCACTACAATCTATCTTACATATCTATATGTCTACCATTCATCTATGCTTAGGATATTGCTGTTGCATATGGTCTGGTCCTTCTGCTAGATATTTAGAGACCCTTGATAATATCCAAAGAAGAATCAGAAACATTATTAGTCCTGACCTGTCATCTCAGCTTCACTGTACATTTTCTATGAATATTTTAATGGCAATTGTTCAGATGAGCACGTCACTATGGTACCTAGACTATGAATTTAAGCACAGTACTAGACTGGTGACGAGATCTCATCAATTTACAGTGGAGTTGGCTAGATGTATTTGCAAGTTCAATGCTCATATTGTCGTTACTTGCACTTTTCAATTGTGGAACTCACTTCCATCTTTATGCTTTCCAGTCAACTTTCAAAAATTTAAATGCAATGTCAATTGCTATCTACTGTCTTCATGATTAATCTTCTATTGTTCTCACTCATTAGTAATGTTTCTGTTTTCTAATTCTTGCACACCCAGTAACCCCTTGTATCTTAGTAACTTCATGGATTTGGGTGAACTCAATTAAAAAAAATAATATGATGAATGAAGAACATTAAATTGTTCAAACCTATTTCTTCTAATGAGATTGCATATTTCTGTTTGGAATAGTATTGATTAATATGTACATACCTCATCTTTCTCCTTTGGCTGATGGAGTTGTTCTTGGGGTGTTGGAACTTGTTTAAGACTAGGACAATATCCAATCTGCTGAGAAACATCCATAGAAGACTGGAAAACATCTGGGAGTGAAAAAAGTTTTAAGACTTTGAAAAGGATTGGAAATTATCCTGGCTTAAAAGTTCTTAAAAATTCTGAAAAAAAAAAAAAAATTGTATGTCTCCCCAGGTGTTACAAGTACTGTGAGTGAGATTTATAATTCAACCATTTGTCCATGCATTGCATATTGCTGCCACATCTGGTCTGCTGCTTTTATGCATTTAGAAATTATTGATAAAATCCAAAGAAGAATATGCAATGTTATTGGTCTTAACCTGGCATCTCTGCTTCTGTTACTTTCCCACCACCCTAACATAGATACCCTGTAATTGTTCTGATGGGCTTTCCATTTTGGTACCTCGACTTTATAAATCTAATCACAGTACTAGATTGGCAGCAAAGTCTTATCATTTTAAAAATTGCTAGATAGAACTGTTTTTTTGCTTACAATTTCTTTTCTTGCACTTCTTATGGAACTCTCTTCTAGCTTCTTGCTTCCCAGTCAACTTTGATCTTCAAAAACTTAAATGCTATGTTAATTGTTATTGACTGTCTATTCTTTTATTGTTCTCTCTCCTTAATAGTTTTTTTCTTATATTCTTTCACACTCACCTTGCACCGTAGTGGCTTTATTAACTTGAGGTGAAAAAAATATATATACCTATGGGAAAATTAGCAACTACCCATATGTGATGTAATCAGAGGGACAAAGAACAAAACAAATGAAACATGTAAAAACATACTTTATAAATAATACATTTATGCAAGGAGAAAAAGAAAATGGAATTGATAAACATATTTCTTTAGCAGTTAATGTCAGTTCATTGGAGACAAAGTCCAATACATGAATCTGTTTGAAATGGATAAAAACACTTATCTCAAGTTGATGATATCTCTTCTTCTAATGTCTGTTTGATGAGGCATTAATTGGTCTATTCATTTTTGCATGTGGCCAAATTTGCTCGTCCTTTGAAATAAGTTAAAACGTGTCCTTTAACCTCGGTATCTTCAAGCCTCTCACCTTTGGCACTCAAATCCATTTGGCGCCTAAATTTGGCCATTATTACCAGATAAATGGACTCATCTCTCCCTACCAGGGATCTTATCAACAAAGGTGGAGATAACCTATATTTTTCATATATAAAACCTCTTACAATTCAAAATATGTTTCAGCTTTAAATAGCTCATGGAGGGTTTGTAAAATTTGTAAAAATCAAAATCAAGCAATCAATAAATCTCTGGGGTTCAAATATCAGTGAAAATATGAAAATCAAATCAGATCACATATTTTAATAATTTTGTAAATGTTTATAACAAATTTATGAATAAAAAATTGTCTTCATATGTATTTCTTTATAAATTGGTAAATGATAAATATTGCATAGCATTAGTTTTAAACTTTTAATTGTATTCATTTATGGAATATTGCAAATATAAAAATTATTCTTGTAAATAAACAATCTAATAAATACTGTTTAATATTTTTGTTGTAAATTCTCAAGAACAAAGAAAATGTATAATTCACTTTCATCATATGTTTTGGCTTTATTACAATTCTAATCATCAATTTTTAAAACAATATACATTGCCATGGAATGAAGGTAGTTAAAATAATAGTGATGTCAAGAGAAAAAAACCTCCTTTTATCATATTGTTTCTTTTTAATGTGATTTAAAAATTTTGGCAATGTGACAAAATTTTTAAATGGCAGTAAAAACAAAAATAGCAGTCTGTGAGAACTTTAAGGCATGATCCAAAATCTCTAAAAATAACTCTTTTCTAGAAATTACGAAAATTTCATCAGGCATCTTTAAAATTTAAAAATTCTGATAATCTTACTTATTATAAAACGCAGATTGTGTGTGTGTGTGTCTGTACGTTTATATATTGGATTGGATTTCCTACATTTTTCAACCAATTTCAACAAAACTTCACAGGACTGCATAAAATTACCTTGCAGTGGTTCTGACTGCGCCAAAAATTGGAAAAACACAATTGTTTTTGCACGAAATCAATTTGAAAACACAATAAAACACAATTCTGTTGCCAGAATGAAAGGGGGACAACTCATATCGAGTTATACTTATAAAACCCAGGTTGTGTGTGTGTATGTGTGTGTGTGTGTGTGCGTTCGTTTATATATGGGATCGGATTTCCTACATTTTTCAACCGATTTCAACAAAACTTCACTTTTTTTGGCTGGTAGTGTTTCTTATTGTCTTGCACACTTTTTTTCTTTATTTTTACATTCAGAATGCTTTAAAAATTCCATTTACAAGACAATTGTTTATAATTGGTCAGTTGTGGATTAAGTTTAATAAAAAGAAAAAACAAAGTGTTTTACACACATACACACACACACAAAAAGAAAAAAAAACAAATGTAAACAAAGATTTTATTAGCAGTTTGCTGACTAATTGGTTTGGTTCGTTTTACGGCATATCAACACCTCAATGGGTTATTTAATGCTGACAAAATTTTTATTGTTTTGTCAAAAATCTATTTCTGGTAATATTTTTCCTTCAAAAATGAGTTGCTGGTAATAATTTTTCCCCAAAAACTATTGCTGGTAATATTTTTTCCTCAAAAATGTATAGCTGGTAATATTTTTTTCTTCAAAAATTTATTGCTGGAAATAAATTTTTTTACAAGGTATTTCTGATATTAAAACTTATTTTTACACTTTCACAGTGTTATCACCCCAGTTTTGGTGTTAACTGTTTGCCCATAGCTGTAACCCTAACAGGTGCTACCACCCCGGGTCAGGGCAGACCTGGGAACACCAACAATTTAAGAGGTTGTTTCACGCTCCTCAAAACCTCCTGATCAGAGGATTTGCTATTGGACGTAGTTTATCGTCATACCCAGGACGCGTTTGCTGAATGAAAGACATTTTATTTTATTTTCTTTTAATTAAAATTTTGTTTAGAAAATTAAACATTGGCGGGTTTTCTTTTTCTTTTTTTCGAAATTGAATGAAAAAATAAATCGTCGATTAATAACAGAACGTTTGAAAAATCATTTTAAGTTTTTTTTTTTCATAATTTTTTAATTTTGATGACACTTGTTCTTGTTTTTTGTTGTTCCTGACTAACCGTGATGATTTGGTGTAAAAAAGTATGAGATTAATTTTTAAAAAAAAGGGGGGGGGAGTCGTAGGACCATTTATTGACCATCTTAAACAAAATAACGATTATTGATTTTAAAAATGAATTTATTAATAATGTGAAGAAAGAAGTGTTTTGGACTAAACTAAAAACATCACTACTTGGCTCCTATTGTGTCCATCTTCTCAGGAATTTATTTTTTCATCACAAGCGTCTTGTGTTCAAATCAAAGTTTTCATTTTCAATAAAACAAAAACAAACTTGTCTTTGGTTGAGGACAAATTTGGCGCTATACAAGCTTCCGAAAGTTTTAATGAAGAACCTTGTCTTGTCAGTAAAGAGTATAAAAGTACAATGAAAGAATAATACAAAAATAAACTAATTTCATTTAAGTAAACTTACTTTTTGTGTGTGTATTTGTTTAGTGACGATTATTGACAAGAGCCAACGACGATCACCAAAAAAAAAAAAAAAAAAAAAAGTACATCTGAGATATAAAAATATGTTTCTTTTAACTTTTTAAGTATGCAAACTGAGTGACAATTTTAAATAAAAAGATGACAGCCACGTAGAACAAATAAAAAATGTGCTTTTTTTTCCTGGAAAACTTCGACTACCAGCAACTGTTTCAGATTCAATATGAGAATAAAAAATAACATAAAACAAACAAAAAAAGTAAAACTATTTCTGATTTCAAGTCAGAGTTGCTATGTTGTCATTAACAAACTAAATGAAATGTCCCTGAAAAATCGCCAAAAATAAAAAAAATAAAAATTCTAATTTTAATTACGACAAAATTCTGAACTTGTTAGTTACAAAAAGCGCAAAAATGTCACATACATTTTTTCTGTCAAAGGTTTTAGTAAATTTTAAATAACTCTGGTTATATTGAATTTTTATAATAATTTAACAGAACTTTTAAATATTCTGATTGAGGCCATAAAACTTTTCTCAAGTTTTCCTTAAACTTTAAGGTTAAAGAAAAGTGTTTAAAAACCTTAAATCGCTTAAATTAAGTTTTTCCTTGTTCAGTTGATAAATTTTTCTTTTCTCTTTGATTGTGAAGATGAAATTTACTTAAGTCCAAACAACAGTTGCTTTCCCCCAAAAAATAAAAATTAAAAATGACTTGAAGATAAACTTTAAAAAATTAATTTTTGTCAAAAATTTAAACTTGCTTTGTAAATTTATTATTCAGATAAAGTATTATTAACAAATTAAGTGTAGTACAGATATTACAAAACAAATCAACTGAGGAAATAAAATATTAAATAAAAAATAAAATTACGATTTCAAAACTTCAACTGAAGAAAAGAATGACATGTTGTTTAGCTAATATTTGTAGAAAAAAAAACAAGATTGCTGCTTTAAAATAAAGATTTGTGAATGAAACAACCACATAATTTCGAAATGAGTGTTTATCAATGTTATTTTGATGTGGGTCGAGTGGAGGGGGAATTAAAATTAAGTGATCGACGATAGAAAGAGAACTAAAAGCTTGAAACAAAACAAATCCTTTTTCCTTTTCTATTTTCGGCGCGAGTTGATTGAACGAGAATGATGGGAGAATTGAAATTTGAAGATGAAGGGCAGGTAAGGAGAAAACCGTTATAACCTACCCGTTAAGGACGGGCTTCCACCTTCTAAAGTTTCGTCTTCGATGAGTTGGCTACTAGCATACTGTTGTGAAGAACATGGCTCGGCGTTTAGATTCGTTTGTTGGCCATTTATAAGACTCTCAATGTTGACCGAGACTGTTGAAGAATCATTATAGTCCGACTCCTCAACAGGCCAACTCGACGCCATGTTAATTTCTCCGCATTGAACAAGCCACGCCTACATACGGGCATTTAAAGATGTCTGCGCCCTTATCTTTGCTCAATAGCATGTGTTTCGGTCTTTTAACCGCATCAATTTGATGCTTGGTTGGTTTTATTTTTTTACATTTTACCTAAAAAAATACAATTTAAATTTTCCTGTGATAATATTTACCCCTGAATGTAAGTATATCAATTTGTTGTGTTTAAACAAGTTTGTTTTTAAATTGGCATTGATGATGACTGTCCTAAAGTGGCAGTAGCGTAAAGTGAGAATGACAGGATTAACTTCTGAAATCAATGTTGCGTGAAGTTTTTATTGTCAAAATACTGTCTTTTTACTGTTTATATTATACAACTGCTTCTAATGATTATGAAATTAAAGCACACACCATCTTCTCTGCATAAATTGTACTAGCCTTTCGCGTTTTTTTTTGTTTTTGTTTTTTTCACAAATTTAAATTAAAAATGCTACACGTTTTTTTACTTCATAATTTTGGTCTCAAATGAATCTATTTCAATTTTACAACTGTTGATTCATCGTATTATTAAATATGAAATTTCAAGATGTTACAGTATATTAATAATTCTTAATCTTCGTCACTTATTGTGTGACATTTAAAATTTAATTTTTCCAATGAAAAAATTAAATTATAACGTGTTCAAGAGTAGATAGAATCGGAAACCTTATTATTTAAATATTTAGGAAGATGACTTTGGTAAGAAAAATAAATAAATAAATAAACTACGAAAGTATTAATTAAACATTTAATTTTAAAATATGCTGCATGACCAGTGTTTACACAGATGCGATTGACATGTTTTACTTTAATTTAGGAAATGTCTTTAGTCTATGGCATCAACTACCCGAATAAGGCATACCGGTAAATCTTGTGTTTTAATGTGTCTAGTACACTTTAATTATGCAAAAATCATACTACAAGTTTAACAAGTTTCGACTCCCGCCATTTACCGGACACGTTTTGGAAAGGCAGTAGCGATTTATCACCCGCTTTTTCTTCTCTGTGCTGTGTCCCTTCAGAACGTCGGCGATCATGGCTCTCCATAATTTCCTGTCTTTTGTAGCCCTTGGTAAAATTTGTCTTTTCCTATTTCTCCTTATCCCTGTTTTGCCGACCATTTTTGCATAAGGTTGTTAGGTAGGTTTATGCGCTGCTTTCCTCTGTCTCTTGCTTTCAATATGTCCTGTGCCTGTGTTGATAGTGTCAAGTTTTCCAAGCCCTCTTTTCTCATTATGTTTATCGTCTGCTTACTAAATATTAAAAAAAAATAACAGCTTGAAATAATTTTCCAGTGGCGGGATTTTTTTTTTTTTTTTTTAATTAGTCAAGTATAATATTAATTTTGTTATTGTTGTAAGTGTAATTGGCAAAAATGCCCAACATACAGATTTTTGACAAAGCTTACAATAAACAATAACAAAGAAAAGAACTGAACAAAAATAATACTAAGCAAACAATATATACAAGACAAAATTATACAAAGCAACAGTAATGAAGCAAGAAAGTTCACAAATTAAGAATGGTGTTAACACTCGAAAGGGATACAAAGAAATGATAACAGTGTTCTTCTGAGTTGAAATCAAGAAAGGACAGAACTAAGTTGGATGAGACGGGGAAGTGGCCTATCTTATTGGCTCAGAAGAAACCCCAGAATACACCTGTATGTTTTGTTTATAAATTTGAGGAGGGAATGTTTCTGTAGTCAATCCCAAATTTAACAGGAACAAACTACTAAACAGTTTAGGAAATTTAATTCAGTTGTATGTTTTTGGGGGGCATGATACTAAGGAAATTTAATTCAGCTGATTTGTATAACTAATTATATCAATGAGCTGTCGATAATTCATTTGTTTTTGTTTGTTTTTGTTTTTGTTTTTTTTAAATATATCACTACCACTCTCCCTTTTGGTAAAAGTTTGTCAAGCCAAAAAAACTCTTAATTGAACATCTCATATTATAATTCTGCTTATTCCCTACTAAGTACATTATGCTCTGCCAATGCCTATAGGCTATTCCATTTTGATCACCAGAAAAGACTGAAAAGACATATCAGCAACACTGTGTCTTTTGCCTTCACCAAACGCCCATTAGGTGACACTGTTTAAGTTCTATAAAAAAAAAAGATAAACATTTTCTTCTTCTTGCTCCAAGATGTAGCAGAATGTAGGTGAAAGTTTCCCCGGTTGACTGACAACTGAACTTTTACACACATGCACACTTGTATCACACACACAAACAATTACATTTTTAATAGCTAAGGTTTTAATGTTTTTTCTTTTACTTTCTGCACATAAATGTAATATTTTTCTCTTTGTTAATACATGCATTGTCTGTTTAAAAACCTATGTTTTGTGACTTATTTTTACCCAGACACACTGCCAAATATTGTTGGCAGGACAAATGTTCCTGGAGCCATTAAATATTTATTGAAAAACATCCACACCTCGCAACAAGTGGTGATTCTCGTAACAGCCGTTTGGTTTCTATGAGAAAAGAAGGAGATCATAGAGGAAGTGATAATGCTCTCATGTGTTTAACATCTGCTTCAATGAAATGGAAAACCTTGTCAATTTTAAATCTTTTCATTTGTACCCTCTTACTTCTTTAAATAATGGCCTGCATTCATATTTATGATTATTATTGCAATATTTTGTTAAATTTATTGAACTCCAGTATTTAACTATGCAAAGTAGCGGGGGGATTTATAATTGTAGAACTTGCAAATATTTTATTCATTCATTAAATTAAGAATTATGATTCATCAGAAAATTAAAATTGAAAAATCATTAAATTTTCACAGGTATTTCTAGTTATTTTTAATTGTGTAACTGTGGTAAAAATAACAAAAACAAAACAACATTGATGGTTATAAAACTGATATCTGGTCTCACAGACCTAAACTGTCTTGTCAGTCAATTGATCTTAATATTTATCGTTACAAAATTACAGCAATTCAGCACAAGGCCAGAAAAAGTTAGGTTGGGTGAGGGTTGGTCATACTCGGTCTAATAATAAAAATGAAACTATTCTCTCAAGCAACCCATATACATGAACAATATTCTTTCCATCCATGTCCATTGTCTGCTAAACTAATTCTACATTTAGTTTATCATGTATACTGTAAGCTAGTACTATTACTAGTGTTGTAATTTTGGTTATCATCATCACCTCGTTGTAACCTAAGGAAGGTTACTGAATAGAAAAATCAAATGAAGTTTGGTAATGAGCAATAATACTTTGGACAAGAACAACACATATAAGATTCGCCAGTGGTGCATAAAAGAAGTAGTCAACTGCTAGAAGCGAGTCAAGTGAATTCCGCAATAAATCTCCAACTGCAGGATATCTACCAACTGCCCCATATGGTCAGATGTGGCACAAGGCCAAATTTAATGTGGGGTATCCGGGCCCATAAAAAAAATCACAATTTGCTATGATTCGTCTCATTTCTTGTAAGGAGAAAAATGTTTTCACTCCTTGTTTGATTTTGTCAGATTATTTGGTTAAAAAAAATGTAGCTAAGTAATTATAATTTAATCATGAAATCATATCATTCTCTTGAATTAATTATAAAGTTTTAATTTTCCTATTTAGATTTCAGCATTAAATAACCCATAGAGGTGTTGATATGCTGCTAAACAAAAACAACCAAACTAACACTTGGCTAGCATTTTTACATACAGATATTAGCTAATGCTTCAAAGAGGCTGAGTCTTCTAGAATTATCTTATGCCAGTACAGTGCTCTGGTTTAGTAATTGTGTCTTTAGTAATTGGCTTCCTAACAAAATGTTTTATGGTGGTTGGATGGACTAATTTCTTATCCTATGTGTGTCCCTTAAATAAACAATTCACTTTCACCTTGATATTTATGTACAACTGTTATCTTGAAATTAATCTCAAGTTCACAGGTTTCTTTTGTTGTCTGAAAACCAGATGACCTTAATATTGATTAGTGGGTCAAGTGCCAGAATTTGACCCTTTTTTTATAATTCCACATAGAGTTGACTGAATAGTATAAAATAATAATAATAAAAAAAAAACACACCATTATTAGGTTAACTGATATATTTTTTTAATTGAATTTACCCCATACAAGGCACAGTAAAACCACTAAGAAACAAGGGGTTACTGGGTGGGAAAGAATTAGAAAACAGAAAGATTATGAATGAGAAAGAACAACAGAAGAGTAATCAGGAAGACAGTTGATGACTATTGCATTTAAATATTTGAAGATCAAAGTTGGCTGGAAAGCATAGAGCCGGAAGAGTTTCACAAGCAAAAAGTGCAAGAAAAGAAACTGCTAACATAGAACTTACATTTACATGTAGCCAATTCAACTGTAAATTGATGAGACCTTGTTGTCAATTTAGTACTGTGCTTAAATTCATAAAGTTTAGATACCATAGCAAGGTGCTCATCTGAATAATTACCATGAAAGTATTTATAGAAAAGGCACAGGGTAGCTGTGTTCCAGTGGTGAGAAAGTGACTGAAGCCAGGATGATAGGTCAGGACCAATAAAATTGCAGATTTTTCTTTGGATTTTTTTTTTTTTTTCAAGAATCTCTAAATATATAGCATGAGCACCAGACCATATGTGGCAGCAATATTTTAAACCTTGGTGAATGGTAGACTTATAGATATACAAGATAGATTCTGGAGAGGATACTGGTAAGACTTAGCTAGAAAAATATTTTTATTTCAAACAAGAGAAAATAAATAATAAAAATGGAACAATCAAATGTAATTTATGTGTGATTTATTTAATTTTTTTTCTGTGTATGTATTTAATGTGTATGTCTGTTGTGCGTAAGTGTTTATATCACTTAATATACACGCAGATACAAAATTTGACTGAGTTCAAAATAAGACATAGGAATAATACATTCTCCTTCCTCTGAACAATCCCTACACTAAGCTGAGCAATGAGATTATAAAGTCAGTGACAAGACAGAAAAAAAACTTTTTAAACTATAAATCAATCAGATTTAATTGAACTTTTCATAAATTTGGAAATAAAATGGATTTTTTTTTTCTGCAAATATTTTTAGGGTTGCCATTGAATTAAAATAACGCAACTTAAATCAAAATTGAAATGGACATTTGATGATTAATTTCTCTTTCTGTTTGGCAATTTCTCTTTCTTATTTCTGCTTTCAAACATTAAAGCCACTGAGACACAGGGATTACTAAAGGTGAAAGAAAATAAAAAATAAAAACATTATTAAGGAAGAAGAACAATAAAAGAACAGGAATTAAGATGACATTGCATTTAAATTTCTGAAGATCAAAGTTGACTGGAAAGCCAGAAACTGGAACAGAATTCCACAGGTGAGAAGTACGAGAAAAGAAACTGTTAGCATAAAATTTACAGTTATATCTAGCCATTTCAACTGTAAAAGTGCAATCAAGTGCTACTCTTAAAATTTCTTCAGTGATACCTCAACTTTATGAATTTATCATAACAATTACCATTAAAGTATATATAGAAAAGGCATAGGAAAACTGTTATAGTGGTGTAAAAGAGAATAAATCTGAGATGCCAGGTCAGGACCAATAACATTACAGATTCTTCCTTGCATTTCATCAAGGATCTCTAAATATATAGCAGGAGCACCAGACCATATGTGGCATTAATATTCAAAGCATGGTAGACTTATGAATATGTAATATAAATTCTTGAGAGAAAAAATGTCTAATACAAGGTGAACCAACTTTCCTAGCAGCAGACCTAGCAATTGATTCAATAGAATCTTTCCACTTCATGTCAGTGGAAAATGTTAATCCAATAAGGCACAATGAGCCGCTCTCCTGAAGGTTAGCATCAGTCATGCTGATGGAAGGCATTACGTGTTCCCTCAGATGATTAATAAAGTGTGGCTTCATTTTGGAGGCATTAAAATTAATGAGCCATTCCTTGCTCCAGTTAACAACAGATTGCAGGTCATTTTGGAGATCAGTTACCAATTTGATCTTATTGAACTGATCATTTTTATGACTCTTTTATTATATTGAATTTATACTCTAGTAAATGTATTTTAAATGGACTAACCATTTAGATTTGAAATTTGATTGTCTTGTCAGCAAAGTGACAGGTACTAAATGGGTAATCTACAGGGTGATTAAAAAGTAACTCCCTATTTTATGTATGATGGACTCTCCCATTTTGTAAAAATTATAGTTAGATGGAAGAGTCCATCATACATAAAATAGGGAATTATTTTTTAATCACCCTGTATATAGTTAAATCACATTGAAAGCACCAGTTTTCATTTGATAAGTAAAATGAAATAATACTAAACTTGATCAGTGTACTTGTGGATGATTACTTAAGATAAAGCTTCTATATACCACGTTGAAATATCAGCTATTGACTTGGCCCTAGATATTATGATAACAAAGAGGTCCAAGAAATTTACCATTTTTCGGACGCCATGTCAGTACTTGTTACATTAAAAAGTAAGAAAATGACAAACCCACTAACGATCAAACTATCTAGCCAAATCAATGACATCTCAAAAAAAAAAGAAAACATCATATTCTGCTAGGTACCGAGATATTGATATCCAGGGAAATGACAGAGCTGATACAGCAACAAAGAAATCACTGGAACTAAGACAATCAAACAGCAAAATACTGTATACGGAGCTTTGGTACTCTTGCCCAAACAATAAATTACATAAAATCAAATCAACCCCAGGAAAGTGACAGAGCTACACACGGTCCGGAAAAGAAGAGGTGATACTGATTGGTCTCCATATAGGACACACATCTATCATACACTCACACCCTACTAAAGAGGGAAAAAGCTTCAATATATATGACATGCCAAGAAAAGTACACAGTAAATCATATACTGACATGCAAGAACCTGAAACTAACCCAAATCAAATATTGTCAAACAAATAACCTGAAAGAACTCTTTGCCAAGGTTAATCTGGATAACATTTTTAAATTCTTAAAAGAAACACACCTAGTTACCAAAATCTGGAAAAAGAAAAAAAAACTTAACTTTTAACATAAGTACAGTTTATAAAGTTATGTTTTTAAGTTTTAACATAAGTAGTTTATAAAGTTATGTTTTTAAGTTTTAACATAAGTAGTTTATAAAGATATGTTTTTAAGTTTTAACATAAGTAGTTTATAAAGATATGTTTTTAAGTTTTAACATAAGTAGTTTATAAAGATATGTTTTTAAGTTTTAACATAAGTTTTATAAAGATATATTTTAAGTTTTAACATAAGTTTTATAAAGATATGTTTTTAAGTTTTAACATAAGTAGTTTATAAAGTTATGTTTTTAAGTTTTAACATAAGTAGTTTATAAAGTTATGTGCCACGTGTGATATGCACTTAGGCAATCATGTATCTTTTGATACATGACTGATGAGGCAGATTTTTTTTTTTTTGCAGTAGGTTGCCATTTCTTTTTGTGGTAGACCAGTTGCCATCCAAGGCTATAGGATCTGTTCTGTCCTGCTATTTACCCATAGCTGGTGGGGGAGAAGAGGAGAATTCATACCTTTCCCTAGGTGAATGTAATGGATTTGAGTGGAATTTGAACTGAGCTCTCTGATTCCTCAATCTGAGCCACCATCCAACTTTTTGACATGACTACAATGTTAAAAAAAAACTTAACTTAATTTCACTATGAAATAATAATCCACAAATATAAAATTCCAACCCTACTTGCTTTGGCATGAGATGACTCACTAGGTGTTGATGTGCCATTTAGCAAAACAAAGAAAGACTGCTTACATAAATTGGATAAGCTTGTGACCTTGTTCTAGACAAAGTTTAGATGTGAAAATTAATTTTATATATTACTAGCAGTAGAGCCCGGCGTTGCCCGGAGATATAACAGTAAGAGATAGATCAAGTATCCACCATCATAAAGACTGAAAAATGAAATTGACAAAGATTATTGTTTAAGGTTGACGGACACGCATGTCTTAATTAGTTTTGTTTTTTGGTTTTTTTTTTACGAATTAGTCAAACCCAAACTTAAACAAAAGCATTGTTTTCAATCGTTATGAGTCTACCGATTGAATGGAATTTTATTATAAACAATTGTCTTGTAAATGGAATTTTTAAAAAAGCATTCTGAATGTAAAAATAAAGAAAAAATTTTGCAAGACAATAAGAAACACTACATGCTAAAAAAAGGTGAAGTTTTGTTGAAATCGGTTGAAAAATGTAGGTAGCCTTTCTGTAATCTTTTAGTTTTACAATTTATGATTTTTACTTATTGAATACAGTAAAAAAATTGCATATTTTGCTTGTGGTGATTCATAATTAGAATTCTGATTTGAATATATTTTCCACTCATTGTTTCTAATACAAAAATATTAACTTTATTTGGGTTTATTAATTATGATCTAACAAATCTTATTCATTTAGTAGCCTTCTCTGTAATATATAATAATCTTTTTACAATTTATGATTTTTACTTATTGAATACAGTAAAAAAATTGGACACCATGTGTATTTAAAGTAGTTTCCGCTCCAGTTATTATTTTTAGTTAGGACTTGTGTATGTTTAGATTTCATTATCTTTCCCTAAAGATAAAGAATTTATCTGATGTTTGATTTCGTAAATCAGTAGAGATCTTTAGATTATTGCTTAAGGTTGACGGACACGCATGTCTTAATTTTTTTTTTTTTTTTTATTTAATTGGTCAAACTCAAACAAAACATTGTTTTCAATCGTTATCGTCTCCCAATTGAATAGAATTTTATTATAAATAATTGTCTTGTAAATGGAATTTTTAAAGCATTCTGAATGTTAAAAATAAAGAAAAAGTGTGCAAGAGAATAAGAAACACTACCTGCCAAAAAAAAAAAAAAAGTGAAGTTTTGTTTTATCGGCTGAAAAATATAGGAAATCCGATGTGAGTTGTCCCCTTCCATTTTCACGATGTCTCTTAATCGTGTTTTCAAATTGATTTTGTGCAAAAACAATTATATTTTTCCCATTTTTGGCGCTGTTAGAACCACCACAAGGTAATTTTATTTAGTCCTGTGAAGTTTTGTTGAAATCGGTTGAAAAATGTAGGAAATCCGATCCAATATATAAACGTTACAGACACACACACACACACACAATCTGCGTTTTATAATAAGTAAGATTTATTTTTTCCTTTACAGAAATAATTGAAGAAGAGTTGGTCATTAATTGCCAAAACCTTTCTCCCTTCAGAAAAAGATGGCCGCCATTTCCAACAAGAAGGACAAAGAAATGGAAAACGAAAGAGTAATGGAAGATAAAGAAGAGCCAGATCCAAACGAACCTGATGCAATGGACAAGCCATATTATTTTGAGTCTGACCATGCTGCTCTAAAGTGCAACCCTGACTACCACAACCTGTTGAAGACTCTTTGTTTACTTGAGGCGCAGCGTATCCATGCCATCAAAGACATTGATCTACTTTATGTGTGGCAGAAAGAGGCCCTGGAAAATCCTCTGTTGTTTGTTGAGAAGTTGCAACAGGGGAAAGGAATAAATTTTCCCAGGCAGCAAGTTATTGCTAAGTTACCATCTATCAACTGGGAAGCATACACATCCCGGAAAGATATAACTTCATATTATGCACCTAAGCATATGACACGCAAGAAGAAGAACATTTTGGACAGTTGCACTGTCATCACTACAAATGGTAAGTTCATATTCACTTGTTTTTAGAGATTCACTTAATCTAGTTTGTCTTGGATGGTTAGGGAAAATGTTTTGTGCTCATAATTTTAAAAAGTAAATTAACAATGAAAATACAAAATGTTAAAAATAAAATATCTATGTACTAGTTGACACCAATATCTATTTCATTGGATAAATGATTTCAATTACAGAAAGAATATATTAGTTACATTTTAAATTAAATTGATGTCATTATTTACTTAGTATCGACCAACAGCAGATTCGTTTTACTATGTTATATAACTGTTATGGGTTGGTTTTGTGCATTTGATCGCTTTTCACGGGAAACTTTAGTTGCATCCCTGGGACACACAGATGGGAAAGTTACTGTATCCTTAAAGTTTTTATGCATCCAAGAGCGGGAGGGACACAGGACGCATACCTCTCAGCATCTCTGATTATATATATATATATATATATATATATATATATATATATATATATAATATATATATAGAGAGAGAGAGAGAGATAATGTGTATGTATGCTTGTTTATTGTTGTAATGGAATGTCCCACACTCCCTATCGCCTATGTGGACTGACTATATCAGTAGCTATATATAGTAAGCACAGGATATACCCGGGGAATTTTTGACAGGGGAATTTTTGCCCGAGCCTACGTGCTCAGTTTTGCCCCACATTAATAAACGGCCTTGTGCCACATCCTGCCTCATGAGAAGGTAAGGTAAATAACCTTGCTTTGGGAATTAGTTGGAAATTCATCTCCAGCTGTGTTGGTTAAACTCTCTGCCTGAGGCAGAGAAGATCCCCAGATGAAGCTATGTCAAAGGACAGAGTCTCTTCTTGGGAAGCAGCTACCCATCCCCGTTTTGTACGGAGAATTTTTGGCCAAGCCTATGGGTTTGGATAACCCACATTAAATTTGGCCTTGTGCCACATCTGACCACATGAGGCAGTTGGTAGATATCCTTGCTTTGGGAATTACTAGCCTGCCACCTGATTCCCTGTCTTTCAGTAGTATATTCTCTTTTACAATAAACCTCTCCGTTTTTTCATCAAACGCACGTGTTGCTGTTCCTCCACTTGAGTACCTCCTTTGTCTGTTTGTAACCACTTTAAGGATACAACATTTTCATTTAACTTTTTAAATGATTAAGCTGTTATAAAAATAAAGATTTTTATGCAGAACCAACAAAAGGGCTGATGAAAAGAATAACAGGTTTCATGATTTGAAGAAACCTTTAATGGTTCTTCACTTCCTGCTGACCCTTATAAAAAAAAAAAAAAAATCAGAAAACCCACTGCAATTGTAAACTGTGTATGACACATTAAACAAAGCCTGTAATTTCACTGATTTGGCATTCCTCAAAAGCCTTAAAACTAACTGAATGCCAATTTCTCAAAAAACTCCAGTGGTAGATAACCACACAACCTTTTTTTTTAATTCATCAATACTCCAAATGTAAAATAAACAATAGTTTTTAAACTTTTAGTTTATACCCCCAATAAGACATAGTGTTAAAAGGATGGGTTTTTTCCATGATAACATTTTTTTAACTACTTTTACTCTTTGGCAATGTTTTTTGTTTTAAAAAGCAAAGATTAGAATTGGAATAAAACCTAAACGCATGATGAAAGTGAATTTATACACTTTTTTCTTCTTGAGAATTTACAACAAAAATAATAAACACTATTTATTTATTAGATTGTTTATTTAGAAGAATAATTTTATGTTTACAACATTCTAAAACCTAATATAATTAGAACTAATGTAATATTTATCATTTATTACATTATTAAAATATGTGAACCAACTATAAAGAAATCCTTATTATTTACCAGTTTATAAAGTTCTAATCAATTGGCAACTAGCCAATGTTTTGCCAACCATTCAATAAATAAAGTATAAATAAGCAAGCTAACAAATAAATAGTTTGTTTTTTTTTTTTTTGTCAATTCTCAAGAACAAAGAAAATGTATAAATTCACTATCATATGTTTATTTTTTAATAAAATTCTAATTGTTTATTTTTTTTTTAAAACAAACATTGCCAAAGAGTGAAAGTAATTAAAAAAGTGGTGTAATGTGGGGTGGGACTATCCTTTAGACACTACGTCTTATTGTGGGCACATTTAACCATGTTTGCCCCTTTTTTTTTTTTCAATGTTGCTTTACACTATTCTTTTTTTTTTTTTCTTCATTATAGGAGAAGAGAATTCTGAAGGAGGATGGAAATCTGAATACTCTAACACTTCACGAATAGTTGTTCGTGGTCGACTGAAAGATGAAAATAAACCAACAAGTTTTAATCAGCTATGGAGTATCGAAGAACAAAAACGGTAGGTCTTAATTTTGCCAAGATCGGTTTTCTTAGTTTAGTCATTAGTATATCTGAAATTTTATATTGAACTATTTTCATTTGGAGTCCCTAACTGACCTACCAACCTGAGTTTAAATAAGAATGAATAAATGGATAAAAACATTCTTTTGTGGGCAATCCTATGGCTGGCAGATTTGGCTACAATGTGTGAATTAGGCTATGTTTGTTGAGCAATTCTAAATTTTGAATTAAGTTTTTTGGGTTTTTTTTCTCATTAGTAGCTGAACTTAGCCTAGCTTATTTTAAAAGTAACTCCAAAAGTCAGTTGGATTTTTAAAAGTAACCCGATTTAGTAATTCTCTGTCACAAAATAGATGTGTGTATGTGAAGTTTTGACTGATGTTTCATTGTTTATCTAATCCTTCTGGTCTAAAATTGATCTTTAATAATTGAAATTTTAAATTTATATTCTGGGGTTAAATAAAACAAAAATAAATGATTATTGTAGTCGGTTTCTTCTGGCTTGTAATAAAGTTACCTAAACATTTCTTCCAACCTTCAACCAACAGAGTAGAGTAAGTAAAACAATCTAACAACACGTTTCCTGTTCGCTACCACAGTCGCACTTCTCTGTCAACTATTTAAGCACTTTTTATAGATTGAGTGACAGTTCAAATTTGCAATTCTTGCAAAAGTCTATCAGACTCCAAGATCTATCTTTTTTTAAGTAAACAACTTATAAAACTGCCATTTTCTTCTGGGGAATATTTTATATGCAAGGCACGTACAAACCTATTTTTGTTCTGGGGGTAAGCCATTTTCTCTAGTGTTACAGTTATTTTAAATGAAAACAGTTTAAATTTTTAACTAAAAATATTATGCCAATGAATTGAAAAGTTAGTTTTTTTTATGGTGGTGCCAAGGAGTTAAAATTCTATGAATATCAATTACTAGCAGTAGAGCCCGGCATTGCCCGGGGATGTAACAGTAAGAGATAGATCAAGTATCGACCATCATAAAGACTGAAAAATAAAATTGACAAAGATTATTGTTTAAGGTTGACAGACACGCATGTTTAATTAGTTTTTTTTTTTTTTTTTTTTTTCTTGGTTGGTCAAACCCAAACTCAATCAAAAACATTGTTTTCAATCGTTATGAGTCTACCGATTGAATAGAATTTTATTATAAACAATTGTCTTGTAAATGGAATTTTTAAAAAATTCTGAATGTAAAAATAAAGAAAAAAAGTGTGCAAGACAATAAGAAACACTACCTGCCAAAAAAAAAAGTGAAGTTTTGTTGAAATCGGTTGAAAAATGTAGGAAATCTGATCCCATATATAAATGAACACACACACACACACACACACACACAATCTGGGTTTTATAATAAGTATAACTCGATATGAGTTGTCCCCCTTTTCAAATTGATTTTGTGCAAAAACAATTGTTTTTCTAGTTTTTGGCACTGTCAGAACCACCGCAAGGTAATTTTACATAGTCCTGTGAAGATTTGTTGAAATCAGTTGAAAAATGTAGGCAATCCGATCCAATATATAAATGAACAGATACACACACACACACACACACAACCTGGGTTTTATAATAAGTATGATGCTGTTTTAATATGACCAATATAAATGTAAATATCTTTTCTGAGTGCTTATAGGCTTGCATATATCTTTAATTATTTGACAAATTTGAAGGAAGAATGTCTGATGTCTATCTCCATGGCAGAAATTCTATCTGCAATACTAAACATTCATTTGGCTTTTAATGATGGAAAATCACAAGATTATATCTTAGTAGAGAAATCTTTAAGTTTGCATTCAAAAAAGCATAATGTTCCAGGGAGATCCATTTTTCCAGGCAATACCTCCTCTTTGCATTAAAAAAGAAAAGAATAGGAGACTATTCTTTGATGCTCAAAGGCGCATGGTTGAAGCAATAAGATAATTTTTTTTGTTTTCTACTCAATTGGAAAGGTGAATAAATACTGAGATCATACAAAATACAGTGAAGTGTTTCTTTCCATGATACTTCTGGTATGAGATTTTTCTTTTTTTTTAATACATGTAATAATTTAGCTTATTTATAAACTAACAGTGTAAATCTTTTTGAAGCTATTTTTTTTAGCAAATGAGGATATTTAAAAAGAAAAAAATTGTAAAATCTATATTCATATACACTGGTAAAAATAATAGAACAATATAAATTAGTTTTATTGTGTATGCTTTATGCAGAATTTATTTCTCTTTCGAATGATGTAAAAATTGTATATTTTTCTACAACTTGAAAAATTTTATGCATTATATAGTGTAATAACTGAACATTGTAACCTAATTAATTCGCATGTCCTGGGTATGACAATAAACTACATCCACGTTCTGGGTATGACAATAAACTACGTCCAACAGCAAGGCCTCAGATAATGTTTTCGGAAAAATAATGTTGCCAGCTATACGTTTTTTGGAAAAAATAATGTTGCCAGCTGTACGTTTTTTTGAAAAAATAATGTTGCCAGCTATACATTTTTGAAACAATAATGTTGCTAGCTATACGTTTTTTTGAAAAAATAATGTTGCCAGCTATACGTTTTTTGGAAAAAATAATGTTGCCAGCTATATGGTTTTTTGAAAAAATAAGTTTGCCAGTTATACGTTTAATAGTACTGTATATTTAATATATATATATATAGGTATATGTGTATGTATGTATGTGTGTGTGTGTATATATATATATATATATATATATATATATAAAACTTAATTTGGCATTAAATGACCTACAGTGGTTGATATGCCATAAAACCCAACTAACCAACCAACCTAATTAATTTGCTATGAATCACTCTTAAACTTATTTTCGCCAGTGTGTGTGTATGTATGTATGTGTATATATATATATATATACACAAAATAAGTTATTTCTATTTCAAATGATGTAAAAATTGTATATTTTTCTACAATTTGAAAAATTTTAATGCTGGATTAAATTATCCAAATTTGCTGGAAAAATAAGTTTCAGATCACATAAGTATTATTATATTTAAAGCAAAAAGTTATAGTAAAAATGACAAAACAAAATATTTATTAATATTTAGTGCCGTAACCTTTATTATTAATTACAGCTTCACATTGTCGAGGCATCGAGCTTGATAAGTGAATACAAAAATAATTTGGAATGCTCTGACATATTTGATTAATATAATCGTATAATTGGGCTAAATTTGTTGGGGTTTTAATGTGAACTCCTTTAAAAATATAATTCCATAAATTTTCAGTTGGATTAAGATCCAAACTCTCTGACAGCAATTCAATGACATCCATATTATGGTGATCAACAAATTGCATTACTTCTTTGACTTGTGAATGGGGCTATTATCTTGTTGATAAATAGCTTCAGGTGGCATTTGGTCAGTCAAATATCGCAGAATATGTTCCATAACTATCTGCATATAGCCTACACTTTTGAGTCTTCCCTCAACTTTAACAATTGATCCAATACCAAAACTACTGAACACACTCCACACTATTACACTATTACACCCCCACCACTCGCTTGCGCCGTCTTTGTGACACATTTAGAATGGAATTCCTCAGTTGGGTGGCACCTGACAAAAGTTTTTCCATCCAATCCAAAGATGCAAATGTATGACTTATCATTCCAAAGAACTCTACACCAGTCATCAGCTGTCCATTGAATGTGACTTTTCGCAAAATTCATCTGCTTGAGTTGATTCCTCTCTGAAATAATAATACACCCAAATAATCTGAATTCTCTTAGAGGGTTTCAGACAGTTTGTGATGTAAAACTAATGCCATTTTTACCAGATAATTGGCTGCAAATGTCTATGGCCATCAGCATTCAATTAGCTTCAGAAAGCCTATGAATTTGTCTATCTAGTTGCACTGTTGTTTTTCTTGGGGATCCTGATCTTTGCCTATCCTTATATTGTCCAATATCTTGGTAAAGCTTCCAAGCCTGAACACAAGCGATTTTTATGCACTTTAATTGCTTGCTTATATTCATAAAGGAAACATTTTGTTGATGAAGTAACACTATTTTTGATCTAGGATAAGATTACATCACTTTCCCATATCAAATTAATTGTATAACAATGTTCAGTTATTACACTATATAATGCATAAAATTTTTCAAGTTGTAGAAAAATATACAATTTTTTACATCATTTGAAATAGAAATAAATTTTGCATAAAACGTACACAATAAAATTAATTTATATTGTTTTATTAGAAACAGATTCTGAAATGAATAAAACTTTAACCATTGGTCTTAAACTTATTTTCAGCTCTCTGTGTGTGTGTGTGTGTGTATATATATATATATATATATATATATATATATATATATATATAATTTTACATTCTCGTGCCTACAGACTTGAAGAATTATTGGTAAAATACCCACCAGAAGAAGTGGAATCTCGACGTTGGCAGAAGATTGCTGTGTGTCTTGGAAACCGTACAACTCAACAGGTGAGTTTTGGTGTTTTTGTGTAAAATAAATACTTCTGGATTATATTGGAAACTCTGGTTTTAGTCAAATAAATTTCTACAACTAGAATTTCTACATGACTTGCTTTACCATTTAAAGAATAGAATGTTAAATAATTCAATTATCTTAATATGGTAGATGATAAGTGCCAGTGGAAGATATTTGCATTTTCGAGTGATCAATGAATTTACAAATCTATACATACTTGATAAAGATTAGCATCAATTTCAAAGAATATTACCTTTTCTTTGTGAAAAAAATCTTCCTCTTACCATTTTTCTTTGACTCTCTTTTGCTTTAGCTTTGATGTTCTTGCTGTGGACAAACCAACTTAAGTTGGAGATATTTTATGAGCTATCTATTTTGGCTAGGTCCAAGTACTGGTAGTCTATGATATCTGACATTAATTGACTAGATACATCAACTGGTCATTGCTTTTCTTTTTTTCTTTTTTTTTTTTTTTTTTTTTTGTGTGTGTGTATGCTTGTGTAATTTAAATCCAATCATGATTATATATTTGTGGGATATAAGGTAACTTGTACCAGTTAATGTTATGTTATGTGATGTTGGCAGCATCTCTTCTCCATAAGTTCATATGTTGACATGAATATACAGACTGCACATGTAACTTTGAAATATTGATTCTGATGCTAAAAGTGCACAAATTGTTATTGCTTCTATTTGTCATGACTGGCAATGGTTTCATCAGCTAATTATGGACATTTCCTATGAATTCAAACACTGCTTAATTTTTTCAATCAGGACCACTTCAGAGTGCCATCAGCCCATAGCATTGTTATAACACACATATGGTAGCACAGAGAAACAAACGAAACAACAATACCATCATTGAGGCAAAAGGAAAAGATGACAAGAATTGTGAATATAAAATTTCTTTGAATTTGCCAATAGAACGGATGTGAGCTGGTATGTCTCTAAATATAGGCAATGGAGGTGGCTTTGTAGGAAAGGTAGATTTGGTAAGGTCTGGAGTTGATGTGTTTGTCAGGTTGGTTGACCGAGGTCATGATAGTGACATCAAGAGAAGCCTGGTGTGGATTAGTGAAGCTGCGAATCTGACTTTGCTGATACAGAGGGTGAAAGCAAAATGTCCCTGTGGACATGGTGTGGGTGTTTGGAGGGGCTGGGTCTTGAGAGGATATGTGTGTCGGTTCAGTTGACCAGTCACAGTGGTGATGTAGCGCACCCGCCAGTATCACATTTTGTGTTAGTCTTCTTTTTTTTTTCTTTGATAGCAGTGAGGCTATTATACTTATATTTTGTGGGTTGTAGAAAATACAAGTATAATAGCCTCATCCACATGTAAAAAAAAAAAACGACTAAAAACAATGTAAAGACTAATGATAAAAAAAAGAAAAACCAACACTCAGTAACATGAACTATGCCATCCAGCCACAATGTGCTGAAATAAAAAACATTTCCATCAGTCTAGAAACATCTAAAAAAAAATCTACACTGTAAAATTAAAATATAAGATCCATGATAATGGCTAACAGAATAGCCGAAAGCACTCAGATATACAGAACATTTGGACAATTTATACAGACTTTATGTCCAGAAAAGAAAACACTTATGTAAACACAAGAAAAATTAAATAAAAAGTTTAATCACAGTACCTTGCCAGTCATCTTTAATGAAACTTATATAATTATTTATTCAAAAATTATAACATAAATGTTATAAAATGACTAGAAAAATAGCCATTTTGTTTCAACAATTTTGGTGTCTTATCAAGTGATGGAGTTGAATGATTCTACGTATATATATACACATAAAGGGTGTTCCTGTAACTTGGACTGATTTTAAATGTGAATTAAGTTTAAGCATCTAATGATCTTTTACTTTTTCTTTCAGATTTGGCGGACATTTAGGCAATATTATTTTTCACACATAATTTCCATGGCTTAAATAACATGATCCAATAGAGAGATAAATGAATTTTCACTAATAACACTGATTTATTTACTGCTGACTTTGATCCATCTTAATGAAATACCTTTATATATATATTATTTAAAAATTTTTTTTTTTTTTCCAGGTTGCTAGCCGTGTCCAGAAATACTTTATAAAGTTAGCCAGAGCTGGTCTCCCTGTTCCTGGACGGACACCAAACCTTACTTCCTACACACGAAGAGTAAGTTTTATTAGGATTTTATTTTTTCCTCTTCTGTACTTGTCAGCAAGCAAAATCCATTCGGAATTGAAATGGAACAGCTCTCCATTAATATATTTTATATGTTAATATATTTTTTCAAACTGTTCTGTCTTCCCTGGGTGGATAACATTCAAATGCCATTGAACAGATACAAATCAGATTTTATTCAGTTTCAACTTAGGCCCAGCTAAGGCACATGGCAGTGAAAAGTGTCTTTTAAACTTGTGTAAATCTGAAGATGGTTTATGTCCTCATACCCAGGCGTAGAGTATGGAAGTTATCAATGCAAGGCCAACAAGAATTTGCATCCACACTGATTGTATCATTGCTTCTGATAATTTATATCCCATTTTTTGGTTTATTTGATTATTACTGAGTCTCATTGTTTCTCCTTACATACCTATATGCTGTCTTGTCCACATCAGAAGTCTAGGGTTACCATCAAAGGTCAGTTTCCTCAAGCCCTTACAAACATGGCTTTTATACCCTTTGCTGGTTGTCCTGCAAGAGTATACAGTTTATCAAAAGTTTTGATCACCAGTTGAAATTTTCAATTTTTGATTGTTGGAGCAATGTCTGTTTTGCTCCATCTTACTCTGTTAAATCTATCAACTTCAGATTCACACCCAAATTTTTAGATGTGTTCAGGTACCAATTGAACTTTATCCCTTCCTCACTCCATTTAGTCTTCCTCATTCCATTCGCTAATCACTTCCTTTATTCAAGGTTGAATTTTACAATTCTGCTTTTACACACCTGAAATCCTACACATAAATTTAATTTCATTTATCTCGTTTTTATTATTGATTACCACTCACTGTTTTGTTTTTGTTTCTTTGTTACCCTTTTTTTGTTTCTTTGTTACCCTTTTTTTGTTTCTTTGTTACCTTTTTTTTGTTTCTTTGTTGCCTTTTTTTTGTTTCTTTGTTACCTTTTTTTGTTTCTTTGTTGCCCTGTTTTTTTTGTTTCTTTGTTATTGCAACTTTTCTTGTTATCCTTTTCTGTTTCTTTGTTGTTATCCTTCATTTGGTTTTTGTTTGTTTTTAGAATTAAATTTTGCAAAATCATAATTTCATTTTTTTTTTTTACACAGACTGGCCATAGACATCACCGTTTCAATCGTTTCTATCACCAATCGACATTCCTTCAAGCTCATGAGCCTCCAGTTTACATGTCAGATGATGATGATGATAGCAGCATGAGTGTTGGTGGTAGCAGCTCCATGGAAGCTGATGCTGGATATGGAGAAGAAAGTAAAGATGTATCAGTCAGTATTGATTTTTCTTTATCCCAATCATCTTCAATCTTTTAATACCTAAGCTCACTAACCTTACAGCAAGTGGGTGAGAGAAATTAAGTTAAGCTTATCTAAAGACAATCATTCATGTGAGTTTGCTTTGATATTGGCTTACGATTCTGTGAATAAATTACTTGGCAGAGTTTTATTAGGAAGAATTTTGATGGACTGCACTTGTAGATTTCCCAAATCTTTTGCTAGAATAGCTGATTAGCACTTTTTTTTTTTTTTTTTTTTATCTTTCATCGCAATGTAATTCTCTTTATTAAAAAACATCTTCCAAAAACATATCTTCCTGAAACTTTATTTGAGGAATATTAGCAGGTTTAAAGTGTAACTAATCTGATTTGAAACAACTATTATTTAGTTTAATTATAAAATAACGAAAAAACTACTTTTTCAACCCAACAGTAGCTGAGATCACAGTTTTAACAGCTTTATGATAGATTGATATTTATCATGTTATTCTATGGAGGCTTTCAGTATTAAAAACGTAATTGAATTAACGTGTGCACCTTCTATATATAATTTTTAAGTACTAAGTAATCTTTAAACCATCCTGGGCAAGACGATAAACCACATCCACGTCCTGGGTAAGATAAACTACATCGAACAGCAAGGCCTCTGATTAAGAGGTTTTGAGGAGCGTGAAATCACCTCTTAATTGCTGGTGTTCCCAGGAACCCCTGACCCAGGCAAATAGTTAACCCCCAAACTGGGGTCAAAACACTATGAAAGTGTAAAAATAGGTTTTAATACCAGAATTACTTTTTTGTAAAAAAATTATTACCAGCAATGAATTTTTGAAGAAGAAAAAATTATTACCAGCAATGAATTTTTGAAGGAAAAAATATTAGCAGGAAAAATTTTTGAAAAAAAATATTACCAGCAATAAAAATCTTGTCAGCATTAAATAACCCAATGAGGTTTTGATATGCCATAAAACAAACCAAACCAAATAGTAATCTTTAAAATTTAAGAAAATCTTCTCCATAATCTAATGTTTTATTGAATTTTAAATATTTTTGGGCTGTAAATTTATTATAGTTATCACTCTTATTTTCTAATAATGTCATTTGTGGATGACCCTATAATAGAAAATTGGCATACATTATACATATAAAGAAAAATTCAAAATTCTTTTTAAAATATTGGTGTGTAATGATTTGTAGTAAGCTTTTCAATTTATGATTAGTAAATATAGTTTTTACTTAATAATAATATCACCTAACCGATGCAGAAACTTAAAAGATTTAAAACTTTATAAAATATTCTAAATAAAATTAAGAAAAAAAAAGAAAACAATTCTTTATAAAAATTCATTATTCATGAAAAATATTTTTTCTTAAGGCAATAGTGTCTATAATATATGTTATTCATAAAAACAAAAGCTTTTCTAATTAAATAATGTCTTAGTTTGATTGCATTTTATAATTTAAAATTCAGAACAGATTTTCAGTAAATGAATAAAAGAAAAATTGGATTTACATTCTCCAAGGAGTCCTGCTTTTAACTAATATAAATATGAAGTAGAGCAAAATTTGATTTAAAGGGAGTGGGGGAGGGGTAAAAGATGTAACAAAAAAAAAAAAAAAAATTTCTACCATGATTTTCTAAAAAAAAAAAAAAAAAAAAAAAATTCCTTAAATAATTTCATTCATTTGTGAATAAGTCCAAAACAATATTTTTGGGGTTCTTTTTTTTACCAGAAAGAAACTGCTAAATTTCCTAATACTAATCTTTGCTGCCTCCGCTGACACAAGAAAAACAAGATTTTTAACCAATATTTTGAATGTGCTAGAAAGGATTAAAAAAATCTAAGAAAATAATCAAAAAATACTTTGGTCTTTCCTCTTAAAAATAACATAATCATTTTGATGATAAAACTTTGTTTTTATCAAGTTTGGGGCCTTTTTCATCATGCTATGCTCTTTTTCTTTTTCTTTTTTTCTTCTTTTTTTTTTTCATGAACATACCTACTTAAGTCACATTGGTATTAATAGTGGAGTTGCTTAAATTTTAGTAAAGTTGCCTATTAAAAAATCATGCATCTTGTTGTTAAGACTTACACTGTTGAAAGCTGAAGTTATACTTATTGTAAGATTTAATAGAAATCTAACAGAATTTTTTTTTTTTTTTTTTTTTAAAATTAAGCTAAAATGTCTGTCCTTTAAAACTTAAACATGAGTTGAATTTTTTTAATCTCTTTTTGACAGGATGAAGAAAGCATTCCACCAGAATTAAGAGACAGTGAAGAATATGAAGAACTGATGAAATTAAAGAAAATGAAAATGACTCAGCTTTGTTCAACTTCATCTGGAGCCATGAAATCTCCAAGTTTTAAAGTAAGTATTTGTGTGTGTGTGGAAGATTTATTTTTGGTCTCCCCATGGAAGGTAGACTTGTTCTCAACTTCTTATAGATTATTATACAACAAAGAGAACTCTTCTTTTTATTTACTCATTTTGTCTGTATTTTTTTTCTTTGCGTGTTCTATCCCTAAATATTTTAGCAACATTACAATAAATATTTAAACAAATATAACTTAAGCTGTTATATGGCAACTAAAGCTAATGTGTTTAAATTTTGGGGCCAAAAATATGCTACATTTTTCCTTAAAAAGAAAAAAAAATGACTATATTTATTTAATGTCAACCACTACATTTTTCAGACCATGTGCATTAATGTGTTATTGGTAGTATCCCATAAAACCAGTTTTTAAAATTTTATAATACCAGACTTGCCTCCTCTTTTTCTTTTTTTTTTTTTTTTTAGACTTATAATACCATCTATAATTTTAGATATTTTTAGAAGTTTGAAATTTTATAATACATACAAGATTTTACAGTGAACATTAATTGCTTAATATTAGATTTTTCCTAATTCTGATAAATTTGTCAAATATTTTTGCTGATATATTTAAGAAACATTTCTGAAGATGTCATTGGTGGAAACAGGTTAAATCCAGTATTGTTTATTTTTAAGATAATGTTATTGTCTGCTTGAAAAACTTTTTTGCTGATTCTAGAATACTAGCATATTTTTTTTTTATTATAGAGTGCTAATGTCGTCTATTTAATAAAACTTAAAAAAAAAAGTGCATGCATTTTCGTTTCAAAAATTTTTTCTTTATTGGGAGGAAGAAAAATATGAGAATAAAGTTTTGCTTTTTTCACTAGCTGTCAAGGCTATTCAAAACATGACTAAAAGAGGAATTTTAGAAATTTGTCTCAGAAATCTTTATAGCAACTGATTTTTGCATGTAATTATCATGAGTAATGTCCAAAATTCTGATAGTGATAAAATCTGTTTAATATTTTTCCTGACTCTAAATTATGACTTGTTATGAAACTTAGAAAGCTCTTCTGTTTGATGTAAACATATTTATTGATGTTCAAAAACTTGTCTCTTTCTGCCAGTGTGACAATTGTCAGTGTACTCCAATCACAAACACAAGATGGCAGTGTATAGACTGTCAGAATGAAAATGGAACTTCCATTGATCTTTGCAATAATTGTATTGACAGGTAAGTAGACTTTCGGGAATTCCATTTTGTAGTTGTTTTTATTTTCTTGGTGGGAGGGGGGCATAACCTATATCCTCCTGGAATTGGTTTAAACTGTTGTTTCCCAAACTTTTTCCTCTAAGGGCTGCATTTTCAGAAGTAAAATTTGCTTGCACCTCACCAAACTTTGTGATAAAAAGTACATTTAAAAATAAAAAAAAAAAAAACAGAGAGCAGGTTAAAGGGGAGATAACTGCGGATTCAAAGTCAGAGCATTATCATTGATGACTCTCTCCTCCAAATTGTGGAGCGTAGCTACTATATTTTTAATACTTGATATAATGCAAAAATGTCACAATGGTAAAATCGGTCAATAATTATTTATAAGTATTTATACTGGGACTCATGCAAGCAATTACAAGTAATCCATAATAACATTTTAAATTTTGAAATCATATTTATTTTTAGCATATGAATTTTTTTTTTGAAACTGTTTCTAAATCTTTGATTATCTTTCAATCATTCCACCTCACCTGCTACCCTCTTCCGCCACACCTGCTACCCTCTTCCGCCTCACCTGCTACCCTCTTCCGCCACACCATTTGGGAATCATTTGTTTAAACTGTCATCTCCACCCACCCACAATATCTAAGCTATAATTATGCATTATAATTTTGGTAAGTGAAAATTATACTGAAATATGTTAAAAGAATCTGAAATCAAGAAAATATGAACTTTAAGCAAAATGGTTGCAAAATATGACCTAAACAAAGTGGATGGGGGGGGGTCTGTCAGAAAAAAAGACATCAGTTTAAACTGACACCAGGTGGATATCTGTGTTTAGAAGACAATATAATATTAACTAGTTTACCTATGTACTGTGTCTAATGATGGTGTGTATAAAATTGTTTTTTTTCCTTCAAGTTCTTGTAGTCATTAGGTCTTCAAATATATAATTTCCAGTTATTATAGTTTTCTCATTTCCATGTCTATAAATCAACATCCTCCAATATATTTTTTTTGTTTCTGGCCTCTTCAAGATTTCAAAGAGGTGATCTTTTCTTTGCATTATTCATTCAAAAATCTCCCATTGTCAAAATGACAGTGCCACCTGGCATCGCCAGTGCAAGGGAGATATTCGTTTCCATTACACTTGGTTTATCTCATTTTGATGTACTCTTAAAATTACTATAAACTGAAAAGCTCTCAGCCTGACTTGCTCTTGAAAACCTTTCCAAACATCAGGATATTTTTGGTAAGGGCTTCTTTGTTGGGTCAAGAACTTTTCAGCAAACCCTCATAAAATTATAAAAGGTGCTGAAACATTTTTTTTTTTTTTTTTTTTCTCAGCAACTTTGAAAATTCCTTCCACAACAGCAGTCACAGATTTCAGCCGGTCACCCCTCAAGGTTTTGTGGACAATGATTATACTAAATTCTCTACAGGGGATTACAATTACTTGGATCCAAACTACATGCCAGCAAACTGATGATGTAAATAAAACAGATGGGGGAAAAAAAGATATTACTAAACTTTTGTTCTTGTTCTTCTTGTTTTCTAAGTGATTCAAATTAATGTGCATCATATCTGAAACTGTAATGGTTCATTACAAGTGAAAGAAAGAAAGAGCAAATATTTCAACAAGTAATTATTTTGATTTTTTACACAGCCTTTCATAAAAACTGGGTTCACAGCCAACCTGAAAAACAATTATTGGCTAACTGAAAATAAAATAGTCTATACTGCCTCAAAATACACATCTGTCTCATGTGCATGCATATCCCAGACATCATGATTAGGGAAATCAAAATTTTGATGACATTATCAGTTCATTATCATTTTATTAAAAGCCAAAAGGGTTGCCCATTAAAAAAGCAGCAAATTTATTCTTTGAGAAAATACACCAGCTCTAATTGTTCCATCTCAGTGACCCTCTAAAAGCCCAGCTCTGAATATTATGGATTACTGTATTTAGTGTCTACTCCTAACTCACTTGCAACATCCTCGTCATGACATCATCGATATTAATTCATTGAAATGGAATTTAACAGAAGCTTGGAAGGAAATTCTTCTTGACACTATTCGCAGAGCTACTGGTTATCATGCTTACAACTTTGTGTTGAACATTCAGGCAAATATTTTGAACATCAAGAATGATTGTTCAGTTTGTGCATAAATCATGATAGTGAAGTAAATTTCTTTCTGAATTTACCACTGGGCATTCTGTAGAAAAAGAAATGAATACAAATCTGAAACTAGTCTAGATAACAAAATAAAAGAAGCAAAAGAAGAAATATGACAAAGACACCCAAATTCTGAACATAATTGTGAGACCGAGGGTCTAAATGCACTGAATGACTTTTCTTTCTTTTTTTTCTTTCTTTTTTTTTTTTTTCCTTTATTTTTTCAATAAAAATGTGATATTTACTTTTTGGCTAACTGGGTACATTAACATTTTGACTCTGAGACTGGGGTTCAAATTTCCCTATGGTCAATTTGTCAAGGAGATGACTTCCTAATATTCTTTTTTTTTCTTCTTTCTTTTTTTTTTTTTTTTTTTTTTTTTTAATAAAAATGTGATATTTACTTACATGATAGATATCTGATGCTTGGCTGACTGGGTACATTAGCATTTTGACTCTGTGACTGGGGTTCAAATCTCCCTATAGTCAATTTGTCAAGGAGATGACTTCCTAATATTGGCCTGGGTAGGGTATCCCAGAGTGCAGTATTATTTGAAAAGTGCCTGGAAACCATACCACGGTTTTGCCAAACCTTGTGAATGAAATTGGGGAGACAGAACTGCTCAGAAGTCACCGATGGCTGAGCTAACACAAAATTACAAATAATCATCACATACTGGACTTGCTCAATTATTGATCATGCCGGATTCTGTGCCATTTCCCAGAAACTGTAACTAAGGCCCACTCAGTAACATTATAAACCACAGGTTGACTTTATGATTGTTAAACATATATGTGCCTTAGCCTGTGTCTGTAACACTAGCAGACACACCTACTCTTACTTTCTAGGATTAGTAAAATTTCACTAAAAAAGTGTTTTATTCTCCATTCATTGTTCCAGCACAGCTATATTCTTAATGTCTGTGTGATACTATGGACACCCACGGAGAAGAGGAAGATGTGGTTTCATCTTGGTCTTAAGTGATTCTGTTTTAAGTTTAATTTTCTAAGTGGTAATTATTTTGAAAGGGAACAGGGAAAGGAATGGGTGATGGGTTTTTGGAGATCAAGTGACAACAAAACTGGAAATATTGTGTATCCAGGTACTGGTCTATATTAACAGCTGTTTGAGATTGAAGAGTCAGTTCTGGTTTGCCTTTGATAGATGGACTTGTCCATCGGATGGTTTTGATGCTGTCTACACATTGTGAGGTATAGATGGGTGAGTAATTGCTAGTGGGGGAAGAGCTAACCTATGAAATCGACATTAGAAGTTGACCCAAGCATCACCTGCCTAACCAACCAGATAAACAAGTGTAGCCCTGAATGAAAATATGTACTTTATAATATGGGAAATAATTTGTATTATTATTTCGTCACATGGCATTTGTCTTTCATCTTGTTATACAGCAGACCCTTTCCCAGCTTTTGGTGCACATCAACGAGATCAAGAATTGAAATGGAATGTTGGATAATCATTGGGCAGGGGTTTCATTTTCATGTTTACATCTGTCTGTTATGCAATGTCCTAAAATCAGGGGATTTTAGTGAATTTAATTCCATGATTAGGCGGGAAACTCTGAATAAAAATTGTTATCATATTTAATGTGTAAGGTTTTTGAAAAGCTCAAGGGAATTCAGTAACATATTTCAGTTCTTGGCATTTAACAGAAACAAAAAAATATATAAACAACTTATATTACAAGGGTTTATTAATAAAAAAAATGTTCCAATATGTATTCAGTAGTATATAAAGTCCTTTCCAAATTTGCTTGGTATCTGTTCACTATGACATAATTGAGAAGTATATATATATATATATATATATATAAACATATCCTGTCCAAGTTACACATAAAATACTGATCCTCATCCTCCTTTAGTCATTTAATCTGTAAACCACAGCTCTCAACAACATTAAGCATTGCTGCTGTGATTTCCATAGCAATTAAGGTTTTATGGGATCTAGTTGGTAGCCCCATTCCCAACTGCTTTTTTTGTTTACAGTATTCAGTGGTCCCTCACTTAAGTACTGACACAGACGCCTTAAAAGTAGAATTCTCTTTTTTAAACAATCATGATGATGCAAGCTTGCATTGCAGTCAATAAAATGGTAAGAAGCTTGGAATTCAATTGTAAAATGCTTTGTAGATTGCTGATTCGCCGCCATCAGACTTTTGGTTCTGGGAATTGAAAGAAGTGTTGAATATGTTATAAAGCTAAATATAATGGATTGAAAACGTGAATAGAATTTCTCAAAATATTCAGTATTAAATGGCAACCATGTTTAATAATATACCTGTAATTTTAAAGAGAAATAAATTTGACTTGATTTTGATACCAGTTTCATTATTATATCATACTTATTATAAAACCCAGGTTGTGTGAGTGTGTGTATGTGTGTGTCTGTTTCGTTTATATATTGGATTGGATTTCCTACATTTTTCAACCGATTTCAACAAAACTTCACAGGACTACGTAAAATTACCTTGCGGTGGTTCTGACAATGCCAAAAATTGGAAAAACACAATTGTTTTTGCATGAAATCAATTTGAAAACACGATTAAGAGGCATCGCTGTCGAGAATGAAAGGGGGACAACTCATATCGAGTTATACTTATTATAAAACCCAGGTTGTTTGTGTATGTGTGTCTGTGTTCGTTTATATATGGGATCAGATTTCCTACATTTTTCAACCGATTTCAACAAAACTTCACTTTTTTTTTTTTGGCAGGTAGTGTTTCTTATTGTCTTGCACACTTTTTTCTTTATTTTTACATTCAGAATGCTTTAAAAATTCCATTTACAAGACAATTGTTTATAATAAAATTCTATTCAATCGGTAGACTCATAACGATTGAAAACAATGCTTTTGTTTGAGTTTGGGTTTGACAAAACAAACAAAAAAACTAATTAAGACATGCGTGTCCGTCAACCTTGAACAATAATCTTTGTCAATTCTATTTTTCAGTCTTTATGACGGTCGATACTTGATCTCTCTCTTACTGTTACATCCCCAGGCAATGTCGGGAAATACTGCTAGTCTGATCTAAAACTTGTTTCATAGTTTTGAAGACCTTATCAATCAACCCTTGTAATTTTGAAGAGAAATAAATTGACTTAATTTTGATACTAGATTCATTATTCTATCTGGTTTAATTTGATGTGTAGGTGGGGGTGGGTTGATGGATATCTGGTGTGAGAAATCCGTGCTAAATTTGTATTTCAGTTTAGTTACATTCACTTACTCACAAATAACCTTGGGGATGGTATGAAATCATTTCTTCTCCCTATAGCTATAGGTTAAATAGCAGAATAGACTGGATCCTATAGCCTTGTTTTACTACAGAAAGTAAAGGTAGCATGAATTCTGCCAAGTCAGTCATAAATTGAAATTACCCAAGTCTGCATCATGCATGGCAACTAAGGAATCTTACTTGTCATAATTTTGGAAAGAAACTTATTTCATTTTGATAAGTTTCATTATTCTATCTGGTCTAAAACTTATAGGAAACCTTAATTTTGAAAAGAAATAAACTGACTTCATTTTGATAGTTCTGGCACTCAACAATTCACAAATTGGCAGGTCGTCTAACATTTTTAGAGGATTCTTTAACCTCTTGAATTCACACTTAAACCTTGAACTCTTAACCTCACTGACTGAAATGCAATTTGAAATCCCATGCACAATCAGTGAAAACCCAACGCTTGTTTAGTGTTCTACATATGTTTATTATAAGTATAGGAATAGCTAGCAGCACATTAAAAGGGGTGAGGATTTGTAACATGATCTTATGTTAATATGACACTGCAACATAATGATTGTCTTTTGTGCTCATTCATTCAGTCTGCCCCACTGCATCTCATCTAGCGCTCAAGTGACTCTCTCTTACAGCATCGTCTCTCTTCGGCAATCAACTTCAGTCTGTTGTTAACTGTGGCAAAGAATGGCTTGTTTAATTTTAATGACTCCCAAACCAAACTGCTCTCTATTAATCATCTGATTATAAGTTTCTTTCCAAAATAAATAAATAAATAAGTTTCTTTCCAAAGTTATGACAAGTAAGATTCCTTAGTTGCCATGCTTTTTGCTTTCTATCATCATGACAGATGCTAACCTCCAGGAGAGTGCTTCATTGCACATTCTCAGGCTAACATTCTCAGCTGACATGAAGTGCAAAGACTATATTGAATCCATTGCTAGATAAGCTGCTAAGAAAGTTGGTTCACTGTGTTGTACGAGACAATTTTTCTCACACATAAATTACGTATGCTTGTGTGTGCCATTTTTGTTATCTATTTTCTC